TCCACTGGATGTTCCAGCCGCCAGAACACAGCTCATTAATAACCTCGCTGGGCCAGCAGAAACATTTATGTTTGAATTACCGCCTGAGGAGCGAGGAAGTTTTATGCTCTTAAAACAGGCCCTGGTGAAACGTTATTCGACTAAGGACCGTGCTTGGGTTAAGCGACGGAGGCTAGTTGCTCGCCGTCAAGGCCCCCACGAATTATTGTCAGATTATATCAATGACATGCACGAACTATTTAGCGGGCTAAACATGGCCGAGGTAGACAAAGTCACGTATTTCACTGAGGGTCTAACCCAACCACTGAAAATTAAAGTGCTCGAGCGAATGCCAGAAACACTTTTACAAGCAGAGGAAGTGGCTAGGACCGTTAATTCGATATCTCAACGTGAGAATGCCACTAAAGAGGGTGACCAGATCGAGCGATTGATCGAGGCGCTTAACCGTAGCCAGCAGGTACCAGCTCAAGTACCATCTAATAGTGCTCGTAATACCCTTCAGAAATTGACCCAAGGACTGGACAGCCTGACACCTATAACCACACACAAGGTTGCTGCGTGTTCAGAGCCCCAAGGGAACTATGAACGAAAACTGGACGAGCTTACGAGCCTTATGCAGCGTATGGAGGGTCAGTTACAAGACCAAATTAAAAACCTAGATCGACGATTTGACGCACGCATAAATGGTCCAGCGCAACGCAGACAAGGTACTCGGGGTAACCGAGAAAGATCAAGAGATGGGAGACCAGTATGTTATCGCTGCGGAATGATGGGACACTTTCAGAACAGTTGCCCCCAAAGAGATACTGACCAGCGTCAACTGGTACCCAGGTACCCAAACACCGCTCCTAACAACAATGTGCGTTATTCCGCTGGTCCACAGTCACGCTTGAGAGCGCTGCCTTCGGCGCAGAATCAGAACCGTGTTGCTGTTCTGGGAAATGACGGCGTTGCTCCCTCGGGACATTACATGATAGATGCCACGCCAAGCAGAGCCCCGAATCGGCACACCGAAGAGCCCTTTTACCATGAGCCTTATAATGGAATGAGTTATAACTATGGCTACTATGCTGACGATCTAGAAAATGATGAAGTGGATGAATGGGATTACGATGATGAACATTACAACGCCGATCTAGCTTACGATGGAGTAGGTGACTTTGATACAGCACCATATGCCGCAGACACAATGCCACCCTCCAGTATCTCGTCCATACGGAGAGAGTCCCCCCATACCTCATCAACTCACCAGTTTCAGCCATACTTCGCCCAGTTTGCGCAACGAAGGCCCCCGTCACTGCCAAGAGAGGAAATCGCTGACCACCTAGACTCAGATCCTTGCAAGTCATCTCCTGTAACTGCCACTAGTTTCCAGTTAGAGAAGGAATGTAAATTAGAAAATGGGCTTCCGAAGGAAGATCTCACGCCACCTCCCGAATCGGAAACTGCGCCCCAGTTGGCCGACCGTTTTGAGCCACCCAGAAATGTGCAAGAAGGCCCACGCCCTAGAGATATCTTGTCACAGACGACAGAAATACCATTACAGAATCTTCCAGCCCCTTGTGATGTCCCCACAGAAAATCCAGATGCTACAGAAAATGTGTATGAAGAGACTCGCCCAGATCATCGAAAAATGACTGAAGGCAAGGGCACATCAAGCATTGATGTCAAAAAGGAGGTACCATCCACTACGAATCGCCATATCGCCAGTAGCACGAAGCTAGCGCCGGCCTGTCAACCAGCTATAGGGACCACACCAGAGTACCAGTCCCTTCCTACTATCCCTGGCAGTGGTGACATTACGAGCACACCCCAGAAGAAATTGGCTGCCAACTCCACCCAGAAGGACAAACCCGGAGAACTTATGGTCGAGGTGGGCATTAATGGTAAAACTATGCGTTGTCTAGTGGATACTGGAGCAGCCATATCTGTGCTAGATGCAAAGCACCTCGCATACTTATATGACGGGAAAATACCACCCCTTAAGCCAAGCGCCATGGACTCAATTCGAACTGTTAGTGGTCAGCCTATGCCTATTCGTGGAGTCCTACAGACTGACATCGAAATTGCTGGTGGTCAATATCCTTGTGACTTCAAAGTGATAGACGGATTGGACTACAAAGGAGTCCTTGGCCGAGATTTCTGCTATGCCCAACAGGCAAAAATCAGTTTTGAAACTCTAACCATTGCCTTGAAGAATCCCCCGACAGTACACTTTTCGGACGCTTTAGTGGCAGTGGTAGCACCGTCAACGTATGTTATTCCGCCCAGAAGTGAAGTAGTGTTTCCAGCTAGTATACCCGAAAAGACCGCACCTGGTGTTACCGGTCTCGTAGAATCCTCTCCACAAATGGCAGAGTGTTACCAGCTACAGGGAGCAGCTGCTTTGGTAAGGATTGCAGATGATCACACGGTGCCGTTCCGTCTCATTAACCCGACAAGTCAACCAGTCACTCTGCAAAAAGGTGCTACCTTGGGCACTTTTTCCGAAGCCTACGAAGATTCCGGAGTACTCCCTTTTAAAGAACCTGCTACGGATCAACAGAATCCAGGAACATTGGACTCAGTCCCGGTTGATCTGGATAATTCTGCACTGTCGTCCGTGGAACAGTCGCGTCTGCGAGAGCTCCTCCAAGACTACAGAGATATTTTTGCAATACACCCCGACGAGCTTGGCCGCACTAACATCGTCCAGCACCATATCGAGACAGGTGACCACCCGCCTATACGATCACGCCCTTACCGGGTGCCATATGCTCAGAAAGAGACAATAGAGAAGCACATTGAGGACATGCTTCACCGTAACGTCATCCAACCGTCTGTATCTCCATGGGCCAGTCCAGTAGTCCTCGTGCCTAAATCTGATGGTTCTTCCAGATTTTGTGTGGATTTCCGTAAGGTTAACAAGATAACCAAAAAGGATTCTTATCCTCTACCGTTGATATCCGAAAGCCTTGACGCCTTAGGAGGAGCCAAGTTCTTTTCGAGTCTTGACTTGGTTTCGGGATACTGGCAGGTTGAAATGGATCCCGCTTCTCGTGAGAAGACTGCTTTCGTCACGCATGCAGGACTGTACGAATATACCACAATGCCTTTTGGGCTCTGCAATGCCCCTGGAACCTTCCAGCGATTAATGGAATGTGTTCTACGCGGACTCAACTGGCAGATTGCACTCATCTATCTTGATGATGTATTGGTATACTCTCAAAACTTCGAGGACCATCTACACCATCTACGCTTGGTCTTCGACAGATTCCGCGAGGCTGGCCTCAAACTCAAGCCGAGTAAGTGCCATTTTGGGCAAAAGGAGGTAAACTACCTAGGTCACGTGATCACTACGGAGGGAATACAACCAGATCCCAAGAAAGTCAAGGTCGTTCAGGAGTATCCTGCCCCAAAGTCTGTCAAAGAGGTACGAGCGTTTATGGGCCTGACAAATTATTATCGTAAGTTTGTCAAGGGGTTCGCTCAGGTTGCCAGTCCGTTACATGACTTGACAAAGAAGGGTGCGTCGTTCCTCTGGACTGAGGATTGTCAAAAGGCTTTTGACACGTTAAAGAAGGCCCTCACTGAAGCTCCGATACTCGCCTATCCTGACTTCACGCAGTCTTTTCAGCTGGCCACCGATGCAAGCAATGATGCCATAGGCATGGTACTTGGCCAAAAGCAGAACGGAAGAGAAGTAGTCATAGCTTACGCAGGAAGAAAGTTGAATCCCGCCGAACGAAACTACAGCGTCACGGAACGTGAAGCCCTGGCAGTTGTTGAAGGGGTTAAACAATTCCAACATTACGTGTATGGACGGCAGTTTACAGTACTAACTGACCACAGCGCTGTCCGTTGGTTGATGAACATCAAGGAACCTACTGGTCGTCTGGGCCGACCAACGGTAACGCTGACGCCCTTTCTCGTCGACCCTACGAATCAGTCGTCGCCGCCCTCGATCAGCCTGGTGTACAGGTTGACCGCGTCAGAGACGCTCAACGTCGAGACCACACCTTGGCTGACATCATTAGCTACTTAGAGAAAGAGAGTCTGCCCAATAACAGTGCTGCAGCAAAAGCTGTCTTGCATTCCATTGACAACTATTATTTGGACCCTGATGGACTCCTCTGTCACATTTGGGTACCGGGAGGTCGACGTGTCCCCGGAATTCGCTCTCAGCTGGTCATACCTACTTCCCTAAGGCAGGAAATTTTGATTGGAGGTCACGACGATCCCTTGGCAGGTCACTTAGGAGTGAACAAGACTTATGAGAAACTCCGTGAACGTTACTACTGGCCTAAAATGTTTGCAGACGTACAATTTTGGTGTCTTTCTTGTACACATTGCCAGATGAAGAAAAGCCCTAAACAGCGACAGACAGCCCCCATCTTACCGATACCAGTAGAAGGTGCTTTTGATCGGGTAGCTGTTGATTGCCTTGGCCCCTTTCCTGTGAGTGACTCTGGAAATCGCTACATTGTCGTGTTTTCTGATTATCTGACCCGTTACCCAGAAGCCTTTGCTGTACCCACGATTGATGCCCCGACAATCGCAGACTTGTTGGTCAATGAAATTCTACCCCTATAATTGCAGCTTTGTCTGTTCAGCTTGTTGCTTAATTTGAACCCCCGAGGCCATTATATTTCGGCTTGTTCGGTTTATGCCGCGGTTCAGGCACAAAACAAAATCAAATACAAAATTCATAAAACAAACAAACAAACAAAAAACAAACCACCCCTATAGTTTTACTTCGCTGTGCTTTTTCGTTTCTTGTATTTATTATGCCTTCTCCTTTTTCGCTCGACCAGGAGGTCTCGATTTAAGGTGGGAGGAATGTAACGATAGGATTTTTAGTTATCGAGTTCTTTCATGCTTACGCTTCAAAATATAATATTCAACGTAGAAAGCTTAGTTCAGCAAAGCGTAAACACTACCAGTTCTCCTTCAGTCACCCGTAAACAGTTGTTGTTAGTGTTAAACCGTAACAGCCACCTGTCATGTCCTTTTGTGTAACTGTTATCCACCGGAACTCTTTAAAAGTAATTAATGTTGCAAAAGGCGAAATTCCTACTTAGCCAATAGTTTAGTAGATTACATGATCCTTTAGATTATTCATGACATTACGTTATCCATGTACGTTAGGCTTAAATAGGACTGTTCTGAAAAGCTTAGCGGTTAGGTTAAGAAGAGAAAGAAAGGTGAGGAAAGTTAGGAAGAGAACGGGGTTGAACCAGCCCTGGCCAGGTCCGTTCTGGTCAAAATTGTAGTAGAGCTTGCAGAATAAATCTACGTTGGAGCCAACCCTGTTGTCGTTAGTCATTCTCTCAAGGATAGTCAGCAACCGTAATAGATTCCGGTTACCTTCCCGCAGCCAGCGAGTGCCCCCAAGGAAAGCCTTTACCCAGAAGAGTTTTTAAGAGTTGTCCCCGTCCGTCCGTTCATTTGTGAAGGCAAAACCCTGTTTTCACAGTTGCGTTGGGCAATGTTTTTTTTTTAATATGTTTTTTAATTGTTTTGTTTTCTTTTTATTCATTTTCAGGAATTATGGCTTTGCAGTGCACCACCGTAATTTTGTTATTTTCGCTTGTACTCCTATCCGTCCAAGTCCAAGGCTTAAGAAAAGGTACAAATCACTGACCATTTTTGTCTCTGCGTCAAAAATTATGTTGTGATGAGTATTAGGTGCGAGGCACTACTTTAGAGTACGCTGTTAATTATTGGTGATTCAAACCAGGTGCTTTACACTTCACACTTGTTATTCTATTAGAAATGAATAAATTAATCCAACGCACAATAATGTCATCGGATAATCACAGCCAAACATACGAGCCGGGAAGGCTTGTAAAAACAGGATTAATTACACGGAAAACGTTTATTTTGGCTCACATTTTTGTTATGAAATCGTAAGTGTTGGATGTAGTAAATAGAAAAAGAACGGAAAATACATAAATAGTAAAGCGATCAGGTAACGAGTCATGAACAGCTGTTTTGGCCGTGTTAGGCGTTTCATTAGCATGACGAAGCTGATAATTCAGAGTATTTTTTTTGGCGGATGTCGAACGTAATCCACGATAGCATTGCTTTGTTTAACTTCGATATGTGATTGGTCCAGAAAACTTGCGCCACTCCCTCAACCAATCAGATGCAACGCTAAAACTGATTACAACTTGGTCAGCTGTGTTATTCGCGCTTTAGGTGGTTTGTTTGTTTTTTAGTTGTTTTTTTTTTGTTAAAAAAAATATCATTATGTTTGTGTATCGAGTGGTATGTTGCTCGCAACAATCAGATCACTGTATTTGGGTATGTATCTCTCACTTATCACATCGGTGCATCACTGTAAAGGCCTAGCACGAATTTATCATTTGCACGTTTGTTTTGGAAGGGCTAGGTTTGCTGACGAAGGTAAAAATTGCACAGAGCATTTGCATAAAGCATATTTGATTGATAATCTTTATTTTGCCTTATGATTGCTCTTCTGGCGACGGTTGGAAAGATCAGCAAGGTATATTCACTTTCTGCGTCGACTGCAATGAGAAATGATTGTTCTTTGCTTTTTAAAGTTCTCCGTGAATTTCATCTTGTGTTTAAACGTTTTTTTCCTTAATATCTACGTGTTTACTTTTCATTAAAAAATGCTCTTTTTCTTTGGCAAAAATGCAAACGCAAGTTTCAACCTGCCTATCCGAAAGATAAATCTCGTATGCCAAGACCCATAGTAATGAGCTCGTGCGCATGCGTAGCATGCCTATTTTTTTTTCTGTGAGTTGTCACTGGCTCAGTGTGATACTTTTCTTTGCTCTTTGATATTTCTATTTACTTTGCTCTCCATTGTTATATAATTGACTGGGAATAGCCTACGTGTAGCCGTGCCCTCTCCGCCAAGGAGAAACGGAAGCATTACTCCTTGGGGGGGGGGGGAGGAGAGGGGGAGAGGGGGAGAGGGTACGGCTACATGTAGACTAGCCAGGAACGGCCTTATGCAAGTGGTCAAATTTCATTTTTTCTTACATACTAGAGGTCCTGCCAAAGATGCACGAAGAAATTAACTACGAGGGTACAAAACTGAAATGTGACATCTATCATACCACCGACGATTCTGGCACGTGGTGTAACTGTCCATTTCTGTTCTGCACCGGAAGCCAGGACTGTAGCAACTTAGGTGGATTAATGTGCGGAATTAAAAACAAAAATTACGATTACATGAACATCAAGGATGGAGATTGTAAATGCAAATATTTGGGATAATTTGGAATCATGTAATATCACTTAAAACAGAGGTTCGAAATAAAGTTGATACATGAGAAATTCCAGTGCATTCTAAGCATGCATAGCAGTATTTTTTTCTGTCTCCACGCAGAGCTGGAGACCGGAGATGCGTGAGCAGAGCGGGAGTCTCGCGAAAGTACGCGCGGCGTAAGGGAGCAAAATCATTAAGGGTTAGGGGACTGGGGGGGAACTGGAGAAAAAGCCTGCTACTAAGCCCAGAGATTTTCCCGACTACCGGTCATCTACGATTCGAACGAATGGCAATGAGGCGCTACAATTGGTCATTAGCCCTCCCCGCCCTTATAACCTAACCCTTTATTTTTATTTATTTTTTTTGCGCATTTGTGATCTAGTTCCAGAAACATAATCTTTCTCCAGAGGGATATTTTTATAAAATCTTCCACCTCATTCCACTAATATGTCGCATTTTTTTGTGGCCTAACTTGCCCCCACATTCAGCTAAAATAAATAACTTATCACAAGCTGTGGATGCAATTCTACATTTCTGTTATGTTTTCGCAAAGATTGTCAGAGCACCTGTAACTCTTACCATCAATTCAAAAAGGCCTGCCTTCCGCGAAGGACACATAGAGAGCGCAGGCATTGAACCTTGAAACCTTCACCCTTCCTTGAAAATGTTTCCACTAAACTTGCCAAAATGGCCTCAGAGGAGCACACATATAAAAGGACACGCATTAAGCATAAAATTTGTCATTTTAACTTGAAACCTAAAGGAAGGCTGCATTTTAATATAAATAAGCCTGGTTGCCTGTAGTTTGCTGTTGCATTTCGATTGAAATACAATCACGTGGCTGTAAGGCAATAAATAGTGCTGATTTGTGAAAAAACATCCCATGTAAATACAAAATGTACTGCTCGTTGAACTTGACTAAATGGAACGGATGAAGTCTTTCGTGTTAAGCTAGCACTCTAACATGAATAAACCACAAAATTCCGTCAATATTTGTGGCAAATGTTAATTAAGTGCGGTTTTTGTCCTTTTTACGAAATATCCTCTTGAAGTTTCCTTTTTTTCCTGTTCCTGTTTTGATATTGCATCTAAGAAACAACACCATCTCGTCCTCGATCGGAATTGGCACTTTTTCGTTGACCCCGTCGACCTGTAATGGCCTCAAGTACCTTTCACGATGTTTTCATTGGCTTGCTAATTGTGCGGCGCTCTCAAAGGGGTTTGTCAACCGGACTTGATCATTAGTAGGATTTTCATTTCGCATTAAATTGTTTGTTCGTCACTGCCATCTTGGGAAAAGTTGTGAAGTTTCTCGAACATCTGCATACGATTTTTTAAAATTTACAGTTACGAAAAAGATCGACGGTAGAATATTTTTCTGCTATCTAAATACCCAATATTTAAATACCCACTATTTTCACACAACCGTGTAGTGCTTTTGAATCTGTACTTGCCTTTTTTCTGATTTTTGTAACTTTACGGTCACCACCAGCCGACAAAAGTCATTTGTTATTCACGAGTATGATTACAGACAGAACTGGACGAAGCAAAGTCCTGTTACCAATTAACGAAAACTGTGACAAAATTCAGGAAAGAAATTAGACTTCGGTCGTACGTTTCTACTAGGCAGTCGCTTCCACAGAACTTTTCCTTAGTCTCGGAGAAAGACTTAAAGGAAGAACTGTTCCTAGCAATATCTCATAAGCTCCCCTTTTATAAAAGCTTTCTTGTTGCTAGAGGGGTGAAACGACTCGAAAGGTATGCACAAATATTTATTCAAAGGCTCCTGAAAGTAGAAAATGGTAGGACGCGTGAGGAATTATCCCTATATAGACAAAGATCTAAGAAAGAAATGCTTAGGGTAGGGTTGTACCTGTTCGTATGTCCGGCCAAGCCTTCATGGTCATTGGCCACCGTATAGCCGCTAACTATGGCTTTTAAATGCAGGCGTTTAGTTTTAACTTGTAAAACCCCTTAAAGAAGTCTACGACAGTTAAACGAAACGCGTCGGAGAATAAAGTTTTACAACTACTGTTCGCAGAGTGCTGCTCACCAGTTCAATTTTTTAAAAAAATTGCTAAAAAAAATTAATAAAAAAATTAATTAAAAAAATGATTAAAAACTTTTTAAAAATTGTGAAAAACTAACTGAAAAATGATTAAAAAATTATAAAATTAAAAAATTAAAAATAATTAAAAAACTAATTGCAAAAAAGTTTTAAAAAATTATTTAAAAAAATCATCTAAAAAGTTTTTACAAAAATAATTAGAAAAATAATTTAAAAAAATTGATTAAAAAATAGTTTAAAAAAATTGACTAAAAAATAGTTTAAAAAAATTGATTAAAAAATAGTTTAAAAAAATTGATTAAAAAATTAATTAAAAAATTATAATGATTAAAAAAATAATACAAAGCGATTTATTGCCTCGATAGTACCAGAAAGTACAATCTACTTGCTTACAAAGAAACATCACACACCACTGACGAGGTAAGAAGTGTAAAATTATTTCCTGGTTTATTTTTGGAAAACTTTGATATCATTATGTGGGCAAATTACTTGGTGTGCTCCCCTTTTCCAAATTTGATGCAAGGTTCATACACCAAGGGGCTTTCCGATATTGCATATCAGTCTTAGTTTTAATACTAATAGTTTGCCCCTATTTTTCACTGAAATATTTGCCTCTGGCTTAGAATGATTTTGACTTGAGAGAATGAAGCAACAGGGCTGCCAGTTGTGATCGATTGTTCTAGCTGGTAAGACAGGGCGTGTGGTAGGTTCCTGTGACTCGCACACTCTGCACCAACCGAAGATCATCTACGGAGCAAGAGTCTTGCGTGGCGAAATGCATTAAAAGAATTCTAGTAAATAATAAGCTTGAAGCAATGAATACCATCGTTTATTACTACGGAATCGTTTTTCAGTTTAATTTTGATTACATTTTCAAGCTTTTCGTCTTCAGTTCACAAAGTTTTGTGACGTGTTAAACTTGCGTCGAGCAATGTTCGTTTAGATGTTTTTTTCATTGTTTTGTTATCTTTTTATTCATTTTCAGAAATTATGGCTTTGCAGTGCGCTACCATAGTTTTGTTATTTTCGCTTGCATTCCTATCGGTCCAAGTCCAAGGCTCAAAAAGAGGTACAAATCACTGACCATTTTTGTCACTGAGTCAAAAATTATGTTGAGTTGAGTACAAGGTGCGAAGCACTACTTTAGAGTACGCAGTAAATTATTGGTGATTCAAACCAGGTGCTTTACCCTACTACAATTTTATAATTACGTAAGAAGCATATTTACTCTCTGGGTCTACTGCATGCTGAAATGACTGTTTCTTCGCTTTTTAAAGTTCTCCATTAACTTCATCTTGTGTTTAAACGCTATTTTCTTTACATAACTACATGTCATTTTATTTTACGTTATTTCTTTTCATAGAGCTACGTGCCTACTTGTCACTATGGCTTAGACTTTCTCAGAGGAAGTGCTATTTTCCAGTAGACGACCTAGACATCATCCTCCCCCACTTAAAAAATTTCACATGGAACTGAGTGTGACTGTTAGTCAGTTTTCCACGCAATTGTCACGTACTCAGACGTTTTCTATTAATCTAATTCGCTTTTAACTTCCTTGTACTTCACCCAATCAAGTGTCAATTATTTGTAAACAGCCCCGCATTTTATTCCGTATTCTGCACGCACAGGGCAAAGTCCAGATAGGCAACAACCAAATAAGGAGCCCAGGTTACTTAACCCACGTGAAAACCTTTGAAATATGATCATTTTCTCTTTTCGTCTAATGTATTTCCACCTGTTTGAAGAATGGAGACTGCAAATTATCTATTGTTTGAGGTTACTAGAGATAAAATAGAGTTTTGGTTCGCTTTCCACAGCAAAATTATGTGGAAGAATATTTTTTCGGCAAGTAGCTGTAACTGAATAATTTTGATTGGGAAAAGCAGTAAGCATTGTCTTAGCCTGCCATCAGGCCATTTCTTAGTCTCACCACGCAGCGGGGGAGAGAGCTTGTTGCGTGACAAGACTGAACAAGCGTGACACCAACGTAGTATATTTTTGCTAACAGTTATTCAGACACCAATGGCAATAGACCATAATATACGTGTCTCAGTTTATTTCAGATAGATTAGAAGTTTATTTTTTTGCTCTCCATTGAACGATATTTTTCATTGGGGTCTTTTGAAAGTAAACGCTTTATTTCTTTGGCAAAAATGCAAACGTAAGTTACTTCGTGTCCCTTTTCAACCTACCCATCCGAAAAATAGATCTCGCATGCGTAGCATCAATATGATATTTTTCTTTACTTTTTGATATTTTCATTTTGCCTTGCTTTCCATTGTTATATAGTTGGCTAGGAATAGCGTACGAGTAGCCGTACCCTCTCCCCCAAGGAAAAACAGAAGCATTACTCCTTGGGGGGGTGGGGGAGGAGGGTACGGCTACACGTAGGCTAGCCGGCCAGGAAGGGCCTTATTTAAGTGGTCAAATTTCATTTATTCTTTCATACTAGAGGTCCTGCCAAAGGTGCACGAAGAAATTAACTACATGGGTCAAATATTAGATTGTGATGACTTTCATACCACCGACAATTCTGGTACGTGGTGTAACTGTCCGTTTCTGTTCTGCACCGGAAGCCAGGACTGTAGCAACATGGGTGGACTTATGTGCGGAGTTGTAAACAACGATTACGACTACATGAACATCCAGGATGAAGATTGTGATTGCCAATATTTGGGATAATTTGGAATCTTGTAATATCACTTAAAACAGAGGTTCAAAATAAAGTTGGTACACAAGAAATTCCAGTGCATTCTAAGCATGCATAGCAGTGTTTTTTCTGTCTCCAAGCAGAGTGGGAGGCCGGAGATGCGTGCGCAGAGCGGGAGTCTCGCGAAAGAACGCGTGGCAAAAGGGAGCAAGAACATTAAGGGCTAGGGGACTGGGAAGGAACTGTTGGAAAAGCCTGGTACTGAGCCCAATAGTCATTTACGATCCGAACGAATGGCAATGAGGGGCTACGATTGGTCAATAGACCTCCCCTCTCCAAACCCAACTCTTAATTTTTTTGCGCCTTTAAGATCTAGTTTCAGAAACATAATCTTGCCCCAGAGAGGGGCATTTTCATAAAATCTTCCACCTCATCCAATATAATGTCGCGTTTTTCTTTTTATGGTCTGATTTGCCCCGTCCTTCAGCTAAAACCAATAACTTGTAACGGGATGAGGAAGCAATTCTACATTTGTGTTATGTTTTCGCAAAGATTTTCAGAGTAACTCTTACTATCAATTCATATACTCCTTACAAAAAAGGCCTGCCTTCCGCGAGGGACACATTAGGACAGAGAGGGCAGGCATTGAACCTTGAAATGTTCACTCTACCTTGAAAATGTTTGCACTAAAAGTTGCGAAAATGGCTTCACAGGAGGACACATATTAGAGGACACATATCAAAGGACACGCATTAAGCATAAGCTTTGTTATATTTACTCGAAACCTAAATGAAGACTGTATTTGAATACAAATAAGCCTGGTTGCTTGTACTTTGCTGCATTTCGATCGAAATACAAACACATGGCCGTTAGGAATCAAATAGGTAACTGGGGTTTTTACGAAAACAAATTGGCAGCCAGTAGCAACCAAATTCCACGCCCCGCACCAATTATTCTCCTTCTTCTCGATTCCACACAAAAAAAAAACTTCAGAGGCTTTTTCTTCATTACTATTATTTTAAATAAGTAGTCCTGACAAAAGTCAATTCTTGCGTACAATGTGAACTCGAAGGACAACAAATTGTGGAAAGACATCCCATGCAGATCAAAAATGTACTGCTCATTAAACTTGACTAAATGGAACGGATAGGGTCTTTCGTGTTAAGCTAGCATTCTAACATGAATAAACCACAAAATTCCGTCAATATTTGTGGCAAATGTTAATTGAATGTGGTTTTTTTTTCCTTCTTACGAAATATCCTCTTGACGTTACTTTTTTCCTGTTCCTGTTTTGATATTGCATCTAAGGAACAACACCATCTCGTCCCCGATCGGAATTGGCACTTTTTTGTTGACCCTGTCGACCTGTAATGGCCTCAAGTACCTTTCACAGTGTTTTCATTGGCTTGCTAATTGTGCGGCACTCCCAAAGGAGTTTGTCAACCGGACTTGATCATTAGTTAGATTTTCATTTCGCATTAACTTGTTTGTTCGTCATTGACATCATGAAAAACGTTGTGAAATTTCTCGAACACCTGCATAGGATTCTTTAAAATTTACAGTCGCGAAAATATCGATTGTAGAATACTTTTCGGCTTTTTAAATACCTACTCTTTCGAAAAAAAATTTCTAATGAATGGACTCAACAATCTCTAAAAGGTAAAGTACAAAGTTAGTATTGTTTATTCAGTCATTTGTTAAGTTAGAGACAAGAATTTGCATTTTTGAAAAACCATCTTGTCATAATTAACAGCTTTGAGAAGAAATTTGTTTTGATCCTGGCGCGACGTTGTAGGTCAGTGTAGATGACAGGCTTAATTATTTACAAGAGATTACCATTAACAGAATCTAAAAGGGCTGTGGATCTCTAAACTTCCGCAGGCTATTGCAAGGTGAGCTAAGCACATTTCGCCTACGTTGAAGGTGTCAAAACACCGGTGACTATTGACTGCGAACATTGGTGGACTGAACCTGTTCACGCGCCAAACATGTTGCTACGAGACACATTTGACATGCGACGATTGAGGAAAATTTACAAGTCCTAACAACTGATAGTGACTTGCTGGTGTTTTAATTTTTAATATTTGCATCGTGAAGACAGAGATCTGATGAATTTTCACCGCTAACTACCTGGATTTTATTGGAAACATTTATCATCTTTGAGTTGGCATGCCCTATTGGTGCGATTCAACTCATATGTCATAATATTTATCATCTGTGCTAAAGATCAAAGGGATTCGGTTCGATATCATCGACTGGTACCACAATATTTCATCTCATTAAATGGTGAAGCGGCAATCTCTTTTATATCAGCCCATGTACGGAAATGCGCCTTAAACTTACTACTTTCTTCCAGTGATAATGCAAGGAGCAGACATGAATATTAACTCAAGCGAGGTACACATTCAATATCGTCCCATCGAAGCGGCGTTTCAGGCGACATCGCTGATTTCAATCATGGTGGTAGCTATTGTCGCCAATACAATGAATATTATAGTAGTATACAGAAATTCGAACATGCAGACGCCTCGATATATGTTTATTATGAATCTTGCTTGTGCCGATTTGGGAGTAACTTTGTTAGCGATGCCGTTTTCGCTCATCACATGCATTTCGCGTGAATGGATCATGGGGGAATCGCTCTGCAAACTCCACGGATTTTTAGGGTCTTTCTTCTTTTGTGTTTCAATCTTTACGCTCACAATTATGAGCATCGAACAATATTATGCGCTGGTGAAACCGCTCGCACGTGCAATCACGATTCGCCGAGCAAGGTACATGATCGGATTAGTTTGGATTGCGTCGACATTAGTTTCAATGGGACCCGTGCTGGGATGGGGACATTTTGCTTACAATTCAAGCACTCTCTCGTGTGGAGTTGCCTATCCAAGGACGACATTGGAGAGGCTCTACTTATTATTTCTCGTGCTAGTCGCATATGTTATTACACTCCTAATTATGACGATTGCTTACATAAGGATTTTTTTCGCAGTTCGCAAGCACACGAACAGAATTGCTAAATATACAAGCGGTGGGCTTGAGGTAATGAGACTTCAGCGAAGAATCATCTATACGCTTCTATTAGTTCTGATGGTTTTTATACTATGCTGGTTGCCATTTGTGTTCCTGATTGTGTTAGCAACTCGAAACGTAGGCGTTTCCAAATTGCCTTACGGGCTCGGCGTTGCGGCATATTGGTGCGGATTTTGCAATTCTTCGATCAACCCCATAATCTTTGTCATCAGAAACGATCGCTTCCGGGAGGGATATCGCGATATTCTCAATGAAGTTTGGTACGGCTTACGCTGTAAACGACCTCCAAAATTAGGAAGGCTGCAATTTAAGAAGACATGGTATTTGACCAAGCGAACGAGTACAGAAGAGCAAAAACCGCATGTTATGCTCCGGGCAATTCCTTCGCTGACTGCCATCCCGGATGTAGAATTAATGTCTGATCACGACAATGATGAAAATAGAGAATCATTTTCGCTGTGAAAACAATAACAAGTAAAAATTGGTAATATTATACAGCGGTGAATTTCCGCCAAAAATATTAATTTACAAGGTGTGAATTTATGGAGTTTTCTGAAAGAAGAACCATTGTTAATCAATTTTTAAGCCTGAATGTAAAATTTAACTTATCATGCACATGAATTCATGTAATTTTCCGTGAGTGACAGGTGGTGTGAATAAATTCTTAGAGCTGTCGGGTGAAAAAGAGAGAAAAAGTTCAGTTTTGTTTGGCAAATGAATGACAACTTCTATCCTGTGGCTGGTTTGATGGAAAAAACATCAATGTTTAATTTTTGTATTCTTAGGGCAGCGAAACTAGAAATGTGGACCCTGATCTTAGAAAGAGACTGATATGATATTATCACCGCAAGCGAAATTTTAAAAAAAACTTACGCCTCGATACGCGGCGCGTTCGAAACATTATTTTTGAAGTCAATGCAACTTGGTAAAAGTCGATCGAAGAATATGCTTTTTCGCAGCCTTACAGCCAAAAAGATATTCGTATGCTCTCAACCTTTTTTTGTCTTCCTTTCGTTTTTATTTCTTCCTCTCGTATTTTAGTGGGTTAAGTGCGCCAATGTGCTACATAAAATTTCCAAGAATTCACGGTAATTAACTCGAAATGTTCATAGAAAAATTAAGAAGGTAAAAATGTCATGGGAAAGAAATACATGAGACTTTTCGAACGCAAAGCCTATATAATTAAGGGCATTCTTCATATAAACCGTTTTACAATTTTGTCGGAGACTTTGTGATTTGTGCGTGACACCTGTCAGATGATGAGTGTGAACATTATGTCAAGAGCTAGAAGCCCCGCCTTAAGTGATTTTGGGACATCGATCGGTTTACATGATCAACGCAACCTTGAATGACCTTTTAAATCAGTACTTAGCAACAGCCAATCACAATGTAGAGAATATCGTATAAGAAAGTGATTTCTTACAAATTTTGCAGAGTAGCTTTTTACACACCTTGTTTTTAGTAAGCGAATACGAGAGTGGAATAAAACAGTTTGATTGAGTCTAGTTCGCTAGATTCCTATCCCTAGTAAACGAGGCAAAGTTTAAGAAAATTTGTGATAAAATAAAAAATAAATTTCCAGAATCAGGTAGACATGGATTCGAATCCTGTTGAAGCCTGAAGTTTCTTTCTCCAATTGCTTTACCCTTCAAACCATAAGAGTGACCAGCTTCTAATTTCTCCAAACAATATCACCCGTAAATCAAACATTAAGGTCACGAAAATCAAGAAAATGATCACCAACTAAAAAAGCTCTTGATTGTTAAACAAATTCTCCTTGTCAGCCTTAAGAATTGTACAGAGAACAGTATGGAGAATGTGCATACTGATGTTAAGGTGTGAAGGTTTACATTACAGCTTACTGAGAGGATCTTATTTGATAAACCATTTTGTTTAATTAAAGCTTCACCAAAAAAAGGTTCACGCTTTTTAAAGAACGTGACTTACTGGTTTGTGGCGTTTTTCTTAGCTTGAATGCACTGTGTTGGGTACATCGCCTTTTTATTTAGGCCACTTAACTGTTTTATTGTTCTCGCATGCTCAGACATTCGACCGTTGTGTTTCACTCTGTACCACGATTTAACCCCTAAGAGTGACTAGCATCTAATTTCTCCCTACAAATCCCTCTTGAATCACACATTAGGGTCATGAGAATAAAGGAAATGATCACCAGGGAAGGAACCTTTTGATTTGCAAACAAATTCTCCTTGTCAGCACCTCAGGAAATGTATAACAAAGTGTGGAGAATATGCATACTGATGTTGGGGTGTAAAGGGTTAAGAAAAAAGATCTGTCAACTGATTAACCGTGATGTCAGTACGTTCAATTAAAACTGAAAAATCTTGCGCACATTCTCGAGCACTTCATCAGAGATTTCCCAAAGAAGACGTTTTCTCTCTTCTGTTTACTCGTAGAAATATCGTTAATTTATATTTTCTTTTAAATGCAACGCAAGGAGACCACAACGAGACAAAAACAACGAGCTAAGCGTATTGCGATAGAGTGCTGTAAGCCCAGAATCAAAGTAACCGCAAAGGCCAATGCAATGAGAGTGAAGGAAAGTACTAGAAGGAGCCAATGAGGACTCAATGTTGAAATAAACGAATCATCCGTGGCGGGAAAACGCGATTAACAAATTGCGACAAAATATAGTAAAGTTCACACGGCAACCAGGTGGACAATCAGACATGGTTTGTTTACTCTTTAAACCAGAGTAGCATCAAACCATGTCAAATTGCGACAAGTTTTAGTTTTGCATCTGATTGGTTAATTGAAAGGGTGGCGCGAGTTTTGTAAACGAATCAGTGCGAGGTAAAGCAAAACCAGTGTAAATCCATGTTACTTTCACACTAAATTTGAAACTCGCTCTAAAACTGTGTTTAAACACTTAAATAACGAACGAAGTAATTCGTAAGACTGTTTAACAAGAATATGTCTTGATATTTATTAACGCAAAAGCATGACATCTTTCAACCATTTCAAGATGGTGAACTCGTCATAACAAAAATAATTATAATAGCTTATTCCAGGCTTTCAGTCAATAAAAGGGAGCGAATAGTACAAGGCGCACTAGGAGTACGAGTGAAAAAGCGGGAGAGGTTTGGGACGGGTCCAAAAGTCTTACAGGCGTTCACATGATTTTGCGACCCGACCCAAACCTCTCTGTTTTTTTTTTCCACTCCTCCGCTTCTTCAATGCTTTACCTTACGCCGCGGCGTTTATTAAATTTTTTCGTGATTCGAGTGTAACGTTTATTTAAAATCCAATTTATTTCCTGCAAACAATAGTATGATGACTGACCATTTTAATTAAAAAAAAAAAAAAAAAAAAAAAAAAACCAGAAAGATGTTTTAGTGCTTGTCTAAAAACTAATTTTCATATTGTTCTCAATTTCACAATTTGCATGTTAATACTACTGCAATGCATAGAGTGAAAAAAGATCCAATGTCGGATGTGCCTTTTCGACATCAGAACTGGTACATTAAGAAAAAATTGTCTGGTTCACTCAAAATTTTCAACCGCGATCGAAGCAATGATCTTTGTGTGCTTTTTGGGTCTATTATTCAACTAAACGCCGCATCATGCCGCATGCGTTTATTCTAGGGCGGCGTTTAATGGAATAAATACAGTAACTAGCGCGCTTCTTTTTACGAACTGAACGCCTGGATCATGCTAGCTGGTCCATAAAAGTAATTGCCATATTCTATGGCTAATTTTTTCTTTCACCAAATAAAAAACATAAATAGAAGCGACAATCGATTTAAAATAGGACTCTGACGCCAATTTGTCGAGAAATTCAAATTATGAATGATGAACGTTACACGGTGTGGTATGTAATCTAGGAAATGAGGGGGTAAAAAATTGCATTTTATTCGGGATTACATATCTTTGTATAAGTTGATAAAAGCGTCAGAATATGCGTCAGAAGAAAATTCCATACTTTATTTTGAAAATAATTTGAACGCATCATAATTTAATATTTCAATATTTTATTTAAATAATGTTCGTTGCTAATATATTGAAATAGATAGTTGGGGCCAGTCACTATTTACCGCCTGAGGGGGGAGGGGGTCGGGAGATTGAAAAGGGGGATTACCATGGTTTTCAGGGGAACGGAGGGAATCAGTCGATGCGGCGTAAAGGGAGGGGGTCATTAGAAAACTGACTGCCAAAGAGGGAGGGGGGGGGGAATACTACAGAGCCTTGATAAATTTTATCGTAACGCAACCAAATAATTTCTGGATGATTTCTGGAAACAGTTCTTACTTCATGTCAAATTGAAATATTGAAAGTGTATCAAGTTAAAGTGTATCAAGTCACCTTACAAAAAAGAAAACCTTGATTTCGCTGTAAAATTTGGATAAATTTAAATATTTAAATAAAATAGAAAGCTATTCGATTGAGTGTCATAAAACCAAAACCAACGCAATCACAGTAGCCAATCAGAGGAAAGTAAAATACCTTTTAGAGCCAATGAGAACCCAAATAAATACACCACCAAACTGTCTAAAGCGCTGGGAAACGCGGGTGACCAAGTCGTGATTGGTTTTAGTTCGAATCTGATTGGTTTAGCTAGTGTCGCGAGTTTTCTGGACCAATCACAGAGCGAAGTAAAGCAAACACAAAGCTGTTCCAGATTACTTTCGACACTCAATTGAAAATGCTTTAAATTAAATTTTCAATGCGCGTGTTACCATGTTCCCATCGTAAAGTATTAATTCATGGAGTTGAAGACTGAATAAGGAAAATTTCGTTCATGATTTTCTACGTTCTCTTACGATCAAAAAGTATCCTTCATCCACTTAACATGGAGCTGTAGATGACGTCTCTCAGTCGCTTGTCGTTGTAGTTCTTCTCGTGACATTTTCAGGCTGTCGCGCAATACTAAAGCAGGGATACTTCTGGTGTCTTTTGCGACAAAAACACGTGGATGTTTATCCAGATGTTGTTTGGTTGCTAAGGCCATGCGGCCGCACCAATTTTGGAATAGGATCGATAACGTTTGCAAATGATTGATAGGTGCATACGACAAGCACAGCAAATCCTGTTAACATTAGGCCCCACGCCGCTATCTGTTTAAGGTCTGGTCGAGGTGGGTGAAGGCGCACGCGCAGGTAAAACGCGGGCGGAAGGATGTAGATTAAAATGGTGGTCCCAATTGCACCGACGAATCCCCAAACCATGGCAACCTGAAAACAAAGACAAGGAAAAAAAATTATATTTTGATACACAGTCACTTAGCACAATGACCTTATGGTTGGTTTCATTTCGACATAAGCATGATTACGTCATGGATCCAAAGAAGGAGTGATTGCTAGGGGGCACATAGATCTAAAGTACACTCAGTAGGTGATGTTGTTGTATGACTGGAATTCTATTTCCTCAGTGCACGTTCTCATCGTTCATTCTGGAGTCACATGACATCCAACAATGAAAGTGTTTCCGGTCAAAAGTCTGAGCAGGCAATTTAGTAAAATCAATGACGTCAGAGGGCTACACTGCCCTTTTACCGGCGAATGTTGACCGACGGCTGTCGTTGCACGTGAACAGGATGTGATCAAAGGTGGAGTGACATCTTAAGCATTGGGGTATTTACCGTCTTATGGACTTATATGTGGTTTATCAATAATTTTTCGACTTTTTTTTTACATTGCAGCTTCTGATGTCTTCGTTGAGTTTGTAACAAGTCCCTTGATGACTGGCCAATCGGGAAACAGATTACTTTTTTCTCTTGAATCTCAATGTTTCGCTCGGCTCCCTCTTAGAAAACAAAATTAAAACCCGTCCGGTTTTCCGGGAAAAGTAGATTTCCAACTCGGGCAAGCTCGGACCAGTCGTTAAGAGTTTATTAAAGATCCGCTACGCACATATATATATATATATATATATATATATAGTATATATATATATATATATATATATATATATATATATATATATATATAAATTATGCTACGACTCGTTTTCCGAATTAGTAACTACTAAGTGTAAACGAGCATCAGAAGTATAACAGGACGAATGAAAGATAATTTGGCTATATCAACTGCGTTAACAACGTAAATCGGCTGCCCTAAAAAGTTTCTAGTTTCAGCTTTAGAAACTCTTTATGGTGGCCGCTTACATCATCATCTTGGTTGATAAAACCAAATTACGTTCTTATACTCCCCACCGACGCAGCACCACGGTTTCTTTAGAAACTTACCCCCTTTATTCAAGGACGAATTTAGTTTATAGAACTTAAGCAACTTATTACAACGGAAGAAAACTCAGGAGATTCAACTTACTTGAGGAATGTAATACGCCAAAATGTAACCAATGAAGACAAGGAGCCCAGTCTCTATCAGCCACATTAACTGAGAAGGACCTGTACCTGTAGCGTTGCTAAAGTACTCCCATGAGCGAGTCGTCATAGACGGCTGGGACTGGAAAAGAGTTTTGGACTCTATCCGCCAAATTAACTGTTACGAGAAACGAAAAGAGAAATGATGATGATAATAATAATAAAAATAATAATAATAATAATAATAATAATAATAATAACAATAAAAAGAAGAATATCAAATAATTTTATTTTAGTAAGTTAACTTTATCAACATATTTAATATCCATCCAGGTAAATATTACCTAATACGCAATACAAGTTTTGCGAAGATAAAAATCATACGGTTTGGTTAGCATACTTCTCCTTTCGATAAAGAAACAAAATATTTTGGGAAAATTTTTCTTTCAACAGAATAAAATCTTGAAAATAGCATGCAACTAACAATGGCCGCGAGCCCGTGGTCTAGACATAACTCGTTCCAACTCAGCAAGACGGACATTATCCACTTAACTTTAAGGAAATAACATGTTTTCTATCATACCCGGTTAATAACGTTTCTGCAAGGGAAGATAAGCAGTGGAAAACTCAGCAGAAGTGTTAGCGCTAAAGCCACACGTCCTACATTGACGAGGACATCATCATGCGGATAATTTCTTGTGATATCCTGGTCAGTATACTGTCTGAACTGCAAACAAAAAGTTCAGCTGTTACAATAGCTATTTTGAATCAAGAATTGAAAAGTATTCCAGTAAAGCTTTGGGCTTGCTTCGCTTTTTCCTGCCACTGGTATAGAAAACTCGCTGCGGCCTCTCAGCTAATCAGATGCAAAACTGACCGATACAAACACGACTTAGTCACTAGTAACATAAGACAGTTTTTTTGGTGTAAATCCGAGCTGAAAACGAGAGATTCCGTAACTTACAGTACGAACCAAGGAAGCGAGGTTAGTAAGATATTTAGCATATCTCTGGGTTCAAACAGAGAGAGAGAGAGAGGGTGGGGTTAATAGACTTTCGAATTTAGCAGGCCTTACAGCGAAACACAGCCCGCTAAATTGACCAATCATAGCGAGCACGTACTAAGTGAGAGATATCATGAAAGATTCTTATTCGGTAAATGCGCAGGAACTCAGGGAAAAATAAGGCAAGCAAAACTACCAGACAGTGAAGAAACGTTTGCGCCAGAAAAATTGACCAAGTTTCTTCACATTCAAACCTCATCTTAAAAACACAATTTGTTAATCTAACTGCAGAACAATTTAGCTCACCTGAAAAAATCCAAAGAAACTGACAAGAACGTTGAGAGTATAAGTGATCCCCATGGCTGTATACAAAATAATTCTCTTGTTTGCACGAGTTTGATATCGCAGCTCTCCATGCATGGGTAGGATGTTGAAATGACATGAAAAAGTGAGGCCAGCAATGGAGATAGCTGTGAGAAGCCCGCCAAAGTCATCTGGCCACCATCGCAGTGGGTTTTTAGGATTATCGACCGGCCCTCCGACGTCGTTTAAGATTGACTTGTAAATCACGACTCCGGAAAGAAAAACTACACATATGACGCTGAGGAGATTTAAAAGATATAGCTGACTGATATAACAAACTGCAACTGAAAATATCATTATCATATAAACTACTGCATCGGTCAATTTTAAGTTTTTGATTCACTCGCATGGTATAAATGCCTGACTGACAGTGACCACAGTGGTGGATTCAATTCTTCCAACAACAGTGTTGCAAAACAGGGGTAGTAGAGCAGAGGAAATACACTTTAATCTCTACAGAGAGGATGTATTCTGCACTTCATCTTTGCTTAACTTTCTTGTTTACAACTCTTTTAGATATTGACATGATAAGCAATGAAATAGTTTACCAATTAAATAAAATATCAAAACTGAGAAAGGTAAAGTTTTCTTTCCTTACCTTAAAACTGAGGTAAACCTTAGTGCACTCATACTTTTTAGCAGAGTGATTGGAAAGATGACCACTGTTGGTATAGTCAATATAACAATCTTTTTTGACCAGACGGAATCACGGCCACATAGCAGAACAATTATTGGTTCAATCTATGGAATAAGTTAGAATAATTTTTTATAAAAGAAGCTGAATCAAGGACACATTTGATTGGTTCTTACTCACAAGCTATTGAAGGCCAGGAACATTTGCTTCTTTATTATTCCATGTTGCCATGGAATAATCACAATAAGATTTCAAATTGTGGTAAGAACACCAGCGACACACTTAGCTGTGCCTTAAGTGCCACTTTTTTGTTCTTGACCCTTTAACTCCCAAGATCTGATTGTTAATTCTCCCCTCTAGCTGCTACACATTTCCTTGTAAAATAGCTGCAAGAATTTGGTGCTAGATCAAGATAACAACTTTAACCTGATAAGTTTGATATTCTTATTACCTGCTTACTGGATAATGTATGGATATTATAGGGAGAAGTCACATGTTAATCACCTCTAAGAGTTAAAGAGTTAACCACATTATGCTATCTGTTAAATAAGAAGCAGATGAAGTCCAGACCTGGCTTAAAGACTCACTTGATACTCTCCTATTCTCTTACTCCAGAAATCTTTGGCTCTTCAATGATTGCATAATTCAAAAACAGGCTTAAAAATTTGTTAATTTTTTATTTGTTCTTCCAAAGAGAGAAAATGTAGATCTGGTCCTTATAAGGTTCCTTGCCATTTATAATTTTTTTTACCTTGATTCACAAAAATTTCAATCATTGTACCACTCAAATTTGTTTATTCCACCAATCTAAAGAAGTTTAGAAGAAACTACTTTGATTGCATATGTGTAAATTTACACCTGATAGTTTTAAAACTGACAGAATATCCTAGTTTTTATTAACGTGATTCTAAGACCTATGTGATCTTAAGTTTTATAATGTCCTTAGTATCTTGATATTTTAGTATTTTAAATCTCTGTTATTAGAATTATTGTAGTTCAGTTCCCTTAGGCCATAAGGGGGAATACAGTCTTGACTACTGAAATAAAGATTTACTTGCTTACTTAATTACAAATTGTCATCAATTTTTTCATATCAGATATTTAACCCTTAACTCCCATGAGTGACCAAGATAGAATTTCTCCTTACAATATCAATACAATTTCAAGCAGACAAGTGATGAGAATAAAGAAAAATATCAGTTAAGGGATTAAAAGTTGATCCAATACCAAATTCTCCAAACTAACATCAGGAGAACTGTATGGTAGACAGTAAGGAGAATTACTATTGAGATCTTAGGAGTTAAAGAGTTAAAAGGTGTGGTTCTTGGGTCTAAAATCATCTTCTCTCTGAATACTTGAACAACAACAAGGACAAACAATAGGACGTGCTACTGATAGATCTGTAATTTTTTTTTCAGAATTAACAAACTTAAACTGCTGCAACACTAACCTGGTCTGTGATCAGAATCCAGTATGCAACTGAACATAAAAACAGTGTTACAATAATGACCATTTGAGTAAGAATCTGAAAACAAAGAACAATCAATTTACATCTGACATCACCATACATCTGATTATAAGAAATAGTGTCATTAGAAGCAAGTATGAACTCAATTAGCCCTGTAACTCGGATGAATGACCAAAACAGAATTTCTCCATACAATGTGACTATGTAAGAGAAGAACTGAACAGTATTTCTTATATGAATAGTATATCAGAGACCACACAGTTTTTGTAGTGTGTGTTTCAGGGGTAAAATTAGAGAACGACTCTCTGAAAGTAGCATGTAGCATCTGAGGTGAGATTAGAGGAACAAAGTGTTGAAAATAGTCCAGTGTTGGCTAAAAAGTTTTTAGCACAACTTGATCAAGCAGAAAAGTGATAAGAATAAATAAATTTGAATTAAAAGAAAACAACAAAACTTTTGAGTCTGAAAAACATGTTTCGACAGAAACTTCTGTCATCTTCAGTTAATTACTATGCAAAGTGTTGTAAGTTGAATCATATAGTAAGTACAACAATGCTAATTATGATAAATAGTGACAACAAGAAAAGAGGTAAAGCACGAAAGGGTGAGAATTAAAAAGATAGTTTTAGATTTACATGGTGTAATTGCTGATTCAAGGATGGTTGTTCTCTTTGAATACGAATAGCCTCTTTTATCTTAAGCTGAAAGCCGGTAGAGGCATGATCTAAAACATGGCAGTTATTTGTAGAACACAAAGCGAGACAATGTGGAGAATCTTTCAGATGCCTGAAAAAGTAAGAGGCCATGTCACTGACTAAGTGCCCTCCAACACGTGTGGAAAAATGCCACACAAATTAGTAGATAATTAGATGATCCAATACCAAATTCTCCAAATTGACATCAAAAGAATTGTATGGCAGACAGATTCCTTACTGTCTGCCATACAATTCAAGATGTGAGTTGGAGAACAAGAACTCCAAGGGCTCCCAATGGGAGTCAACCCGTGACAGATGATTAGTACTTTGGATGTTCAAAAAAAATTCACCCTCTTCATTTACATTACATGATGGAAGAATTTGAGTCAAACCTACTACAGATAACAAGTACTTTGGATGCTCAAAAAAGACAAAATTCACGATCTTCATTCACAAATTATTGTGCATGGGCATCACAAATCAACATTCTTATTCTAGCAGTATGTAGCAAGTTTGTTACCATGGACCTAGTTAAATAGCCCAGTGTCTGCCATGAGTTTCCAATAACTCCGTGGTAGAACATCCAAAGTACTAATTGGAAGGTTGTAGGTTCAACTCCTATTGGAAACACGAGGAGTTTTTTTTCTGTGCCTGTGTCATTCACTGACTTACTCTCCTTTCACTTAAAACACCAGAACCCATTTCTCAAAGTCTTAGTAACGTAATGGGCTTGTACAGCTGATCTTATTTTCATTCCAGATTGGGGTTTAAAGGTTTCAAAATGATACAAAAAAAACTATCAATTAAAGAAACAAAATGGATCGGTTAGGGTGCCAGAAGCTGCTTCTCTACTGTTTTAATTTTTATTTCAAAATATGGTTTTGGGCCTGTTGAGTTACCTAGACTTTTGAGGAATAGGCCTCAGAGCCTACTGGTTCAAACGGTGGATAATGCTATCCAATGGATAAATCGCGATCCAGCTGATAAGTGTCAACAAAACATACTATGCTATCCACAGGATAGAGATTTATCCAGTGGATACCATAATCCACTCTTTGATCAACCAGGGTCAGGCTTAAAAATTCACCATCTTTACTTATATCATCAATCCATATGATGTTAATTTTACTCTGGTTAGTTGTAATTTTATCAAATAGTTTGTTCACTTAGGCTTTTATCTTCTACTATAAGTCAATTCTTGAATAATCAAGATGAGACAATTAAACATACCTTTCCCTTATTTCCAAAAGCAATATTAGCAACATCTTCAATATTTGTTATTTTCCCTTGACAGTATCTCTTACTGTTTATGACGAGAAATGCCCCATGAGTGGATGCCATAAGAACACAGAATAAGATTATAGATGTCATGATAAAACCTCCTTCTTGAAATGCAAATGGTAATGAAAGAATTCCCCCTCCAACCATGGTTGAAACAAGAGTGAATATTGATGAGAACACAGTTCCTGTTCTTTCATGTTCCTCGCTATTTACAGCATGGATCAGTGGACTGGATTCATTCAGAGGTGATACCTCATCTTTGTCTTCAATCTCTGAGTAATCACTACATTGAAAATATACAGTTAACAATGAGGTGCTGTCGTTTGTTGTTCAACCAGCTGCTCACTTGATATGTGGTAGATCATGACACTTTGACTGTACACTGCTAGTCTTCATCTGACCAGGAGGTTTAGTGGTTGTACATTCTAAGGACATCACTGTGGGAGAGGGGGGAGGGGGTTAGGGGGAGGGAGGGTCTTAGGATTATAAACTTGTGTCAGCAAGAATCTTTTACCAAGATCTTTTTATAGTGCTTGAGTTGTTCGTCTGTAACCACCCAGACAGATTCTCTATCTGGATGGGTTGGTTAGTTGATAGGAGCTCACAAATTCTCTGGGCCTCATAAGCTAATTTCGATGTATGTGGTGTCCGCAAATTTATCCAGAAATTCTAAATTTAGTGATAAGGTCATAATTGTGCCTTACTTTCACCTAGATTACATCCTATAGATTAATCCTTCCTAGTTCGCCTGCAGGGTTTTATGATGTTTGCACTGACTATAGTTGTGAAAAACCAAGTAACTTCTTGAAAAAAGCCATCAAAATCCACTCAAGTGACAATAGAAGCTTTCAAAAGCTACTTAATCAACTGCAGCACAAAATATCGATTGCGTTACTTCCTCGAGGGACGATATTCATTGCGCAATCATCGATTACACAAATTTATGCATTATAGCTGATTATAGCTGAAGAGCGACAAATCGACATTTTCCAAGTACAGAATTAACGACAGAAGCATCATTTTTAGTTATAATTCTATAAAATCTGTTTACATAGGATGACCTCCTTTGAAACAAACAGAAATTTAAGAATGTCTAAAACACAATGAAGTGTTATTTAAGCGCGATAAAATCAACCAACACAATTTACAACAAAAATACAAGGAACTTACGTGCTTAGGTTTATAGCAGATTCTTCGACATTTAGTTGAACTTTTTTACTTTCCTCCGCCATTTAAATTCAACTTAATGAAGTTATTTTTTCGTATAATTATCACAGTCCCTCTTCCGCCTTCGTCTCACAGTAAAAGATGATTCCAGAGTCACGCTCGCGGTGTACTTCGCCGTAACTATTCCGGAAGTGACATATAAGGTAACAGGAAGGAAATAGATCTTCTCCGGTTGAATCACCACTAGTACGTAGTCCCTCTCCGTTTCTTATGACGTCTACCGGTCTCGCACAGTCGCTTGGTCGGAGAGGAAGGGATTAGAGTTGGAGTGGATCGCTAAGATTTAGTTTTCAAAATGAATGTTTTAAGAACGTGGAAACAGTTGTCCAGACTTGGACAGACAACGGTAAGCTTCTTTACAGTCTCAACTCGCTGTTGTCTAATTATGTTCCTCAGATCTGTTCTAAAAAATGAGTACTTTGCGAATCAACATGCGTGTACTGCATGTGATAACAAGAGACGCCGTTAGCAGTTTCCATTATCGTTGTTACCAATATCTGTATTTTTTTTACTTTGTTTTGCAATTATTATGTAGCAAACTCTTCAACAAGGGCTGATAGGCAGTTTGGTACGACTCCAGTCGACGCAAGCTCAAACTTTGGTACGTCCCATTTAATATCCTATCACTCTGGATAGTGATGTTGACTTCCTTATAATTAAATTGGAAACTTTCGCTTTGTTCTTCTCTGGCAATTCGTAACTTGAAAAATATCCGTTAATTTTCTTTTCCAGAGCTTGAAAGAAACAATGTATCGCATAGTCCCGGAGAAACAGAAGGAAGTTGCGGAATTCCGGAAAACTTACGGCGATAAATCTTTGGGGGAGTACACAGTTGACCAGGTACTTTTCACACTCCATGTCACGATTTGAAGAAATTGCGTCACATTTTCTGTTAGATTTTTGTCACGTTAGGGTATAAAGGCCTATTTTTACTATCATTTAAACTGTCTTATCCAAAGTCATCTTATAAGATCTCTGTTTCCCCGTTTGTTTTCCTTCGTTTGGTGTTGGATTTTAATATAAAAATTATAGATTAAAAGGTTCGTCGGTTAATTTTTACCTTCCAGTTCAATGCCTAGATCTATAGTTGGACCAGAGTACTGAGAGGGCAATCTGATTGTGGTTTATTGTAGAATTTAGTGCTAATGGTCATACTTTTAAAGTGAATCGAAAGTTTTTTTACTGTTATTTTGGTGTAGTATTACTGTAGCTCGAATTATCATGATATTTGATCATTAATATTGAATATTAGTCAGTATTGTTTTGATAAATTGTTCTTTCAACTGGAGATTGATTTACCGGTGATGTAGTAACTAAACTTGCACAATTTTGCTTGTCCATCTCAAATTCTATTATCTTTTTTGGTAAAATTTCCGCACAGCCCCATGCTATTGTGAAACAAATCTGTTTTTCCAATGGCAATGTATTGTTATAGTCATTGTTTTCTCTATTCAAGAACTGAATGCATAATGAAGTATGGGGCTGTGCGGAAATTTTACCTCTTTTTTGATCCTTAAAATCTGATCATTACAACAGTTGCTCACATGTTAAGCAAAACATCAGGGAAGGATTTTGGGCAAGCTGTGGTTGTGGTTTCTGGTGCTGTTAATTGAGATGTTATATTGTTCAATCAGAAACATTAAATTTAACACAACTATTTAAGCATTTATATTGTACCACTTCTACTAATACTTAACCCTTTCACTCCCAGGATCAAAATAGTAATTCTCCTGACTGTTTTCTATAAAATTCTTATAATGTTGGCTTGGAGAATTTTATATTTGATCAACTAATAATCTTCAAATTGATATTTTTCTTTATTCTCATTACTTGTCTGTGTGATTTTGTATTGATACGGAATGGAGAAATTCTGCCATGGTCACTCAATTGGGAGTTCAGGGGTTAAACCTAGTAAATCGTAATTTTTATGATATAACAATAAAATCTTATGCCATTGATAGAAATTATATGTTTTATGATGCATACTACTTTAATTAGCAGTAAGTTGGGTTAGATTGACATTGATAAGGGTGCCCTGAATTGTTTTTTATAGGTTTATGGTGGTATGCGAGGTATCAAAGGTTTGGTTACAGAGACCTCACACTTAGATGCAAATGAGGTATTGAAAGAAAAATCTATAATAGTAATAGAACCAAGTGGAGTCCAATTCTGTCTTTAATCATACCAATGATTGACAAAATTAGACAATCGCAAAGAGGGAGTCTGATTTGTTCACACAAGTATGATTATGGACAGAATTGGAAGACATGCAGTCCTGTTACCAATTAATCAAAAGTATTACAAAATTTGAAAAAGAAACTAGACACCGTTTGCTCTAAAAAAAAAAAAATTATAGTTAACTTGGCAAAATGCAAGACAACAATGCATGTACACGACTCATTCTGCTTAGGGTTAGGGTTTAGTCAAAAGTATTACAAAATTTGAAAAAGAAACTAGACACCGTTTGCTCTAAAAAAAAAAATAGTTAATGCGGCAAAATGCAAGACAACAGTGCATGTACATGACTCATTCTGTCCACTCACGTAGGTATGACATGTTAACTGTCCTATTACACTGTCCAATTACAAGCATGATGCATACACTGTCCTATTTGTTTTCAAATTGGGCTGGTGATAACCAATCACTTCAAGAATTTTGTTATAGTTTTGGTTAAATCCAGAATAAAACAATGTTCTGTGACTATTACCCAACGGTCAGTAATTTCACTAATCATTTTTTCAACATTCCAGTAACACAGTTCAGTACGGTGTGCTATTTACAACACATTATCTACTTACAATATATATATTACAATGATCAAAATATACTGTGCAAATCTCAGAATACACTATTCCAATATAGTATTAACCTACAACAGACTAATTTTGTTGGTCTTGAGTTGGTTTTGTGAGCCATTACTATGGATGCACAAGAAAATGAGTAAACTGACTCAACGTTCGTCTTTTAAGTCTGAAGAGAACACCAACACTCTTAACATTCATATGAATAACTTATCATTATCTAATAACTGCAATGTATGGGTAAGGTCTGAGATACAGCTTGTGTGGAATACTTTGGGCAACTCATTGAAATCTAGATTTTGTGAACCTCTTAGGAAAAGGAAATTGGTTTGTCTTGGAAGGTTTGAAAAATTGGGTCTAAAACCATCAATAATAGTCTATGTTAGTCTAAATTCTGTTTAAGTTAACAAGAGTTTCAAGAAACTGAGAGGATAAGAAAGCAGGATATTAACTTGATATTAAGTTTTTTAACGCTAAAAGCTCCATTTTGAGCAATGTCTGATTTCCTTACCATACAATAATTGCATGTCAGATTAAAGTAGTCCAGCACATTTTTAAGGGTATGTAATTTTTCCTTTAATTTCTTTTAGGGAATTAGGTTCCGAGGCTATACAATTCCAGAATGCCAAAAGGTATGTTCTATCATTTAATGCATATTTATATATGGAAGTTATTCATTGTTTGCAGTTGTAAAGGTTACTGTTCTTGTTTTTCTCAAAAGAAGAGTTAAAAATAGTTAGTTATTTTTTCCCCATCATTATAATTTACAAGTATTCACCAAAGTGGAGGTGAATAGTAGTGTGTATTTGCAGCAAGGTAAATATCCTCCAACTTCACCGACACTGAGATGAATGACTATTATAGTATATGCAACCCAGATTCCAAAAAACTAGTTTATTTCTCTCGGTATACCAAAAAATTAGACATAAATTTAACTCTTGATGTGCAGTTTTGTCTCTTTAGCTGCTCAGAGGTGAACAGTACTTGCTATTCACTTTTGAGCTGGCTAATCAATACACATGAAAAACTGCTAATATCAGATATTAAAGAAATGTTACAGAAAAGTAGTACTGAATGTGTTCCATCTGATAACAGATCTTCTTTTGACTTTCTCTGAAGCTTTTGCCTAAGGCAGATGGCGGTGAGGAACCTTTGCCAGAAGGAATATTTTGGTTACTTATGACAGGAGAAATACCAACAAAACAGCAGGTGTGTTTGATGAATTTTTATTGGTTATTGGATTGTAACTTTCCTAAAGGAAACACTGTAGTCCTGAGGCTTGGGCACTGGTCTCAGGATGAAGGTGGCTCAAGTTCCTGTGTTGTATTTTTGGGGAAGACTCCTAACTTTTACAGTACATCTTTTTACTCAAGAGTATAAAGTTGACTCTTGCCCTGTAGACACCTTGCTATTACAGACACCTTGCCATTGTGGAGAAGAGCCAGCCTCCCTTGCAAAATGCTTAAAGAAATGACTGAAATAAACTCCTGTTTTTATGGACTCTTCGCTATTTTGGAAATTCTCTAGATAGTGATTTATTCATTTAAAAGTATTATATACTTGGCCCAGGTAAATTTACAACATGAGGGAAATGGTTTTGAGTTTTTTTTCATTCATTTGTAACCAAAATAGGTTGACAACTTGTCCAAAGAATGGGCTGCCAATGCTGACTTGCCGCCACATGTTGTGCAGATGTTGAACAACTTTCCTGAGACTCTGCATCCAATGAGCCAGTTTAGTGCAGCAATCACAGCTATGAACAGCGAGAGTAAATTCACCAAGGCATACGCAGGTGGAGCTCCTAAAGCAAAATACTGGGAGGTAAAGCCCGATGAAGATTACTACTAGTACATATCTTAAATTCAGGAGTTTCAATTGTAGCAGGTATTAGGGGTGGGGGTGGGGTGGGGTGGGGAGATCTACCTGCTTGTGAAGACCTGACTACCTACTTGTAGCCTTCACACCAATATCACTGTACTCTCAACAAACATATAGCTATCTTCGAATTTGTTCAAATTAAATGACTTTTAGGAACAAAGAAGCAACATGAGTCTGAAAAGACCTCAAAATACAGAAGAAGAGCTTCAAAATTTCCCAGGGAGCCCATGCTTGCCAAGGAACAGGATGCCTTTAAGGCCCTCAAAACTACATGACTGCCATTCTAAACTACCTATTTTTGCTATATTTCAATGGAAGCACTATTAGTAGATTGTCAGTAGAGAATACACACTGTCTGACATATAATTTTATTTTGATGTAACTGCTACTTTGAACTGTAGTTTTTCTTTTACTTGTAACCAGTGGTTTCTAGAACAAATTAGAAAAAACAAATACTCTGAGGCTTAAGGTCAATAGCACAAGAAATTTGGTCTTATTTGGACCCAACACATTGACCGGCTCCCAGTTGGCTCATTAGCTCAGTTGGTAGAGTGCTGCACTGGTATTGCAGAGGTCAGGGTTCAAATCCCGTATGGGCCTGAGTTTTTTTTTTTCAGGTTCTACTTTTCAACTACTAATTCTGTAGTGTTCTTAGCTGTGAGGATCTCTTAATTTTGTTTCTTCACCACAGTGCAAATATATGAATTTCATACATCTAAAATCATCATTCATCACTTGGATGGTTTATTTGGACCCAACACATTGACCAGCTCTCAGTTGGCTTGTTAGCTCAGTTGGTAGAGCACTGCACCAGTATCGCAGAGGTCATGGGTTCAAATCCCGTACAGGCCTGAATTTTTTTTCAGGTCCTATTTTTCAATTACTAGTTCTGTAGTGTTCTTAGCTGCAAGGATCTCTTAATTTCGTTTCTTCACCACAGTGCAAATATATGAATTTCATGTATCTAAAATCAGCACAAGAAATGGTAATGGAAAGCAAAGCAGAATAGCAACAAAAAGTGAATGAACATTATTATTATTATTATTAAAATCTAGGCTTTATTTGTCACCATCCAAAAAGATTGACATTTCTTTAAAGTTCCTTACTCCCAAATTTCTGAACATTTGATTCTCTCTCCGCAGTATACTTTTGATGATGCCATGGATGTGACAGCCAAGATCACAACAGTGGCAGCATACATATACAGAAATGTGTTCAAGGATGGAAAAGTCACACCAGTGGATCCAGGCAAAGATTGGGCTGATAACTTATCTAGCATGCTCGGTTTTGAGGATCCTATGTTTCACGAGATGATGCGACTGTACCTTGTTCTGCATGCCGATCATGAAGGAGGAAATGTCAGTGCTCATACCACCCACCTTGTTGGCAGTGCTCTGTCAGATCCCTATCTGTGCCTTGCTGCTGGTATGAATGGTCTGGCAGGACCTCTTCATGGCTTGGCTAATCAGGTCAGTACCTGTGTTTTCAAATGAGCTCACAGCCACTGGCTGTTCACATATTTTTTCAGCCTACTTTTATGGGGAAAATAGCCCATTGTTGAAAACAGCACCATGTGACAAACATTTATTGACATAAAAATGAGCTTTGTATCTGCCAAAATTTATACAATGACATGTAAAAATAGAACAAGCTTGCCTGGATTCTACAAAATTTCAGGAGTGATTTGTTGTGATTTGTTCTTTGAATCTTTTTTTCATTTTTGTAAAAATGAGCCTTATACTGGTATCTACTAAAGATAATTCTTGTTTCAGAGTATGTGAAATGTGTTTTAGGTGGAAAGAAATACTTTTAACCCTTTCACTCCCAGATCACATTTGTAATTCTCCTGTTTTCCATACAATTCTTATAGTGTCAGTTCAGAGAATTTAGTATTGGATCAACTAAGTATCCCCAAATTGATATTTTTCTTCACTCTCATCACTTGTTCGGTTGATACTGTATTGATATTGTGAGGAGAAATTCTGTCTTGGTCACTCATGGGAATTAAATTGTCTAGGAGCATGCATAACTTGTCACTCCAAAGGAACACTGTAAGAAATCTTTTGAATTGAAGATGCATTGGCAAGGAAAATTTCAACCCTGTAGTGTACTAATAAATAACTGTTGAATATACAATTGAATTTTGTAGGAAATTAAGTCATACTGATTTTAAAGGGTGCTTTTGTCACCTCTGCCTATGAATTTGATTGATGGTTGACAATAGATAATCATTATATTACATACAAATTTCATTATATTACACTTTTTTGTTATTCAGGAAGTCTTAATCTGGACCACAAACATGCTAAAAGATGTAGGAGACAACCCATCTACAGAGAAAGTTAGGGAATATGTCTGGAACACTCTGTCTGGTGGGGTAAGTACCATGCAGGGATTTCTGCCATTTTACTTTTTGGTTGATGGGCACTGGTTGTTTACCCTTTTAATCATAAGTAAAAAAAACAATCAAAATGGGTGTTTAATTCTGCAGCTTATTGATACCGTATACAAATTGCATGTAGCAACCTTGTTCTTTTTTCCTTTTTTTTTCTTAACAGCAAGTTGTGCCTGGTTTTGGACATGCAGTTTTGAGAAAGACAGACCCTCGTTACACAGCCCAGAGAGAATTTAGCTTAAAGCATTTGCCAGATGATCCCCTGTTCAAACTTTGTGGTCAGCTGTATGAAATTGTTCCAAATGTTTTACTGGAGCAAGGAAAAGCAAAGAACCCTTGGCCTAATGTTGATGCTCATAGTGGAGTTCTTCTTCAGGTAATTGAAATGTAGAGGAATCTGGGGCAGGGAGCTTGGAGTAAAGGAGTTGGGAGGGAAGTTTGACAGATGATTGGGTGGGAAGCAAGAATGTAATAGGTTAGGAAGTTGAAGAAAGTGAAAAATGGCAAATATTTTTTTATCAAATATCTGCAGTGTTTGGTAGGTGCCTTCCACATTGTTGGAAGACCTTGCCTTGTTTGTGGGTCAGAAAATAATTTTCCCCCTCAACAAAAATGATATCATTCTATTAAATTATTATCATTCTGACTATTAATAACAACGATGATAATGATGAGTGTGTAATTGACAATTTCATGTAACTGTTTAAATGCTTTGGGGTCTGTTTCTTAAAAGACATGGTCACTTTCTGGGCCAGACAGGATGATTTTTTTTGCCATGTTCTAGATCAAGATTTTGACAGTTTTGAACTTCAAACAATGAAGATATCAGGAAATGAAAACAGAATGACCTGGATTTTGAGCTGAGACCTGCAATTTCATGTGTTTACTTAGTCATCTTTTGTTTTGATTACAGCACTATGGTTTGACAGAAATGAATTACTACACTGTTTTGTTTGGTGTATCGCGTGCCCTGGGTGTGCTTTCATCATTAGTCTGGTCTCGTGCCCTGGGTCTCCCAATTGAACGCCCGAAGAGCATGACAACAGAATTGCTTAAATCAGCTGTTGGTGCTTCATAGGCACTCCCGAATACTTTCAAAACAAAATATGGATCTTTGCTGCTGGTCTGCTTAAAGGAAACGGAACTGCAACGATAAAACACCCAGTGTTGTTTTTAGAAACTTTTTTTTTTTCAAATTTTCATTTTCTCTTCTCTAAACTTTCTTTTGTGTGCTTCAACTGGATATAATAAGTAATTAATAAGTATAGTACAGGAAAAATTGTATTGGATAATTCAGTGTTATTGACACTTTGACTGCACTTTTTATTAACAAAACAGAATAGACTCAGGTATTTAAGAGTGAAGTGTAGGTAGTGATAACACATGGATTGAATGATAAAGGGAAATCATATTGTACCCATGCAGTACTTTACCTTGATAACAGCATATTCTTCTCACAATTTATGTCCAAAGTTCTTGATATGATAATAATTTTGTACAAGTTACACAGAATTTCCCAAATAAAAACTAGCTCCTCACAATAGTGCTTTAATTTATCTTCTGTCTCACATATAATGGTATCATTAAGTGTAAAGTTGACAGGGCAGGACTATGCAAATTTAAAGACGTTTATAAAAAATTGCAGGATGCAGCATAACAAAATTAACTGCCGTTACCAATCACTTTCAACACTTGATCAATTCATGTTCCCCAGCATTTGTGTAAACTTAAAAAAGGGCAGTTCAATCTTTCAAAGTCTTTGCATCCTTCACAACAACCAAGAAACAACACACAATAAAATAAAAAAAGATGATCTGGAAAACAACACCAAAACTTTATTGAGGTCAAACTCTTGCACTGTTAAACAACTGGCTTTCAAGCAGCTCAAAAAAGCAAAAAAAGTGTACTTAAAATTAGTGAGCAGTATGCTTATTACGAATATTAAATAATTATAAAAAGACTACCTAGCTAGACTGTCTTGAAATTTTGTTTTCAATACTGAAATAGTGGCCAAGCTTTCACAATTATAGAAAAGAGGTCCAGACAAGTTATTTACCAAGAAAACACTGTACTTCACAATGATTAACAGTTAGTTATTTCACAGCTAAAGTAACAGTAATTTCCAAGAATGTGATTCTTTTCTTCTCTAGCAGCACCACCACTACATAATCAAATAGCAGCTGGCATTACTCAAAAATCCCCAAGATGTCAGTGTCACGGTAGATGAAGTATTCCTGTTAAGAAGAGAACATTCCTGTTAGTCCACACTAAGTGAATATGTCCAGCATTTAGTGCAACTTTGTTTTATGTACTTATTGACTGAGTGGCTGGGAGGGCCAAAGGTTGGTGCATTATAACCCAAAGCCAGCTATTTTCTCATCTGGCCAGACGAAATGCAGTTAATAAGCATTTTATCCTATGGCCACTGAGAGATCAAAATTTTGAACATTTTTTTTTTTTTCAACCTAATTAGGAAGTACTTGCCAAAACTTTAATAACCTTCATTTCTTTGAGTAAGAAAAAGGAACTCATAAATTCATAGAGAAATGCAACTTGATCATTTTCTCATTTGCTTGGTCCAACTTGAAATCCACAATGTTCTTGTTCTCAGAATATGCAAAGAGATGTGCAGGTGCCGAGGGTCAGATGGCTTTTTTTTTTTGAGTGGCTTGCGTCAACTTGTCCAGCAATACACACCCAACCTTTCTCTATGGTTTTCTGTGGGATTATGCATGTGGGGCTGTTTATATCATTTGATAATATGGTAATGCCTTATTTCAGCCAAAACACAAAAAACAGGAAGATTACAGGCTACCATCAACAACACCTACCTTTTCATCCAAATTTATTTTTGTTCCTCCATATTCTGGTAGTAAAACCTTGTCTCCAACCTTGACATTAACTTCTATCCTTTGGTTGTTCTAAAAACAAAACAAAGTATTTTAGTTTAACCCTTTCCACACAAACATCAATAAGAATATTCTCCATACTGTTCACCATACATTTACTAAAAAGCTGCCAAGGTGAATTTGTTGAACGATCAAATTCTTTATTCTTGTAACATTAATGTTTGATTCAAGGGTGATATGTCCAGGAGAAATAAGCTGCCAATCACTCTTAGGGGTTAAAGAGTTATTTCTCCATACTGTTCTGTGGACATTTCTTAGGGTGCTGGGGATGAGAATTTGTGTAACAATCAAGAGCTTCTCTAACTGATGACTATTTCCTTAAATTTGTCCTTGTGACCTTAAAGTTTGAGTGATATTGTAAGGAGAAATTTAATGCTTGGCACTCTTTGGGGGTGTAAGGGTTAACCCTTTCACTCCCACAAGTGACCAAGACAGAATTTCTCCTTACAATATGAATACAATATCAAGCAGGTAGGTGATGAGAATAGAGAAGAATATCAATTATGAGATTATTAGTTGATTCAATACCAAATTCTCTGAACTAACATCATAAGAATTGTATGGCAGATAGTAAGGAAAATTACTAATTAGATCTTGGAGGTGAAAGGGTTAAGGAGAGGGCAGATACATTTGCTAGGTGCTACAGACTATGATGACTATCTCCCTATTTCAAAAACAATTGACTAGCTGTGATGATTTATTTCACTTTGTAAGCAGGAAACAAGCTTTTACTTTGTGATCCCAGTTTCCAGGGCCAGCAGCCACAACAGTACCCTCTAGCACTTTGCCTTGGCCTTTCTCAGGAAGGAGAACACCTCCTTTTGTTTTCTACAGAAAATACAGAGTCAAAGATCAGTTGCCATCTTGAATACCGCCTGCATGTGTATGTTGTGGTTCAATTTTATCCTTGATTCAAATGTTTTTTTCTTTTGTTTTTGAGTATTGTAATGTATGATAATGAGTTTGAAACAAAGGAAAATTAAATTTGAACCAAGGATAAAATTGAATCACAACATATACCTTGAGTTAAAACTGACTTTGCCTAATAGCTGTTTATCAGTACTTAAATCAAGAAATAGCAAGAGTGGGTCTGAATCTGTGCCTACTCCATACAAGCTCTCAGTCATAGAGGGAAACTTCCTCAAACTTTTACTGATTTTCAATCTCTTAAGTTCTCTAATGATCACATAACTTCACCTTAGTATGAGGATTTCAATCTGAGGCAAAGGTTGATGATAGATTGGAGGGGGAAAATAGTTTTGGATGACTGTTTAAATTTTACCATACCCCTTTTCCCAACCTCCCTATCAAACTCTTAAGGCTGGTTATTTACAAGAGGTTTAATCCAAACTGTGGTTTTTATGCAAGCTGTGGGCCTCAGAGATGCTCTCTAATTAAATAAATGTCCTTCCATGGCTAGCTTTCAGCCCTCTTGACACTAGTCACAAAAATAAGTGTTCAGATAGAAGATTCAGCTTAATCAAAGATAGTTTGGGATGTGGTTTTGTTCAACAACAGCTAAACTTTCTTTAAATAACCAGCCCTTACAGTTCTTGAGCTTTCACCCCATCATTTATACCCATCATTCCTTATTCTCCCAAGGCCCATCCAGTCCCCTTCCCTGCTGCCATTTTTTGATGTGTGTGAACAAGTCACCTGTGATACCATGCATTGTAGAGACATGTCACAACAGACCAAGGAATGTCATTTGAGGATACATGGAAAGCCTTTGATGTGAAAACTATACTTTATGCTTAAGTAAATTGAACTCATTTTCACAAGAAGGTTTTGTTCTTATCCTCATTTGGAAGGTGGGGATAAAAGAATTCAGAAATTGCCAATAGTATGAACAAAATATTTGATCCACTGTCTTCTCACCACTTCTGGGAGGAATTTTTCAACCAAGATCCTGTCAAAGAGAGGCTTGAATTTTCTTAAATTAGCCTGGAGGAGAGAAAGAAACACATGGGAAAGATCTCTTATGCAATACTGTAAAACTATTGCACAGATGAATACAGTGCATTATACGCATAAAGTTCTCTCTTAAATTTGTAGATTAAGGTACTGACGCGAACACTTTTTCCTTTAAAAATACGACGTATAAAAATAATGTTAAATATGTACAAGAATGAATTGAAAGAAAGCCTTGGGTTAAATATTCGATTACGTTATAAACCACTTCTGACTACATCACAAGCTACTCTAGTAACAAATTGACTTCAGTCACGTAAATCGATCCATAAAATTTTGAAAAATTTGAAGATCCTCAAAGTGAGACTTCATATCCTTCAAAATTTTAAATTTATGATCAAAAGATGAGGAATTACTTACCATTTCACAAGAAAAAAAAAGCGTGAGGCCTCTGCACCGTGGAAAATATTCTCCACACGTGTAAATCGATCGTTTACTGCGCAGTCGTCAATTGCATAAGGAGGTGTGTCATACCTTTCATTTAGGGAGGGGACTGTTAGGAGTACGCTTCTTGAATTAGCTAACACTTCCGAAACATATTTTCAGAGAAACCATGTAATTTACCTGAAGATTCTAAGAGATATATTTAAAGCCTGAAGACATTAAATATGTAAAAAATATCAGTATTGGGAATATTTGTAATATTGTAAATTGCACATAAATTACCCTCCCCTGGAGGAAAATAGTTGCCCCTGCACGGAGCATGCCGATTGCAGGTTCTCGTCTTCGTCCTTTTCTGCACGTGGGATAGCGAGGCACATTTAGCCACCGTTGGTCTTCGAAGTTTGCACAATTTCGTGCTCCTTTCAAGTTTTGAACTCTAGATCGCTGAATAGTATACTTCAGGTATGTATTCTGATCAGTTACAACTTACTTTACAGAGAGTGAGAATTTTAAATGACAGTAATTTCACGCAATATGTCAGACTCGGAATACATATGTACCGCACACGTGCTTCAAGGTAAATTTTTTTTCAGAAATCACGATTTCTTCTCTAGAGAACCCCGATTTTAAGCAGAACAATTTCCACAATGGTTGTGATTCGTTCTTACTTAACCCCGATCTTGTTGTGAATTTTTTTCGCTTTGTCATACTCTCTGGAAGAAATTTAAAAAGAACAACTTTGTAACCACTCGGTATAGATTTTGTTCGTAATCCACATAGAAGGTCGGATTTCCTCCAATGGTTTAAGTTTTGTAAGCGACTGAAAAATTATAACCATCGGTGCAGTCAAAACTTTTATGTTTAACACCAGTCTTTCATTATTTTTTGGTGCAACCTTTTCGGTAGATTGCATAATACACATGACCAAGCCGTTCTGTCTTAGTGGTGGTTGGCTGAGTTCGTTGCACCTTGCAAAATTTTTTGTGGGTCTACTCATCGTTTTGTTAGTTCTCTGAAAAAAATTAGGAAGCCAAGATCCCAGACAAGATCTTTGGAAGTTCACTTCAAGAAGATCTAACAGAGTAATTTCTTTTTTCACTGCAGATAATTCGATATTTCATGAAGGTCTCAGTAATATATCATTGGGGGGTGCAACCTTTAACTCCTAAGATCTAATTGTTAATTCTCCCCTCTAGCTGCTACACATTTCAATGTAAATTTTTTACAAGAATTTAGTGTAAGATCGGTGATGAGCATTCTTATTGCTTGTTTGCTGGACATTGTATGAATATCATAAGCAGAAGTCGCATGTTAACCACAGACTCAAATCTCTTTTTCTTTGTTTTTTTTTAGAATGTATCGTCTATCAAGTGTGATCCGTCCGGCCAGACAGCTGTTCACTCCAAAAATCTTGGCCCCTCGGCTTGCTGTTGGGTTCAGCACCTCACAGCAACAACAGTCTGCCAAGGAGCTCAAGTTTGGGGCTGATGCAAGATCCAATATGCTTAAAGGAGTTGACACCTTAGCTGATGCAGTTGCAGTCACTTTGGGTCCAAAGGTGTGGGGTTACTGTGGTTCCATGTTAGATGGCAGACAAGTCTCTCTCTCTCTGGAGCAGATTTCATTTTAAGATGAAGAAAGACAAATTTTAAGCTCTGCAAATTTCTTTGCAAAGGAACAATGAAAGATGTTCTCATTGGATTAAAAAGACTTCTGAGACCCATTAAATCAGAAGACAATTCACTCTTCCACATCTTGCTCTCATAAGTTTCAAGAGTTCCTCTTTCTTTAACCTGAGACCATAAGCAATTTTCTTGTTTTTTTTATTTCCGAGCTACTTGGTAAAGAGAGGTTATGTTTGACCTCTGAGTTAACATTTTATTTGAATTTTTTTTTCCTACAGGGAAAAAATGTTATAATTGAACAAAGCTTTGGAGGCCCAAAGATCACTAAGGATGGTGTAACAGTTGCCAAAGCCATTGAACTGAAAGACAGGTATCAGAACATTGGTGCTCGTCTTGTGCAAGATGTTGCCAACAACACTAATGAAGAGGCTGGAGATGGTACAACAACTGCAACTGTCCTGGCCAGGTCCATCGCCAAAGAAGGCTTTGAGATTGTTTCCAAGGGAGCAAATCCACAGGAGGTTAGGAAAGGTGGGTTTAAAGAATAAATTTGATTTTGTTCTCCCTGAATTACATGCCTTCAAGCAATGTTTTTGTGGGGAGAATTTCACTGAAAAAAAGGATTGCACTTAATTTCCTTTAAACACATTTAGGTAAGTATACTTTGCTTTAAGCAGCTTACAAGTTAAATAGAATGGACATCACCTTTGCAGGCATTTCTAGTCAGCAAACAATCTCACTTTGAAGAATTTGGTATTGGATCTGCTGCTATTTCCCTAAGTGATATATTTCTTCATTCTCATCACTTGTCTGCTTGATATTGCATCAATACTGTAAAGAGAAATTCTGTCATGGTCATCCATGGGAGATGAAGTTAATTTAAAATTAAAAGGCTATTCTAGCATTGTTTTTCGTAGGATTATAGGTAACTACCAGTGTTGTCTGTTTGCAGGTGTTATGCTGTCAGTTGAAGCTATTGTTGAAAACCTAAAGAAAATGTCCAAACCAGTTACTACTCCAGAAGAAATTGCTCAGGTTGCAACAATTTCTGCTAATGGCGACAAAGGCATCGGAGAACTGATCTCCTCAGCTATGAAAAAAGTTGGCAAGAATGGAGTCATCACTGTGAAGGTTACTGGCTAATTTTACTTGTTTGCTATTGATTATTTACCTTATATCAGCGAGAAACATGGGAACATAATGCAAGGTGATTTAATTTTTTTTTTATCTTAAAGGATGGCAAGACCCTGTATGATGAGTTGGAATTGATTGAAGGAATGAAGTTTGACCGTGGATTCATTTCTCCCTATTTTATCAACACTACAAAAGGTAATGAATAACTTCAACCTGATCTTGCAATCTGTTCATGAAATCTAACTTTTTGTTCTATCTGTATCCACTTGTAGGACAAAAGGTTGAGTTCCAGGATTGTTTGGTTCTCCTGTGCCAGAAGAAGATCTCTTCCATTCAACAGATTGTTCCTGCGCTTGAGCTGGCTAATGCACACAGGAAACCTCTTGTTATTGTAGCAGAGGATGTTGATGGTGAAGCTCTGACTACACTTGTCCTCAACAGGTAGTGGCCTTCAGCCTTTCATCATTAAGAATTTGAATTGGTGTTAACCATATTCATGGATTGTGTTCATTTTGTTTGTTTTAGCTTCTCTATGGATTACAGATGGCTTGGAAAAGTTGCCCTCTTTTCCCAACCAATGCAACATATAACAATCACAATTTGGTCACTTGTGTTTCCACTCTTTATGCCTTAAACTTCCAACTACATCAATTTCAGTCAAAGATTTTACTCTCCCTTATAGTCCACAGACTTCAAACTTAAAAAAAGTACAATACTAAGACAAAAAGAGAAATGCTTATTTACTTACATTGAATTCTGATTGTATCAACCAAAGGGATATGTTGCTAACAGGAAGGGTTAAAATGATTTTGAACTGTTAGTACAATGGTACACAGGGAGGTTATCACATTAACTACTTCAAATCCACTCTCTAGGCTCAAAGTTGGTCTCCAAGTGGCTGCAGTGAAGGCACCAGGTTTTGGTGACAATCGCAAGAACACACTGCAAGACATGGCCACTGCCATGGGTGGTATGGTATTTGGAGATGATGCTCTGGAAACAAAACTTGAAGATGTCCAAATTCAAGATCTTGGTGAGGTTGGAGAAGTGTCAATCACTAAGGATGACACACTGTTCTTAAAAGGAAAGGGTAGCACAGAGGAAATTGAGAAGAGGTGCGCTCAACTCAGAGAGGAGCTTGAAAATACAACTTCAGAATATGAGAAAGAGAAAATAAATGAACGTCTGGCCAAGCTCTCTGATGGTGTTGCTATCTTGAAGGTACAAAGATACAGGCTTAATTTGATTGCTGATTCTTGTTCTGAAGATTTTCTACCAAAGTGATTTCCCCTAGTAGTTAACTCACCCTATTCTCATCACCTGCCTCATAGGCTCTATATAACATTGTATAGTTCTTCACAATGGCTTTCTCGCATACATTTTTAGGCTCTAAGTTGCCCTCCATTTAGAGTGTCAAGTTTCAAATAGGCTCCCTTTTGCTAAAAGCTCCACTCCTTCCAAATTAAATCTTGTTAGATGTTAGATGTCAGTAAGGCCATATTTGCAATTCAGTCTCAAAGTGGTATGTAACTAAAAGCCTGTAATATATTCTTTGAAATACCAATGATATTCTAGGTGACAATACAGAAGAGAAACTAGTAGTCACATTTTGGCATGGGAGAGGGTCTTTTTAAGCCCTTATTTGGTTAACTTACCTCTCCAATAAACCTCATCCTCTCATTCCAAGAGATTGACAAGCTTCTTCAAAGCTGGTAAGAGCATTCATGGCACACTTGCCAATAACAATCATCCTTTTGTAGATTGGTGGTTCCAGTGAAGTAGAAGTGAATGAAAAGAAGGACCGGGTAACAGATGCTTTGAACGCCACCAGAGCAGCTGTGGAAGAAGGTCTTGTGCCTGGGGGTGGTGTTGCCTTGTTGAGATGTATCCCCAGCCTTGATGACATCAAGGCAGAAGGTGAAGACCAAGCCAAGGGAGTAGACCTTGTCAGACGGGCTCTGCGTAAGCCATGTCAGACTATTGCAGAGAATGCTGGTGTAGAGGCAGCACTTGTGGTGGAAAAGGTGGGATTTGTTTTCAAGAATGTTTTCAGGTTGACTCAGTACTCAGCAAAAGGGTGCTAGGGTACTTTGATAGCTGTTTCTCTTTTCATTTTGGTTCTACAAGCAGTTTTCTTTTCACACCAACATGGTTATTTTACGTTTCCTCTTTAAGGTGGCCTCTATGGAAGGTAACCAAGGTTACGATGCCCTTAACAACACCTACGTAGACATGATCCAAGCAGGAATCATCGACCCCACAAAAGTTGTCAGAACAGCTGTGACAGATGCTGCAGGTGTTGCGTCCCTCTTAACCACAGCAGAAACAGTCATTGTTGATCAGCCCAAGGATGACAAGGCAGACATGGCTGGCATGGGTGGAATGGGCGGAATGGGTGGAATGGGTGGAATGGGTGGAATGGGTGGAATGGGTGGATTTTAAATGAATGGATGAGATATTATTCAATGTGCTTTGGTTCCCTGATTTCACAACTTGCATATCTGGAAACATTTATGTTTAACAGTAGCTCATAATGCTCTGGATGTTCAAGACTGTGTGATCTTTGAACTGCGGTCTCCCTATACTGTTTATGGATCAAGTGCATTTTCTGGAAAATCAGACAGAATGCTGGCTTGCAAAGACAGCTGATTTGATGATCATAGCTAAAACACCAGCTAAAACAGAAAAAAAAACTTGGCTGGTTCAAATTTTGCAGGCTAGCATAGCATGCACATTGTAAAAATTACAATAAGACTGAATTAAAGTTGGGTTTATGCATAGGCCTCTGTGCAAAGAATTCAGTTTTAGCTGTGTAGATCCATGCAATAGCTTGGGTAAATTAGTTCATGCATTATGAATTCTTTTCACTTGCATTGCTAAGTAGATTGCATTTCTGGTGCTCCATCTCAATAAAATCGTTTTTTGTCGTACTTTGTCTTTGTGTGAGTCTAGGGATGATGATAATAATGATATTAATAATAATGGTAATAATTATAATTATAAAAAATAAAATGATAATGATGTTTTCAATAATTTAGATAATAATTATGATAAAAACAATAATAATATTAATAGGTTCTTTGTAAAGGGTGATGTTTGACGGTAGTAGAAACAATGATAAAGCTGTGACCCTTTAAACTTTACTAGATTGAAAATCTTCAACTAGTAGGAATCAAACCATTTGGCTTTTCACAAATTTGGTGGACAAATGGACACTAGGACTACTGAGAAACAGGTCCATATCAGTAGTCAGAGCGGCTCTCGAACGTAGAGTTGCGCCTTGCATGCTGCATTCTGCTAGGTGTTAAAACAAGGTAAATGAATTGCGGTTAGATTGCACCATGGTTAGATCGCTACCAGTTAGATTGCTTCAACCAAAAGTTAGATCGCCCCACTCGAAAGTTAGATCCATCAAATAAGTGACTTCCTTCTCAACATAAACTAAGGTAAAGGTAGCAAAACTAAGGTATCTAAACTGATAGTTCATTAAATGACGTGCATATCTTACCGAACAATCGACTAATATCGCTCGCGCGCTTGAAATAAATCCGAGCTACGCAGAAAGAACAAATAAAGCCTCGAGAAAGGAATCTACCTTATTTATTAAAGATGGCGGGTATCAATTTCCTTACATCAAACAGCAAAAAAGGTCACACTGGATAGTATTGGTATTTGAATTCTAAAAATCATACTATAACGTTATAACTTATTCCAAGATCTTTTATTCCATCGTCGCTATACATCATACATCGGTAGCTCAGTGGCTAATCTGAAGGACAGAGTTAATATCGGTGAATACGATGTACTCGTATCGTCCCAAGACACATCATCACCCATAAACTTTAAAGATCATTGGTAAGTAATAATTCACTTTACAACACGAAGCGAAGTAACTTATGTTGGTACCGAAGTAACTTATTTGATGGAGCGATTTAACTTTCGAGTGGAGCGATCTAACTTTAGGTAGGAGCGATCTAACCATGGTGCGATCTAACTGGATACCGTTTAAATGAAGGTTGCCGGTCCCATCGCCGACATGTCAACTCGCCGACAATTTGTGTTGCTTGATTTGAAATTATGTCGGTATAAATGAAACAGTAAACCGTTGAATCCGTTACTCTCAAAAACAAAGGAACAAGAAGTCACACCTTCTTAGCTCCAGCAAAGCCTTAATGAAAGTCACAAATACAATAATACCATGGAATAGACAAGTTTCTTTCCGTGAAGGAGTGAGGTATCGATGTTAAAAACTTGAGATAAGTTCTAAAACAGTTTCCGTCTTTCCGCCATGCATTCACCGAAGTTAAGTACTGATCAATGTTTCCACGTATTGCTGTTCAGTGAGAGAAGCCATTACTTTCAGTAACTCACTATCGAAAACAAATAACACCAATTGTACGCCGAACTATGATTAAAAACACCTACTGTTAATATCTTTGGGAGAAGAGAAAACTTCTTAGTTCCTAAACTTAGCCTTGATACGTAAAATAGAACGCGTGTAACATTTTTTTGAAAATCGCGGGCAGAAATCTTTCAGATGGTGTTTTTTCTGAAATATTATTATCATCATTACATTTAGTGAAGTTATCTGACTGTTCAAAGAAGTCATTTACCTCACTCTGAGTGGAAATTAATCTCAGATTAAGATCTTTAAGCTTAAAACTGAAAAAATAGGTTTGACTATGTATGTCGGCGCAGTGCAGTGACCGGTATATCAGCGAGTTGATTAATGTGGACTTTCGGCGAATTGACCAAAGGTTTCCGCGAGTTGATCAATAGGGTCGGCGAGTTGGCTGCCTGCGAGTTGACATGTCGTGTGCGGCAAAGTGAACGGGTATCCAAGAAAGTGATCTTACTTCCTGCTCACAGCTTGACACCAAAAAGTTTTTCGCTAAATTTTATAGCGAAGTCACATTTCTGTTACGGAATTTTTTTTTGTTCAGCTACGTAATTAATTATTGTTTGAATCAGTCCCTGAAAATCACTGATTAGAGATTTATGGTTTGGGTTTCTGTTTATCCAAACAGAGCGTGGGAGCGAATGACAGAAGAGATTTGTTTTTTTTTTTTCCAATTGCGGTTATTAACTTCGTTCTCGTTTATCATCCAGGAAAAAAACATTTTCCGGGTGGTTTAAACATATTTCAGACCGAAAGCGGAAGAAGAAAAAAAACTCCTGTTGTGACCAAAAGCATTTAACCATTTTTAACACATTTTCGTGAAGATATGGACAGCTGAAATTGTTCATTGTCCTTTTTTAGTAATAAAATCAAGACTGCTCCTGTACGTGGAAGTCTGATTATTGCGCGCGTAGGACTGGATGTGAGGAAATACGTCATAAACAGGGGTGGTGACGACATGAGACTAAGGCTTTACTATTTCTACGGCCATTTTGGTAAACCGGCAACCGATTATAATTTTTAGAAACTTTCGGAGATCTTGGATTTCCTAGCAGCAATTCAAGAATACTGTGGGAAAGAATGGACATTTTAGACTACATACATTGACTTTTAAGGTAAGACTTCCGCGGTAACGTGATTTTTCGGAGGCGCGAAACCATGCATAGACTTGCACGTTTTCGAAGGTATCTCTTTGCAAGGATCTAAAAATTTGTGGAGATAAGTGCTTTCACGTTAAGTCATTAGATTTCTAGTTTAGTACTTAATCCTGACACGGTGAAGCTCGCTCCGTCGATAACGAACTCTGATAAGCGTTTCCCGCAATGAGAACACGATCAAATTGCTAAATGTAAGTAGTTTTCATCTTTGTATACAACCAGATGACTGCGAATTCCCAGACTTGCAACTTATAGTTGTATGATTTTTGCTACCGATAAGTCATTCTTCTACGAGCAATTTAATCATCTGATAATTATATGCACAATAACATCGTATTTTTTAGGTAGCACACCTAGACTTGAACATTTTATTTTGTCGATAAATTGTGACATTCCTTATTGAGGAAATAGTTGATTTCAATTTTGGCTATCGTTCGGAGTGTTTGTCCAGCGTCGATTGTAAAGTGTCATTTCATTAATTTCATGTGAGTACATTTCTAGCATTGCATTTTGTTTCCTATATCCGTATGCGTCGAACAGAGAGAGTGTCAATTGTCTAAGTACCACTAAACAGAATGTTTTGCGCGAGATCGAAACCTTCCTAGCGGAAGTGATAATGCTAGTCGAGCAATATTTGATTCGAAAATATGCCCATCACAATTTTTCTATTAAGTTTCATCGTGATATTTCATCAGATTTCAATTCTCAATGGCAAAAGTCAATTCTTTACGTCGTTGATGTCCGGAAATCTTGTTAAACAAAGAGGATTTGATTCATGATGAAGAATTCTTTCTACATGTATGCAAGTATCAGTCTCGAAATATCTTTATGTCGCCTAAGTTACGTGTAAGAGTGCGTATGATATGGAGACAAAGCTGATAACTTGTCATTTAAATGCGTTTGTAAGAGCTTAAAAAACAGGCTGTTGCGTGTTTCTTTCCTCAGGATCCAGGAAGTATAATTTTTTTTTCGTATCTACTAACCCTTCGTGCTTCAACTTTTAATTGGTATCGAGCCAAAAATAGTGAAATATTAACGAGAATGTCAACTTTTAGTTGTATTTTTCCTTTTAAGCAAACAATGTTTGCAAAAAAATAATTACCCACATTTATTAACCAGCAGATTTAGCTTGCAGAAGGGAGGTATCTTGAAATATTTTTTCCAAGTGGTGGTTTTTTTTTAATAGAGTTAATTACCAATTACGAATAATGAGGTAATGTAAATTGCATTTAGCATATCTGATCAGCTAACAATTTATTAGATACCTGTAAGATTAAGATACTAGACTTGGTTCAAGGTTACATAACAGAATAGAAATTATAAGCAGTGGTGGTAATGAACACAGTTATGTTTGAAAAGGGAAATGGACTGGGTGTTTCCTGGTTATTGTTGTTAACTCCGAAATAATTAACATTTATCTTCTCCCTATAATATTTATACATTATCAAGCAAACAGGTAATGAGAATACTCAAACTTACAGAGGCAGAAGTTGTTATCTTGATCTATCACCAAATTCTCGTAACTAATTTACAAGGGAATGGGTAGAAGCTAGAGAGGAGAATTAAAATCAGATCTTGGGTGTTAAAGGGTTAACAAAATAATGGCTTTGAATGAGCTTATAGAGGAAGTTTCATCAAATGGCTACGTACTTGGACTTAGATGTGAGAAGCTAGCTTGCTTGCTTGCTTGTTAGTCAAAAAGCTTTCTTATAATGAATGGTGTCTTATATATTATGCCATCATATTAATTTTCTCAGATTCAGAGTGGTAGATAATTAGGATGCCTGATTTTTAGACCTTGTATAAATCTTAACGTCCAAGGACTTATTAATGAGTAAATTCTCCTCACAATTACAGTACATTATCCAGCAAACAGGTGACAAGAATAGACCAACTGATCAGGTGGAGGTTTTATCCTGATATAACATCAAATTATCATTACTAATATACAAGGAAATGAATAGTGGTTTGTAGAGAGAATAGCTCATCAGATCATGGAAGTTAAGAAGTTGTAGCAGAGGAATTTGGTCAACATGACAGTGTTTTTTTCAGATGATACTTGTTTGTTATTTCCTTGTTCAAATTACCTTGCTTGCATATTGATCTGAGATGGATAATGGCTGCACAGTTTGAATGAAAGAAACTAATGCCTTATTTATTCTTTTCTCTTACAGATACTAAAGAACTTTGTAACAGGGGGAGTAAAGTGAATCAAGGGAAAAATGCCTCCTCCCCCTCCTCCCCCTCCAGGACCACCACCTCCCCCTGCACCCAGAGCTTCTGGTCCACCTCCAAAATCCTCTGGAAAGCCTCAGAATAGGGGGGCCCTGCTAAGCCAGATCCATCAAGGCGCCAAGCTGAAGAAGACAGTCACAAATGATCGTAGTGCTCCTACTGTATCAAGTAAGTTACCAAAAACAAATCCAAGGAATTTCTAATGCAAGTTCTTGAAAAAAAAATTAGAGCATGTAAGAGTTTGTAGGAAATACTTCTTACTAATTGATTTTGGAGTCCATAAATCCACTTTGTTTGATGTTTTAACAAAATGTCTACATATATTATATGTTAAACCATTGGATAAGGTATTTATTATTCCTTGCCAGTGTTACTTCATTTTCAAACATTTTGGCTTTCAGTTTTTGAAATATATCCTATCAAAGGATAGTATTGATCAAATGTGGCCAATGAAGTGCTTTTGATGACTACCAAAAAAATTTCATGCACTTAAAAGTTTTTTTGCTTTCAAATTCAAGCCTAAAAATGGGGAAAAAACAAAGTTGGGATCATACAGTTCACCATTTTGTTCCTTTATTTTTCTGTTCGTAAATTTGATCCTGTTTTACAATGTATTTCTGTAGCATATTTTGCACATTCTGTTGCCCTTATATGGTAAAATGGCATATTATTGGAATAATGATACGAGCCATGAAGTGCTTAGGTCATAAATCAAAGAGGGAAAAGCAAAGATCCATAACTTATTGTATGAATTGTGAATACATTTTTAATAAGGTATTTATTGTGCCTCTACTGTGTGTCCAACAGTTTTCAGAAATGTTTTGATTTTAAACTGTACAGAAGAGCAAGAAAGCAAAACTTTTTAAATCAAACAAAGTCAGAAACAAAAAAAAACTTAGCTTTCATTTATCAACCAAAGGCAAAAACAACTATAATTTGGTTGATCAGTAACTGAGAGATTTATTTTTAGGATTTAACAAAACATTTACAGTTTAAAATGGGTACAAATAATGGTGGCTATTATGAAAAATATTGTCAGTGATACATTACAACCCAGCTTACTTGAACTCAGTTAACTTTAACCCCTTGATAACTTGTAGAAGATCCCATTTCCCTTCACCCCATTTTTTCAGTCATTAACTATCAGCTAGCTTGAACCCCCACGAACTCAAACCATTTTTTGTCTCCCTTGGGATTTCTAGGTAGTGGGGTAATGTACCACTGTATTCAGGGTTCTCAATAGATTTTTAAGTAGGAGGTGATCACTGGTAAAGTAGGAGACCTCATTACCATGTTTCACCGTGAATGCGTGGACTCAAGTAAAATGGCGTTCATCGACTGAGTCCAGAACTGTACAAAATTTCCCAGTTTTGTTTGGATCACAGTCATGCAAGAAACGGAAGAGAAATTCAGAAACAACTCAAGCAAACTTGCAGAACAAAACAAAGAAAAGAAAAGCGATTTAAAAACAAAGTAAGCAGCTATAAATCCCAAAGTAAGCGGCGATCAATCGCCGGGTGCCGCCTTCTATTGAGAACCCTGTGTATTTCCTTTAACCCTTGAACTCCCAAGATCTCATTAGTAATTCTCCTTACTGTCTGCCAAACAATTCTCATCATGTTAGTTTGGAGAATTTGGTATCGGATTGATTAGTAATCCCATAATTGATATTTTTCTTAATTCTCATCACTTGTCTACATGATATTGTATAGATATAGTAAGGAGAAATTCTGTCTTGGTCACTCTCAGTAGTGAAAGTGTTAACTCCTAGAAGTAATTAGCATGTTACTTCTTCCCTTAATATTTAAATATTATCTTTTAAAACAGGAAATGAAATTAATCAAACTTTAAGCTAGAAGTCGTTATCTTGATCTAGCTCAAAATTCCAATAACAAGTTATCAAGGAATTGTGTAACAGCTAGAGGGGAGAATTAACAATCAGATCTTGGGAATTTAAAGGTCTAAAAGGATCTAAAATTGTCCCAATCATTAGCAACTGCAGTTTATTTTATCCAAACCTGTGGAAGCACTGTGTGAAAAAAACATGGCACACTGACTTTTCCTTCATGAACTTTCCTTCAAGATAAACCAAATCCAAGTAGTAGTGGTGGAGGTACTGGAGGCAGTAGCAGTAGCGGCGGTGGCGGCGGCGGAGGTGGCATGGGTGCATCCCCTATGGGATTAGGTGGTCTCTTTGCTGGAGGAATGCCAAAACTGAGACCAGCTGCAGAGAGGGGCAAACCTGGAACAGGAGGTATGATTGTATTGTATATTCTTTGTGATCAAAAGTTTTGGCTGGCTTTTGGCTCTTATTGACAGCTTTGGACATTACTTAGTGTTATTCAACTTGATAAAGCCAGATGTATTTTTAGGCATGTAAGTGTACTCTATAGGAAACTTACCTTCTTAATTTCCACTCATTCAATTTAATAAGTAGATTCTACGTTGTGGTGCATCTGATCTATAGTAATAGGTCACAGATGAAGTGGAAATTAATGTTGCTAATTTGAGTTCAAATGTCCTCAACACATTGCAATCATCTTTCTTCTTAGAACTGTTAGAGCAAACATTGCACTCCAACATGACACTAGTCAATGACCAAGGGGTCCAACAAGTAATTCTGCTTTATTGTTCTGTTTTTATGCTTTGCTGTCATTTTAGTTTGTCGCTGTTGACCCCAATTCTGTAGAACTGCCACTCCTGGTGGGTGAACATTTTTTACAGGTTTAACTGTATCCACAGTAGCAAACAGATTATTGTGTTCATCAGAGGGATATACAAAACATTTATTCACCTCAGTGTCAGTGATAACAGGGTATATTCACCTCCACTCTGGTGAAGGATGATTAAATTTTATTTCAATAAATATATTTTTTGTTTTCTGCAGGAGCCAAAGGGCCAGCCATGCGACCACCTGGCTTCAAACCACCAACCCCAAATAATTCCAGCTCATCCAGTGGTGGCTCAAGACCTCTCCCCAATCTACCTCCAGGTCCACCCAGTAAGCCTCCTGGGTATACTCCACCACCCCCACTTCCATCCAACAGGCCACCAGGATCTGAAAACTCCAGGCCATTGCCACCACCCCCATCAGGGTCAAGTTCAAGACCATTACCCACTCCTCCTCCAACAGGTCCACCCAGACAACCTCCTGGAATGAGACAGGGTCCTCCACCCCCTCCACCAGGAAGAGGAGGTGCGCCACCTCCAGGAAGAGGGAGTGCACCACCTCCACCCCCACCATCACCATCAGCTCCAAAAACAAGTGCTCCCCCTCCACCAACTCCCACAAGGAGTAATCCAAGTATGGCTGCTCCCCAACCTCCACCCCCACGAGGAGGTCCTCCCCCACCACCTCCATCAAGAGGAGGGCCACCACCCCCTCCTCCAAGTAGAGGACCTCCTCCGCCCTCCTCAAGACCACCATCCCAAGCTCCTCCTCCGCCTCCCAGTAAAGTTCCATCAAAGCCAAATTTTGGTCCTCCTGTACCTCGAGGATCAGCTCCTTTGCCACCACCACCTCCTTCAGGTGGGCAAGGGCCCCCACCTCCCCCTCCAGCCAGGATTCCACCTGAAAATAAGAGATCAGGGCCTCCTCCGCCACCACCGTCCTCTTTGCATGGTAGGTCGAGTAACATGATGATGAATGGACCAACAAGAAGCTCTCTTCCCCCTCCTCCCCCAGAGCTACTGTCAGACCCAGAAGGTAATTAAATAACTTAATATTTGATAATTTGTACTTATTGACTGAGTTTTAGGGTTGGATGATACAGGACATCAAGGTCTGTGCTTCTTCACCAAGAGCTATAATTTTTATTGTATTAAGTATTTTCCTTCTGTTTCTTCTTTTCTTCTTTCATCCAGTGTCTTGTGAGGCTGAACAGCCTTTTCCAGCCCTGCTCAGTCCATTGCCCACAGGCTCATGTGGGAATCTTCTCTATAATGCTTGTCTTGGGAGGTGTGGGCAAGGCTGTATCAGTCTTTTGTTAATTTAATTTCATGTCATTGATTTGAAATGAAGTGAGTTTTTATCCATGGTTCCACAGCTTAGACTGATCAATAGATGCTCCAACATTCATTTGCTTTGGTTCTTTTCCAGATGATTTTGAATCAAGATTTTCATTTAGTAAAGATCTTCCCTCTCCTGAGCCTTATGTAGAAACAACAAGAACATATCCAAGCAAAAATCCAAAGAAAGGTGGTATGTAGTGATGCAAATCCTGTTAAAACTGGCAAATGTGCTCTTGTTTACAATGGCTTCATTCTAAACCATCAAACAGAATGATTAAGATATTTCATATGGACATAAGGGCTGAACTTAAGGGCTACAGATTTACATGCAAGATTTCTTACTATTTCACTTGCGGTAGGAGTGCACCATGCAGGTTTAAAGCCTCCTTTCTCAACACTGATAGTGGCAAGGGTGTTGTGTTGCAATAGTTACCATAGATGTGTAAAAAAAATCAAAAAATGTATAAAATGGGGCGTCTTTTCATGACCACGACAAGGATAAGATAAGACAGAAAAGACAAAACTGGAAAAGGAAAAATTTAAATTGGCAAATGATGAAAAAACTGAGATCAAATTTACTGTCAATACTGAATAATTAAATTTGACAAAAAAATCGTTCATTGAACAATCTGGCATTGACAAATTTGAAAAGTATTCATTTGAAACTTTACTGAATTTTTATTATTATTTTCAGGTGGTTCAAAGTCTTCTGGAAACCCAAGTGCAGTTAAAGCCAATCCACCCCCTCCTCCCCCATCAAGGGGAGCACCACCACCCCCACCCCCTCCTCCCAGGAGATGAGTCTCTTACCTAAGTTTCTTAACAAATCTAGGAAGACAGAATTTTTTACAATTAAAAGAATTATTGAAGCAACTTCAACCTTAAAAAACATTGATCCAGAGGTGTGGACTTTGTAGGTGACATTTGTATGCAGAATACAGAAAATTTTTTAGAGCGCATTTCTTCAACCTCCATGTTTACTGAGGCAGGAGATAGTAAATTTGTTGGTGTTGCAACAAGAACTGATAAATGCTCACATGAGTATGAGTATAAAAACCGCATTTATGAACAAATCATTAGTGAAAATGAAATTTATGTTTTGTATTGTATCTTTGTTGTAAATGAATTGTGTTAAGTATTAGTTAGATATCCTTGTTTAAGTGCATTTGTGGCGAATCTTTTTTTTCAGAGCGCATTTTTCTTTCTCTGAAAGAAATTTTTCTTCAAATGCATCTAAAACGATAAGGAAACAAGGAAGGTTGAACCCAAGAGAGGTGTTTTAGGTGAATAGCACAATCTTTTGTGAAGAGTTAACCACAAACTTGTGGTAGTGTCGATAATTCCAATAACCAAACAATAATAATAGACGAAAATACAATGCTGTGTGGTGATTAATGATAATTTTTGGAATTATTATTAATTGTATATTATCATTTTAGAAATAAAAGAAACTGTTCTGCGAAATCTCAATAATATATTTATTTTAATTGTTTATGCTGCAGGCTTACAACTAAGGGCTCTGGTAATTAAAAGAAATTAAATTTGGGGGAAGAGGAAAACAAATTGGGTAAATGGTTTGCTTCTGGTTGCAATTTGGGATGGTCTTTTGAAAGCTTGAAGATCAGCAATCATATATTAGCTCTACACGCTTTGTTACAACACAAGACCATTTGGGGCGAATTTTGGGGCTGAGATTAGCCAAAATTTTATGAACCTATATGCAAAGAACACACTTAAGAGCGAGAGACATTGTTGAGTGCCCTCGAAGGGACGGTGGTATGTTTTTTCGTTTAGTAATACGAATCAACGTACAATTTGAGTAAAACTGTACTTAACAGTGCAATCAAACCAATTCTTCAAAGGGATTTTCGATCGCGCGTCACGCTACAGAACATCTAAATTTTAGGCGTACGTAATGTGCAATCAAGATAATTACCAATGATCACCAAGAAAACTAACCAATTAGTTTTTGAAACACTATACCTAAAGGATCATCTTAGAATCGTTTGTAACCTAAAATCTCCAACAAATAAAACGTGAAGCCTTAGCCTAAAATAAGATTATCAGACAAAAAGGGTACGTTTCTCGCCTTGTTCGGGTTTTCTAGCATCAAGTTCGTCGCTGATGGATATTTAAGTTATATGATTTTGACGGGTTATTCGAAAAGCCGAAGGGAAGAATGAGAAAACTGAGGCTTGGAATCTCGTATTTGTCGTCAAAAGAATATGATACACTGGTTTTTTAGTTGTTTACTAGAATCAGTTCTAAGAAGTGAGGCGTTCTACCCAGTCTAATTCGTTGTAACAAAAAAAATGTTGAAAACGCGCGTCCAAACCGCGGTTCACCTGTTAAATTTCCACGATGTTCATTGGCTGTCGGGTTTTGACAAATGGCGCCTAAGTTATGGCGTCATCGTTACCAATGAACTGAACTTGAATGAGGTTGAACCAGCTATATCAGAGAAAAACGGCGAAACGTTCATTATGAAAAGCTTATGGCTCTCAAAGTTGTCTGATAAACTTGAGTGAATGGCAATGCCAGCACCAAACTGAAAGACAAAGACCGTTTTGTGGAACCTTGTAATACATGTGGATGACAGAAAACAAAGGTTTGACTGATCGGGTGCACTGACCAACTGAAGTTTTTACATGGACAAAGGTTAGTCACCAATCTTCTGTTTCTATTAACTTCCATTCACATTATTCGAGTTGGTGTAGCTACTCTTTTCAGCTCCGCTGATGTGCAAAACTCTTCGCTTTTTACGTGGGAAAGTGATGAAGAGCTTGTTAAGTCGATGTCATTTTAACGCAACGACGAACTTCTAGACTTAGACCAGTGGTTTTTTGTAGTCTGATTCACAAGCTATGATTTCTGATTTCTTTCCTATTGGAAATACCTTCATTATTAAGTAGACCAAACTTCGCACTTCACACTTTTATTTTTATTTTCTTATATATTCACAAGATATTCCTTTGACTCGCAGATGACAAATGCTAATCGTGGCGGGTCAATTTTTTTTATTTTCTATTTTCTCAACTTAATTTAATTACTCTGGAAATAAAACGGAAATGAAGAAATATAACATAAAAAGACAAAAAGATACACAGGAATATAAAAATAGGAAAATGATAGACGTTCATTGTAAAGGAGAAAAAGTCCTATAGTTTCTTATTGTACGAAACATATTGTAGAATTGGTTCAATGTGGTTCAGTTTTGCTGTGTTTGATATTAGCGTTATCTCATCAGGCTCCATATGAGAATCTTCAGTTTCTAGAATATTGAGAAGAGCTCTTTTTATTTCTTTTTTGAAGGATTTCTTCGACATTTTTTTATATTAAGTAGGTATCTCATTCCAGACGCGAAAAAGCCTTTCTTTGCATTTTAAGTCTAAAGTACTTAACCCTAAAGAGTTTTGACGTTGATGAGCGAGTAGTATATGTAAGGATATTTGAAGTTCTCGTAAAAAAGTTTTATGATGTTGGAAAAGGCACTGTCGTTATGAACATCGAGCATTAGTTTACATACAGCTTCATAATATAAGAAGGTAATAGGCAAAACTTTTGCATTTACAAATAAGGGGATTGTATGTTCTTTTCTATCAACGAAGTAGATTAGATATACTACTTGCTTCTGGAGAGCAACAATTTTGTTTAGATAGTTTTTATATGCATTACCTCAAGCAACGAGTCCATAAGGTAAAATAAAAAGGGAAAATTAAGGATTTATTAATAATTATGTGTACAGATGGTGGAACAAAGTGTCTCAGTTAGCCATCATTCCTGTGGTCTTACTTATTTTTAATTAGTGATGACACGGTCCAAATGGTTTTTCCAAGAAAGATTTTCATCTATTAAAACACCTAAATACTTGATGTACCTCTTATGTTCCAAACTGACTCTTCTCTTTTTCACTCTCTAATATTCTTATTTGTGAAAGATAATGTGCTCTTATTCTGGAAAGGTTTTCCTATAAGGGAGAAAGACAGGAGGCAAAATGAATAAATGATACATGTGATTTGGAAAAAAAATTTCTTCTTTAAACAAGGCAATAGGCCTCTATTTTTTTTTAAACACAAGCTCAGTTTTCTCTGTTCTTTCCTAATTCTGATATTGGCATCCTTATAGATCCTGTAAGTAAACAGCTAAAAATTATTTCACATTTGGTATAATCCAAATTCCAATAGTGGACTCTCTGGCACAAGGTTGTCAACTTCAATTGAACACTCTCTTAATTTTAACTCTCTTCGTGTCCTTTTCTTTTTTTTTCAGGGGAATTTGCATCAAGGTTTACATTCGGCCAGGATCTTCCACCACCTGAGCCCTATGTAGAATCAACAAAAACATATCCAAGTAAAAAATCTCAGAAGAAAGGTAGTAAGTTCTATTCTATACTGCTATAATAAGTCTTAAAGGCAAACCAAAAATTCACAAACAAATTATGATTCTTGCTACTGAACACTGGTTCTCTGTTGCATTCTTGGGCTGAACACTTTACAGCACCTCTCTCCACCCAGGAGTATAAGTAGTTAAGAAAAAATTCTTAGGGAATCCGAAAGAAATGCAGACGGGTAGCCTTGTGATAGACTGGTATCCCATCCAGGGGGTTAGTAGAAATACTCTAGTTGCTTCATGCTTTGGAAACAGGGATAAACCCAAGCTGGATGGGCCCTTAGGCTTGAGTACAAACTTAAGCTTTTTTATATAGTTTTCCAATGAGAAGCAACATGTTAAGTTGGTGTGAATCATTTGATTTCCAAACAATCAAATAATTGAACATAGTGTGTGCTCATTTACTGAGAGTAAAAATTATAAAATCCTGGACTGGCATAATCTATATATCAATGCTTCACTCTTTTTTATTTATGTAGAAAGTATGCACAACCATTTTGTTTCTGTTTTCAGGTGGAGCAAAGTCTTCTGGAAATAAGGAGGCAAAATCCAAGGCTCCTCCCCCATCAGGAGAAGCTCCAACAGCCTCAGCCTCAACCACAACCCCAACCCCAGCCCCAGTCCCACCCCCATCCCCACCCCCACCTCCTCCTCCCTAATGACTATATCTTAAGTTTAATAGCAATTCTAGGGGGAAAGAATTTTTTACAATTAGAGATCAAAATATTGGTCCATTCTTGAGGACATTGTCATGGGGTCTTGTATGTTGAGCAAACATTTTGTGGTGCTTGATAGTCCTTCAACCTGGTGGTTTATTGTGGCTGGAAATAGGAATTTTGTTGTTGCAATAGAACCCAAAATCTGCTCCAAATAGGAACAAATAACTTGTGAAGATGAAATGTAGGTTTTTTATTCTGCCTTTACAGTAAACAAATATTGTAGTGGACAAGAAAAAAATTCCATTCTTGAAAAAATGTATATTGACAAAATGCTTGAGCCCAAAAATTATGTTGTAAGTGAATCTCATTATAGGAGTCACTGGTTGAGATTTGCAAGTTTCAATGTTATTATGAAAATTATACAATGTTAAATGTTAAATACCATTTTTGGAGGTATTATAAAAAGTGTAATATCATTTTACAGAATAAAAGAGACACTTGTGCGAAACCACACAAGTAAGCAAATTTTAATTTTCTTAACTCACTGTTGGCTTCTAATTATTTTGTATAGCACACTGTAAATGGTTTAACCTCTGGAGAAACAGTTAATTACATATTGCCCTTATTTTACTCTTACCCATATTGGGTAAGAGTAGTCTGGAAGAAAATTGTTCACAATGGCAGTAGCTTATTCCAGGCACAACAGTCTCAGAGGAGCAAAACAGCGAGGGAGCATTGGGTTGGGTTTCATATCAAACATCCTTTTCACAATACCACCCAACTTTCCTCATTGCTCCGTTTGACTTAGTAGATGCCTTGAACAGGCTACCATGACAGTGACCGAGTAAATAAACCAAGCAATTATTAATTGTCAGAGTCAATGATGACGATGACTTAAATTATGACTTCCTCTCTCACTGTCAAAATGGTAGACAAGCCCTTAGCAACATAGGGTCTATTCAGGACTTTCCCAATCAGTATGATCACAGTATGCAATCATATTTATTTTATTTGGTGGTGCTTGTATGTTCACCTTGCCTATATACAAAGACTGGAGAAAAAACTTAAATGTCTTCGGTTTTTTTCTCAACTTCATTAGGCTGTATTATGACCCCTTGATTCACTCTACATTTTTGGTTGTTACAAATGAAAGAAAAGAGAGCCAAGTTCTTGGTGTTCACAGAAAAATAAGTCAACATTTAAAACAGGAGCCTCAATCTTCAACTCGCTTGGTGAATGGTTTGTGTGCATTCTTTGTGACTCAAACAATTATCAAATCTTTAGTTATGACCTGGATGGAACTCTGCTTGATGTCCTTTGTGACTGTAGATCTTTAAGGGTGGCTAGTTCTTCCATTCTCCTCTCATGCTCTTTTTCTTCCTGAAAAAATACACCAGTAGAGGGCAGTTCATTCTAGGGGTTTCAAAAATATATCATTTTGCCATTTAGAACATGATGCTTCACCTCAAAATTTCTAGCCCACAATTTAAAAACCAAGGAATTCAAACTGAGGGAATGGCAGACCAGAATGACCCAGAGAAGGCCAAATATTTAACCAATGTAACCAGAAGCATGTACTGGTAAACTAGAAGTAGGCCCTAAAGTCTTGTCCAGCATTCTTGAGATAAGTTTGTATCCAGAAGCCATGTACTACTGGCCACCAAAACACCAACTAAGCAGGCTTAAAAGACAAATACGTCTTCACAAAACCACATACAGTTTCAGAGAGTTTTGTGTCCCCAAAATCATTTTGACCCAGATCACCACCTCTCCTTTGAAAAGAAAATATTACATCTGAGTGTGATTATGTAGCAAGATGTACCTTCACTGTTCTTATTTTGGCTCGTACCAGTATATCATTACAGTGCTGATGGAGAGAACCTAAAGTAAACATTAAAAAATTCAACTATGATTACCAAAGATAATGTCAATGTTCTGGCTACCAGTTAGAAATACAGCAAGTTGAGATTTGCAGATTAATCCTTGGCAAATTCAAGAAATTCTTAACCCTTTGATTCCCAGAAGTGATTAACATGAAATTTCTCCCTATAATATCCATATATTATTCAGCAAACAGGTGATGAGAATATTCAAACTTATCAGGGAGAGGTTGCTATCTTGATTGAGCACCAAATTCTCATAACTAATTTACAAAGAAATGCGTAGCAGCCAGAGAGGAGAATTAACAATCAGATCTTGGGAGTTAAAGGGTTAATTAAAGTGAAATTTAATGAATCCAAGTTTGAAAGGTTACATTTTCTCTGCCATTCGATACTGTACAGGTAGGTGTTTCTGATAATTTTTATAGGATGTACAAAGTATCCCTAAGGCCTGCAGATCACACTGACTCTAACCACCTTTTTTTTCTTTTCCTCTGTCAAGGTCTGATCCTCCATATTCTTCTTGTTCGTCACTATCTTCATCAGACTCACTTTCCCTATTAAGTATCAATTTTACAACAATTTACACTGCACCACCAATTGTAATGTTTTACAACTTAAGTTTTTATGATCTGAAGTTGATGTGAGATAACATTTTCATAAAATACTACTGGTGCTTTGTGGTTGTCCTGTTTAAAAATTATCCTCTTCTCCTTGATTGCCTACATATTAAGCCTTGACATGATGCTTGAATCGCCAGAATGCTGCTTGCTCCAAAGACAAGCAGTGTGGTCAAGGGTTTCAAATATTATGCAATGGTGCACAGAGTGTCTTTTTTGCAACCAGAATTTTAATTCTGCCAAGCACTTTATAATGTTTGGTCACAAAATGGCAACTTTGAATAAAAGCTCAGCTTAGAGCCCTGATATAGTAGCTTATTGTCACAGCAACATATCACATAGCATGTAACATATATATTGTCAGAGATATTAATTCAGGCTTTGCCACTTTTCACTGGAAGTGGACTCAATACAAGACAAAGAGTATTGGTACTTACACGTCACATCCAGCTTCTGCTCTGTCCTGTCTTGTTACCTCATTGCCATCAAGCTGCTTCAGTGAAGGAAGGGCTGCAAGTAATTTCTTCCTAAATTGCAAAGTGGTGCAAAACAAATTCCAAGACAAAAATCAATCACATTTTGTAAACATGCCATATTGAGATAATATCATAAATTTCAACACTTTGCATTTTATTGGACAACATAAGTAGAAATCCAAAGATGACCTTAGAGATAACTCACTTGTATTCTGCATTTTCAGTGCAGGGATTCCCTTTCAAAAGTAATATCACTAAACTTGATGGTAACTCTTCTGTAAAGAGGTTAACAAAATTATTAAAATCAATATATTTTTGAAAATTTGTTACATTACTTTTGAGTAAAAATTCAAAATTCAATATTGTCTCAAAAAAAAAGAATTGCAACTTAATTCAAACCTGCGTCAAAATTCTCAATGCTATTGTCTGAGAGATCCAAGAACTTTAAATTAGTGAGCATTTTCAGATTTTCCAGCTTGCTTATCTTGTTTTCAGCCAATGTCAAGAATCTATGTATTGGGGGTAAGAAGATATCCTAAGTTACAGTTTAAATCTATCAACACTGTAGAAACATAAAAAGAAAAGTTTCTATTTTTTTACTTACTAGACTAACATACCAAATATAAATTTGTCAATTTCTGACAAACTCAAGTAACCATATTATCTTGTTATAATTACACACCCACCTCAATTTAGGAAGAACTTCAAGGTTTTCTATTCCTGTAATTTCATTCTTTAATAAAGAAAAAATGATAAATGATATGGAGTTTATGATAGTTAATTCATCTTATTAAGACTAGAATAGGCCAGGTTAGATTAGACTAGGCTGGGTTATACTAAGTCAGAACAGACTACCCTAGACTAGGCTGGGTTAGACAAGGCTAAACTAGACTAGCTACAGTAGACTAGGCTAACTAGGCCAGGCCACAACACTGCACAAAACCTCATGCAATAAACATTAACTTACTTTCTGTAAATATAAATTTGTGACTGGCCCAAGGCAATCCAAGTTGTCAATTTCACTTATCTTTTCACGGTCCAGGCGGACATGAGTTAACTTCAGTAATTCAGCAGCTCTGTGATGTAAAACACAATTCAACATTTAATGTCTCATCATCTACCACTGTCGTGACTGAAGCTTTACAATCAGCTTTTTGATAGGTTTGTGATGGAAGGAGGGAAATATGATGGGTGATTCTGGGTTATTGATTGTAAGATCAGAGTTGCTAATGAGTTGGAAAAATAAATAGTGTACATCAAACCAGTGAGATTGTTTGACCCAGCCTGCCAACAGTAGAACTTTGCAGGTCACAAAAAGCTAAGATGCTCTGTCAGGGATTCTAGGTACTATCAAATTTAAATATAACTTAAGCGCAAATTACATAATCGTGTTTTGATTTTTATCGGTTTTATCGCTATTATCCTTAGGGATAGTAGGTCCACATCAGCTGTTTAATTGGCTACTTTATTGACCTGCTTTAATTTACAAACTAAATATATGTATGTATGTATATATGTATCTACTTACGTGTCATCTGCAGATCTATCTTTTCTAATCGCTAAATTTCGTCTCGCAATCAAGGAAACAGATATTTCTTGGCATTTCCCTACAAATGCGAACATTTTTGCATGGTTTCAACAAATTTTCTTCTGTGGACAGACATGGCAAATGATTGAGAACCCCAAATTCATCGAATAATAATAATATATCATTTCTTCCAGTAATACCTGCCATTTTCTCAAGTCCTTGTAAGCGTCATGGCTATATATCGGTGAGTTTTACAGCTAAGTAATCGCAACTGTCGTGTTTTCGTCCGCCATCTTGTTTTTCTTCCAAACTTTGTAACCCTGCCTTTCGAGCTAACCAGAACTGCAGTGCCCAGATCTCCGCTCTTGAAGGGGACTGAATCAAGATGAAGATGATCATCTCTTTCTCTCCATTATCCCCTTCGCTGTGGTGGTGCCAGTCTCTCCTGATCCCACTGTTGCACATGAAAGATAAGATACAACCAGGGGCTAATAAGGTTTGGTCTGTGGATATGAGTGACATGGCTCCAGGTGGAATATCCAACTATCTGAGGTTTGAACCCAACAATGAAAATACTCAATTTTTTCTTTTCTCTTATATCTTTGTATAACAACAGGAATCAGTGACAACTTCAGAGAGGCATTTTTGAAAAGAATCACACTTTTTATTGAACTCCAGGTGCAGCATATTATTTATTTCCAGACACAACTATGTTCATTCATTATAGTAAATGTTTTTTCGCTCTTTGTACAAAATATGGGAACCAGCCCACAATCACTAGCTTTAAGGATCAGCATCAGTATAGCATCAGCTGATCCTTCATCCAAAAAACAATTGAATCATTTGCTTTCACCGTCTGCTAAACCATCAGTGCATTGCCAAGCTAATTACAGGGGTGGAGCTTAAGGAAGGTCCTAGTGTGTCCATGACCTCTTTGTAAGATAATATGTGTTTCTGTCATGAACAAGCAAATGGTATAATTCAGATGTGGAAAAAGTACAGATACCAGAGTAAACACTGCATGCATTGCTCACTGCTCATTCAAAAACATGCCACACAGCTGGAAGGATATTGAAACAACGGTCAGGTAGGTACCTTAGGTGTGACAAGGTGTGACTCCCCCCCCATTTGTAATTTCCTTGCTACATCCCAGTAAACTGACATTTTGACACTTTGCAGGGATCAGTTGTGAAGGTGGACCTGGCTGACTGCATCACAAATTATAATCCCTGTGCTGCTCATACTCATTAAGAGGGTTCCATAGTCCTAAGATTATATCTAACTACTTGATCAAAATTTTTTTTCTGTAATTATCAGCTCACCATCTGAAAACATAGATTACCTAAGAGCAATTCAAAGTGCATGGCTTGTGAGATACTTTAATTATCTACCTAAAGATTGTTACTTTGAAAATCTTTGAGCAAGTTTATCCTCACTGAAATCTAAATTCCACAAAATGTTAACTCTTCAACCCTTTAACTCCCACAAGTGATCAAGACAGAATTTCTCCTCAGAATATCAGTACAATATCAACCAGATAAGTGACGAGAATAAAGAAAAATATAAATTTGGGGATAATTAGTGGATCCAATACTAAATTCTCTGAACTAACTTTATAAGATGTGTATGGTTGACAGTAAGGAGAATTACAATTTTGATGTGGGAGTTAAGGGGTTAACTAATGTAATATACCTTAACATTGACAAATGATTATCTGATTCTTGTTATTCACAGGACACTACACACTGCTATAATAAATAGGTCCTTTTTTCTCACTTTGTAAATATAATAATGTTATCACTATTCAAAATCATATATATCAACCTTAATTCATAGCTTAAGTCCAGCAGAGTAACATTCAGTCATAAGTATTAATATTAAAATATTATCAAATATCATTATTATCAGTATTAATAATAATAGTATTAATAATGATTTAAATGACACTAGAAACAGGAGACCTTATCATGCATATATGTCTTTATCACTCACAACTCAACAAAATAAATTACATTTTCTTTTCAGAATGTAAAACAGCTCCTTCAAATACCTTTATATTTCACTAATTATCAGCCACGGGAGTAAGCAAAGAAAATATTCATAAAATAATTTTTTTCCACTTTTTTCACCTTACAAACAACAACAACAGCAGTGTTCAGCTGTTAACCTATGCACATTCACTCACATAGAAATGTTGCATGATGCCATAGAAAAAGCAGGTTTGCAGATTAAAATGTTTGATGATGTGCTAGAAAAATCAGGAAGATGGTGATGATCAGTTCAGACATGTATATTTTCTATTTTTTCAACTTAGCCCATTGGGGTCATGTCTAGATTCTTGAGAGTCTTGAACAAAGAGCTTTCAGATTTAAAACAAAGCAAACCCCAAAAAGACTGTCACTTATTGATAACTAACAGTTGCTATGGTGATTCTAAATTACTAGTAAAATCCTAAACTGCAGCTTGGCCTGAGAGTAAAATGGCAGTTAAAATGACACAACAGGTTGATAAGCACTGATAGAAAAGACGAAATTCTTAAATCAATATTTCACATAATAAAATTGCATCAACTTAATATTGTATTGTCAGCAAAATTTACTCTATAAGATCCTGTGGTCCTAGAAATCCAAAAAATTAATAATATGTTTGCTTTATATCCCAAAGTGAAAATAGTATTTGTAAATAATAATATTTGTTGATACCATACAAGACATACATGACTATCTTAGTGCACATATAGCAATTGACCCATATGCCTTGTGTTATCTTGCACCTAAAAGCAAAAAATTCGATTAGTAGGTGATTGTAATATTCAGTTAAAAATGAAATTTAGGCAATCCTAAACTCAGAGAAAAGCTAGCCTGCAGAGTCACACACTAATATAGGGTGGTTGACTTGAGAAAAAAAAAGAATGGTGACCTTCTTTCTCTATTGTGATAAGGATGAGCTGTAAAACTTTGGGGCTTAACTGTGACAAGCTGATTAAACATACGAATCAAGAATCATTTGGTATCAAATTGGAAATCAAGAATCAATTGGTATTTTATACTCAAACTCACTCAAAAATCTTAATTAACAAATCAAATAAGATGTAACTCTCCTCTCTGTGACAGATGTTTCTTAACCTGTTAATATTCCTCTGATTGGTCAGAAAATCACAAATATTATGCCCAGTAAAAATTTTAGACATCTCCAACTCCAACAAATTTGTTCATGTAAAAGACACCCCAAACAATGGTCAATCCATGAAATAAAAAAGACCTAGAAAGTTTCTACTCTACACACTACTGTTTTGGTAGGTGCATAGCCTCCTTAAAAGTAAAAGTTTTACTCATACCTGCTGGTACTGGTCTAGATTTGTTATTATGCAAGTGGCCTGGTCCATAGAGATAGTAACATCGCTTTTCAAATGCCTTCACCATTTTTTTAACAACTTCGTCAAAGAACATGGTTGAAAGCTGAGAATGAAGGATTGAACGAAACTCAAACTCAACCTACAAGAAAATAAATTTAAAGAGTTAATGAGAAAATGGCCAAACAAGACAACAACAATATCAACACTAAACAATTATCTTGGCTGAGCCACATGTGCATAATTAACATTTTACTGGGAAAAAGGTTAACATCTGCTCTCGAGCCATGGGGCCCATCTAGCCGTAGCTTATCCCAGTTCCTGTAGCATAGCGTGACTTGGAGTATTGCCACTCCCTCCTGGATGGGAAGCCAGTTCATTGCAGGTTACCCGCCAACATTATGTCAGACTTTCTTGACAGTTTGACAGTATCCCTTTTCACTCAGGGTGAAGGGAGGTACCAAGAGAAAGATGTGTTCAGGAACGCAGCACAATGATCAAGCCACACCTCCTACCCAACCTGACCCCTTGATTTACAGTTCAGTGCACTAACTGTTGGGCCCACATCTTACAACGACTTACATAAAAGTCCAATGTACAAGTATTAGGATTTCCGGGTAAACCTTGACTAAATTTCCAAATAGTCTTCATATAATTAAACATCTCTCCATCCGTACACTCTGCCTGTGAATCAGAAGCAATTTTATGACAAGATGTAAACAGAAAGCATATCTTACCAATGATATTCATTTGCCCAAATAAATTTACACTTTATCTCCCAAGATCTCATTAGTAATTCTCAATACTGTTCCTCGTACAGTTCTTGTGATGTTAGTTTAGAAAGTTTGGTATCGTATCAACTTATAATCCCCTAACTGATATTTTTCTTTATTCTCATCACTTATCTGGTTGATATTGTGTTGATATTGTAAGGAGAAATTCTGTCTTGGTCACTCATGGGAGTAAAAGGGTTAAGCTTAACTTGTCATGAAAAGTCAGCTCTCAAGCCTGTTAGCATATTCTAGAGATCTTATCCAGTCCAGTGTGCCAACCTACATATGTACATATGTGTGATACATAATTATATAAAAAACTTAATTACACAGATTTAGTACCTTCACTAGGTTTGGTGGGGCCAAAGATACAACAGATGTATACTTCTCAACCACAGGTGGGAAACCAACAGCTAGTTTAGCTTTAAGGAAGCCTGGTTTTCTGGCCACAATTGTAGAGTCCCTACACCAAGGGACAAAATGTCTATAATCCTCCACATCTGATACCACTGCATACATATCCTCCATTGAGTAACTATAAGAAGAACAATGTTATCACATAAATAACAGTACAAAAATAAGATCACTTGAGATTAGAGTAGTCTTTTAATTCTTTCTGTGTATCCTTAATCATAGAAAGAAAACCCTACTCTCAGTGCTCTGCATTTATCAGTAATATTATCAAAATAATATTGCTGAAAGTGTTGTTGAAGGAGTATTGTTGGAATCCATTGTTCAAAGCCTTTATAAGAACCTTCCAAACAAGTAGGTTGGAAAGCCTTAGGAACATAAATTTCTCCTAAGATTCCTGTGAAAAAAATTAACAGTTCTTCCAAGATTTGATTGCTTATTCTCCCCTCTAGCTGCAGCACATTTCCTTTTAAATTAGTAAGGAGCATTTGATGTTAGATCGTATCAAGATAACAAATTCTACCTGATAAGTTTGAGTATTCTCGTTACCTGTTTATTGGACGATGTATGGATATCATACCTTGGAGAAGTCACAAGATAATTGCTTCTACGAATTATAGGGTTAAAATCTTTTGAAACCCTCAACGATCAAACACAATTATATGAAACTATTAGAGACAGAGTAACTAGAGTAAAGCATATACGCTCATTTTTTTTCATATACATTGAATTCTTAGAAACGAGTGACGGACTTTGTACGAAGGTGCACGTCAGAATAATTTGTACATTTTTCCAGGTTTAACAGTTTTCCTAAAATAACGTTTTACTTAACCAGTTATGGAGCAGTCAAGATCAAAAGGGCTTGAAAACTCGTGCGGAGTGAAAATGTATTCTAATGATCATTTCCAACCAAACAAGGGGGTTACAATATAGTATAAACATAAACTTATTGAACCATTAAATTTACTTACCCAAGCAATCTCCTCTCGGAATACTTTCTCCTCCGCGACGTATTGAGGGGATTCGGAATAATGGATCCTATTAACGTTCTCCTTGGGATTACGTTTAAATCGTGCTTGTTTACTTCACGAGAACTATTCATCTTCTTCCTCGAAACAACTTCAATACCGGGAGAAAGCCGGCAACAACACAAACTCAAGGACCTAAAGATAAAGAAAAAGTTAGAGTCGATAAGCTTACATTAAAAATACGATCTGTTCACTTTACCTCAGGAAAAACCAAGTAACTTGTTTCATTTTCAAATAAATAGTTCTAATTACCTGTTGGCTTGCCAAATACCTCTACAATGTCGAAAAAGCGGCAAGGACCTTCGTATCCCTACCGCAGCCATCTTGCAAAAATGTTGAATGTGTCGTCATTTGATGAGTTTTATTACTTGATCTGGCCAGGTCGCTAAGCATAACAAATATGGCGGACGGACATGAGTTTGGCCGGGTGGCACGAAATAACAACAATCTTAGTGTAGCGAGAGCTCTTGGTAAGGAAACCAACAAGTGATCCTTAAAATAGAAAAAGTCATCCTTTAAATTATTTACACCGGGAGACTTTTTGTCAATTTCTTATTTTATTTTTCCCTCAGCTTCTTCTGTCAAAACACTTTTGGGACCTAACAACGGGTAAGTGTACGATTCTTTGACGATTTGGACTTTATTTTCCTTTCTATAAAATTTTACTTCATTTACAATAGCTATAACGTATTCTTATTCTTTGAATTATCGCTACAGGAACATTTTTTTCCACGTATTTATAATTTAGGTTCATATATTACCTGCAACCTTTTCCATGATGATGAAATGGGTGATTTCTTTGAGTTTAAAAAGAAAAAAAAAAGTTCAAGAACTTCCAAACTTAACAAATAAAAAATTTCCATGGAGACCTAAACTTTGCTAGAGAATCCCATATATTTTGTAATAAGTGCTGTTCAAGCTTGTGTTATGTAGCACTAACAAAAAAACAGCTGATAAACTGATCCACCAGCTGAACAACTTTTTTTCTGTATTTTGTAGCTTAAAGTGCTGCAGTTCAGATGATGAATCTGTCATATGCAGCAGTGCAGCCAAGTTGTTGCAGTTCATTGACATTCAAGTAAGAGAAATAACACACTTGCATTTTATGTCTATGTACATTTTATGTCTCAGTTTCTTCTTTTGGAAATCACATCCCAGAGAAGTTTAAAATTCAAATTTATTTGGGGGAGGGGGGTGAGCAGGTTCCCAGACTCCCCCTATGAAGGGGGGCCACCTACATTTACCCTACTTAGTTCAGATCAAACATCTATTACATTTTCTGATAAAAACCCTGTATCCAGTCCTGCTAGAATCTCAAACTTATGAAGACCATAACTAGAATATTCTAACTCTTCTTCCAAACTTGTTTACTGAATTTCCTATTTTATCAACTTGCTGCTGACATTTTGTCCAATTGTAACTGGACAAGAACTTGGTAATGTCAATTATAACATATAAGGACACTTGTGATAAAAATTATTTTCAATCACCACTGTAGCATCCAGCTGGTTTTATCCTAAATGATGCTTGCCAAGGCCAGTACAAAAAATATAGAACAAACTGCAAGACTCTCATATGCATGGCTGGTTTCTGGAGCAGTGCAGTGGAGGATCTGCTAGATCAGGTGACTTACAAAGCTTTTTCACCTATGCGGGAGGTGTACCAGTCTGAATTGTGTGGAAGAATCTGACTGGAAAGTATTGATTGTGGTGAAAATAGTTGTAGGGCTTTATGCACCAGGTTGAAAGAACACCAGATGTGAACATCGTGGGTCATTTATAAAGGTCAAAATTTGTCAGCTCTTCACAGTTGAGTTTCTAAAATCAGTATTCATATTCCCCATACTGTTCTCTATACATTTCCTAATCTACTTACAAGGAGAATTTGTATAACAATCAGGTGCTTTTTTTAGTTGGTGACCATTTCCTATATTCTTGAAACCTAAATGAGTGATATAAGGGTGATATTGTAAGGAGAAACTAGATACTGGTCACTCTCAGGGGTCCAAGGGTTAATCATAAATTTCCTGTCTTACTTTTTTTAATTGACTGTACATGATAATTTCCAGGGTGTTCCTATCCCGATCATTTTACGTCTTTTTGATGATGCACTTCAAGTCTGTGAAGAGGTTTGTCATCAGACGTCCATTGATATAACCGAAGCTTTGCAAAGTCATCAAGACTTGAACCATCCAGCCAAAGATGATTATGGTGACAAAGAGAACAGCAAAAGCATCTCCAAAGGGATTTCTTGTCATCCAGTTGCTGAATTGGACATCTTGAAGAAGACTGATCTTATTGACGCTGTTGACGCTGATGACATATCATGGTATTTTGATGGACAAAAACGGGGAGTTGATGATGGTTCACCATGGGGAGATTTTGACATCCCCGGGGCACGTAGTCATATCCCAAGGATTCCAGGGTATATCACAGCAGCTGAGGAACCTATCCCACGGACAGTTAAGATGGAAACTCCAACCACCAAGATGCCAGAGGTAAAAACTTTCCGAAATAAGAACTGCCTTGATCTAAAAATCAGTCGAAATGGAGATGTAACAACTTGCAACGAAAACTTAGACAAAATTGCATCACGATCAGAAAGTTGCAAGTCACTAGGAGGAATTTTAGATGCAAAAACGAACGTCAGTAATATGTCTCCTCCTTGGGTGAACACGGGGAAGCCAGAAGATTTTTTACAAGGAACAAAAACAAGATTATTGCTTGACGAACGGGAAAGTGGAAATTCTCAGTTTTATCCTAACATTCAAGGAGACACCTGTTTTGGAAATAAGGCTTCAAGAACGCCTCTAGAATCAACAGAATCTTGGAATAAAAGTATTTTCTCGCGAAGAGAAGACGAATGTGTAGATGAATTCGAGACATCTCTACCAGAGGCTGTTTCATACACCGCGAATGGAAATATCGCTACTAAATCACCAGTGTCAAAGGAACGTAATAAAGACTTGAGATCCTCTGGATTTTTGGGAGAAAACTTCATTAACGCTCATACAGACACGAAGCGTACAAAGTTTCAAAATGTAGGGGCGAAATCTTTTGAGCCTCTACACAAAATTAATTTTAATCCACTCCCTCTAACTTCGTCAGATTGTAGAGACATAAAAGGAGACGACAGGTTCTTGTTTTCCCTCTCGGAGAAACTGGAAAGTAAGAATGTAAGTGTACAAAGACGTGTTAAACTGTCAGAAATTTTCAAGGGTAGTAGACATTTTGTGAACAGTTCCAGGAACAAAGCCTCGCCAAAGTTAGTAGATGTCGCGAACGGACCCAAAGACTCACCCAACGGAGAGCCTGAAAAATTGTCTACTGGCACAACTCTTAGCAAGTCGATACCAAAAACTAGGCATTCAGGAGAAACGGATTTGGTCGATTCAACACCACATGATAGGGAAAAGTTATCAGTTCAAGACGGGGTTAGTTCTTCTCCATCTCAACTCAATTCAGTTGAAATAAAGAAGAAGTCGTTGTTTGAACTTGGAAGTTGCCTCTCTCATGGTAAAGATCTCGAAATGAAACTTGCAGTTGAAGTAACAAATTCCTTGCCAATCTCTTCTTCATCGTTTAAAGACCTTGACATTCCTCTTGGAATGATTCACACGGAGTTAGTTCTTGGTCCGCCAAACTCTTTTTCTTGTAGAATAGATGGTCTTCTATTGGAAAACACTTCAACTTTTCAGTTTTCTTCTTCAAGTCAGAATCTTCCTGCTTGCAAACTTCTCCTGGCTCTTATTAATGGAGATGTCACGCCGGAATTTCGTCATGCGGGACTGAACAACGAATTGCAGATTCTCAGAATTATCAGGAATGAAGATTTCAAATCATCCGTTTTCAATCAGGAAAAAGACTGGTACCGAAGCGTTACAGCAAGCCTCAGTAATCACAAAATTGGTATCCTTGTCGTCAAAGGAATCGTTCATGATTCAGTGTTAGATTATTGTTCATCACACAACATAACGGTGCTTCAAAGCGTTTCATATCCAGTCCTTCAACTCCTTTCCTTTGCAACCGGCTCTGCGATAATTACTTATCTCGCTGACTTGAGGGAACAGGATCTAGGAGGACCTGTTACCATAGAAACGTGGGAACTCGGCTGGGCGCCATGTTTAGTTAGACACAGCAAGCCAAAAGGCAGCAGGGATGGTGACGTCAGAGGGATAAAGACCTGTCAGTATGTCCTTGTTAGAGAAGTGGCGGAGGCGAGTTCGGGTCGCGAAGGTAAGCAGTAAGGATTTGCTTTTCCATCGGATCCGGCACTGTGTGAAGTCCCTTCGCAGTCCCTACTTTTCATGCGTCACAATAATTCCGAGCGATACACTAGCGTCAACTTTTTTTTTCCGCTCATTTGTTTTGAGTCGCGCAACGGACTCTGTCGAAAAGAGGAACTGCTCGTAGTCTAGTACTTTCCTTACATCAGTTTCTTTTACTGAATTTTTTTCTTCCCGGTATCTGTTGCCCTCAGATTTCAACAGTCCTTTACAGACAGTACTTCTCTGTAGCCCTTGTAAAGATGTCCTCTGTGATATGGAGGAGAGGTTCTGGAATTCGATCTATCGGTTGAAAAATACCCTCTCCTGCGGCCGAGTTCTACCTGGAGCGGGTGAAATTGAAGCTGCCTGCATCCGACGGCTGACTGAATTAGCAGGTATGTAAACCATAACGAACGGCTGCCCAGTGGTTTGTGAGCATTTGCCGATTCTTGCAAGAGAAAGTGAAAGTGGAAAACTGTTCCGAGCACTTGACACTGTAGATAAATAATGTAAACTGGTAAGGTCGGCACGAGTGTGGGGCCAGACGGCTTTTTCCTGGACCAGCTCACGTCAGCCCGTCCGACCTTACACACATCAGCTTTCACTATAATTTTCTTTTTGTATAAGATTGCGTAGGCGGGATCGCTCGAGTCATATGATAAAGCTTAGGATGTACTTGCAGAGTACTTTCTTCTATTTTTGATATCTTTTTTAACAGACAAACATGCTGCACCGGCGTTCTCTTCAAGTCCTCTCCCTGGATGGTTACAGGAAAGTTTAGAGGTATTCAGGCCTTTGGTTTACACGGCATTTGCCCAAGGACTCAAATACTTTTTGTGCAGCATTCTTCTCAACTCTGGAGACTTTACTTCGCTCAGCGGTACGTCTGTCTATGTTGAACAGTTAGTCAACGAAGGTTTGACACTAGATATTCTTGAGAAATCTAAAGACGATCATTCCGATGATCATCGAGGGGAACCTCGGAGAGCTAGAGGAATCAAAGGTGGCCACGCGAAAGATCGCGTTCCTTCATGCGATCCCACGGGATTCCCCGCCGAAAATGTCCGAGATCCCTTTGACTCGAGGCAAGTAACTTACAAGGTCAAAAGCAGTGTATTTGATGATTACACAGCTAAGAAAGAAGCATGGCGGCGCGCTGTGGCTGTCATAAGAATTCTTCTTCAATCGGACATGTTAGTAGAGACAGGACTAGGGCAAAGCAAAAGCGAAATAGTTCTCTTTTAAGGGGAAATTGGTAAAGCTAACAAAGAATTATGGTATTTTCGACGAAGAATCGGGAGTAAATCGGGATCCCTATGATCTTTGTACGTTTCGCTCTGTGATTGGTCCAGAAAACTCGTAATAGAGTGTCTGTGACTTGGTTTGCGGAACCCGAAGGTCCGAAGGCACGAAGGTTTGATTCCGCGTCGGAACTCGGGATTTTCCCTTTGTCCCACGCTCATGATTAGACGAATTCCATCTGTTTTTTTTTTCTTTTTTAAATACCCATCGGTTGACTCATTCATTCCCAAGATCTCATTGGTAATTCTCCTTACTGTCTTACAGTTCTTACGCTGTTAGTTCGGAAAATTTGGTATTGAATCAAACTAATAATCCCCTAGTTGATATTTTTCCTAATTATCATCGCCTGTCTGGTTGATATGGTATAGCCTTAGATATTCTAAGGATAAATTATGTCTTAGTCACCCATGAGAGTTCAAGGGTTAATCGTATTCAGTTTTTGTAATAAAAAAAGGTGCAGTTTATGTTTATCCACAAAAATAACAAATTCAATGACCTGCGTAATCGTGCGTGAAAGTGACGCGTTCCGTGCGATTACACACGCTAGGAGCGCAGACTGTACTTGTACATTACAAATGTGACGCGTTTGTTGTCTTCTCCCTGCTCAAATTTCGCTGCTTTGAATCGATCACGTTCGATAATTCTGTTATTAATTATTATTATTTGCCATTAACACAGGAAATATTCGGTTTGGCTGTAACCAAGGTTGACCTTTCATCGGTTTCTAGGCTCTTCTGTCTATGGATTGGGGCGAGTGAATGGGCGATGACGTCAAAAAGCGCACATTTGAACGTCTTATAATGTTTTCGCCTATATAATAATCTTTCTAAACACGTCGTGTGGGAGTTGAATCAAAATTGAATTTATCAACTCAGAAAGGTCTGTAGCAGTATTATTTGTTCCTTGCTGCTCCTCGGAAACTGATAGTTTTGTATAGTTCACCTAGAGGCCGCCGCTGGAAAGAGAGAGAGATAGCTTTAAATTATTACAAACGGATGGCTAGATGATTCAGTAGTGACAACTGAATATTGTGAAGTGATGCAGAACTGGAGTTGTACGAAGGTGGGTTTTGGTATTCTAGTTGCTATTCTGTCAGACTGTGATTTTCCTAATCCTCCGAAAATATAGAAATATTAAAGTAACCAAGGAACAGAGAAGCCGAGTGTATATTCTTTTGAATTAAGTGCTTCCAGTACGTAACACCACGTAGTAAGGTCAGAATCTTTCCGGCGTGAAATGCAGTGGTACTATTTATTTACGGACAAAAAAGTCTCGCTTTACTTATTCAGAGATGATGAATTTTTTGTCTGTTGGCGTAATGCAGTAATTAATAAAGAACACACCAAAAAAAAACACATTTTGAGCACTACTTCAAACAGCTCCGACCATAGAATTTTAGTAATATTATTAAAGTATTGCTTATATTGAGATAATAATAAGGAATTATTGAAAAAGAATTGAATGTCGAAGATGAGAAAACATTCAGCTAGGTGTTGACTCAGTTTGCCTATAAAATAAAAACTCTAAACATCAGGGTATCAGTTTATTATTTTAATTTCTTTGCATACTCAGGCGTTTTGTAAAGTGTCAAAATGCACTTTTAACCTCTGAAATTACGTCATAATTCGAAATTCGATCATTTGTGTTTGACGGCGTTCGCTGATAGAACCAATATTTCTTAAAAGCCTTTTTCAAGGGAAACGATATTCGATCGACCTTTACGTCTTTTGAGCTGAACTGTCAACGATTTTTTGTAACCTCTACAGCACAAAATATACTGAAAGATATTAAAGTTTAACAACTTTTTAATGAACGTTTCGTTTGGGAGAGAGGGAGGGCGCCCACTTCATCACCAGAGTAAAGTTACAGTGCGATTTTTATCGCGGGTTTTTTAACCAGCGATCGAATTGACGCAAACCCAGCCGAGAAGCTTTTTCTAACTATGGAAAATTGTGCCAGAACACAATTTGAATTCACCGCACTCAGTGACTTCCGTGACATTTTTTCCGCGATACAATACCTTGACGTCAGGGACTGGCCCACCCCTAAGGGCATTTCACCATATTTGGTGTTGAGTGGCAAGGCACTGACGTAATGATGATGTAAGAGGAGTTGTCAGGGTCGGTCCACCCCGCAGTAGCTAGCAGCTCGAGTGGTGACGCCACAGGTGACGCGACTGCTTCTCGCGAAGAAGAAGAAACACAACGACACGCTGGCTGCGTAAAGAAATCAGGGTGACGTAGAAGTGACGTAGCATGTAAGTTTCATTTTCTTTTTTTCTAGATTCCAAGGAGGCGACAGCGAACCTATTATAATTTTAGCTAGATTTCTGTCGCTTCATCCAGTGGATTGTGTGGTGGTTTGTTTGCGTGGTTATCTCGAGCGATCGCGATGTGGACCTCATCGCTTTCTATTCCTATCTGGTTCTTTGTAGAGACCACGAAACAGAAAGCTTTTCCTTGCTCCAACTTTCCTTATCCTACAGCACCTTACGGGTGTTTAGATTACCATGGAGCAAATCGAAGAGCAATCCAATGTGACCGAAATGGAAAACGGGAGTACTGTGACCGTTCAACAAGGACAGGTTTTACAACAAAGCTCACCGCAAACTTCTATGCCTCCACCGATGCAAACTCCTTCAGTGATTCAGGCTAACCAACAGTCCGTCATACAGACAGCGCAATCCATTCATTCCGCCTCGCTACAAGGTCAACAGATTAGTTTGGCCCAGGCTGTCCAAGGAGTCAATGACACAGAAGATCCAACTGGTGGGGTCTTAGATGAAGAAAGCAAAAAACGAAGGGACATTTTGTCCCGGCGGCCATCTTACAGGTACGCTTGACTCGGCGAGGACACCGAACGATCGCGTCGTTTTATGTAAACACTGTGATCCAAAGAGACTTGTGAATCACTGTATATAGGGTGATATTTCACGTGTTACCCACCATTATAAAATAAACCAGCGTGTTCTATTTATTTCAATCATAAATTTCGAACGAAACGTACATGGGGACGTAAATGCTGACGCACGATATTGCGCGAAGGCTCTTTTTTTTTTGCACGAAATGTCGCCATCACTTGTTTCCGTTACTCGGAGCTGTTACGTTACTTTAGCTAAGGTAAGGTCTCCGATTACATGCCATCTCGTTTAAAATAATCTCCTAGGAGCAACCGTGATTGCATTTTATTCGCGATCCTGGTCAGTAAAGCGAGACCGCTTTATATTTTTATTTATTCGCCAAAGTCAAGATCTGATTGGGCTTATTTGCACCGTTAGCTTTTGACTTTCTGGTAAAGTTGTGGTGGACGGCCTATGAATTTTTTACACAAACGTGTGAGTCATAACGTAAGGAAAGTTTGTCGAAAGTAACCAGTCATTTTTTTTTTTTTTACAAGAACTTCGATCTGCGTAAGTGAAATTATAAGTTTTAGTTGATATGCAATCAAGTAGAAATCAGTATTTTTAAACATAGAGTATAAATGTTCCCATGAGGCAGCTTGGTTCGTCTGATACTTCAGCATATTTGAAAAATATTTTGACTATTTATATCCTGTTGGAATGTATCAATGAGAAACTAAAAGTGTTGATCTAATACGCTGTATGACGGTCCCAACAATATTTGTGAACGTTGTTTTTAATACGCTTGATGTCATATTTATGTAATAATTGTATTACCACGAGTTAATGGGTTTCAACTGGACATAAAATATTGCATGTTGTTGAAGATATTATGTTGATCTTTTATTTTCACGTCCCAAATTCACACATCTGTTTAAACTGAAGTGTTTTACCATGCATTTTAAATGGTTAAATTTAGATCAGTTGATTCAAACTCAGAGTTTTGCTTGTGTAACAGGAAATGATTTAAATTTTGCAGGATGATTCAGCGATTTTTGACATCTTTCACTATTATTTGTTTTAAAATTTAACTTTGACTTTCTAACAGGAAATTATCATTTCTTGTTGTAAATCTGTAAAGTAAGCACTTGATTTGTCATGATAAGCAATCCTTCCTATGTAAGCTACAAACTGCTACAAAGTAATGGAAAGCTTTGCTTAAGTTTTGCACTTTGCAGCCAGTATGAACTTTTCTTCATCTACAGTTGATAGAACTCTCAGAAGATGGCACAGAATACATGGTGGTACATATATATCTTGCATAACAGTGGAAAAATCCCCCTTATTTGTTCAGTGGTCAGTGAATAACATTTTTATTTATTACCTTTGGATCTTTCCATAGGAAAATTTTCAACGAGTTATCTGGTTCTGAAAGTCCAACAAAGGTAGAGACAATATCTGAGGACATCCAGACCCAAAGTGAAGGAACAGAAGGTGCCTCTCCAATTGCAGTGATAACCACAAGCACTTTAAACTACCAACAAGCTCCGCAAACTGTGACAATTCCAGGAACTATTCAGATTGTGACATCCGGTGAGGCACTGCAGACAGTGCCCATGGCACAAAATTCTTCAGGCACAGTGGTTCAATATCAACAGCAGCAACAGGTATAATTTAACAGCTTGTAATATTAGACTTTCTGGTAGTTGGAGTTTTTAAGCCAGTGGATGGCCTGTGAACTTGTGTGATGATTGTGGCTGGTTTTACTGCTTCTGTTTGCAACACTAACAATCTAGTTTTCACCACATTATTAAATGTGAGAGTCATAGCTGGAATTTAAAGAGAGTGGAACTGTTCTGATTCTTGCAAACTTTGTTTCTATTACAGGTAATTTAGTGTTAACAACTGAGTTGAAAGTGTAAATTGGCCACTGTAAAGAGTTTAAAGTCTGATGTTTTGAGGGTTAGTCCTTTGTCAGAGCAATTGGAGGAATTGTGGGTTGTGTGTGGGTTTATATGCAGAAATTGGTGGGAATGTGGTGACGAAAAAACAGGAATAAATTGGTTGAATAAAAAGTGCTCATTGATACTGTGGGGATTAAGAGTGCTGATATGGAAGATAAATTTTTGTTCTAGTGTTTTGCGGCTTTCTGCACTGCCTAGATGTAGGGATAGGCCGCAAACTGCTATATGCTGTTTTGAATGATTAGGGAGATTAAAGTGTCTAGCAACTGGTTTGAATGCATCCTTGTCTTTTTTTGTTTCTTTGCAGGAAAGGTGTTTCTATTAGCCTTATAGCTTTGCCCACAAGAATTGACTTTTCAGTCAAGATGAAGTGAACTTCAGTTGACTTCATTTAGATTGTGGGAACATTGCAGTTGTCTCCTAACAACAAAAATCCTTATCTGGCCCATGCCCCATGCCATGAAAAAATTTAGTTTGTGGGAAAAGTTTTTAAACAAGTGATTGTTATGCTATTGCAATGTAAAGGAAAAGCAGCAATATTTATTCAGCTCTTACAGATTCTGTTTACCATTTTTTGTAGGACGGTCAACAATATATTTACGCAACTAACCCAGGAGAGGTCCAAGTACAGGTGAGAGAGAGCAATATTTTTTATCTTTAGATGATTGAGACATATTTTACTATAAGACCTGAAAGTAACAATTTTCCTGAGCTGATCCAGAGAGCCTCTATTAGCACTTGCAGCCCATGATGTGTGTGATTGAAATAACCTGTGCTAGCAACAGCTGGTATATTCAATTTTTTTTAATAAAGATATCAAGAAAGGGGTTAGTGTGCTAGACTGCAAGACAAGAGGTCTGTGTTAAAGACCTGGTGAGCTTATCACATCCCAGAAAAGACACTCAACTCTAAAGCCACATTCAAATGGTCATGATAGTTGATGAAAGTTTCAACTATCACATGCTTTTGAATATGAACTATCATGAACTATTATCAACTTTCATCGACTATCATCAACAAACAGTAGTTTGGACATGTTCAAATGCAACATGATAGTTGATGAAAGTTTTTGCCCTTTGAACAAGCGGATGATAGAGAGTGACATTTTTTGAGTCAGCAGTTTTGCCAAAAACTCAAAAGCTCAAACTAAAATGGCAAGTGATAAAATGGCTAAAATTTCACAGAAAGTCTCATAATTCATTTTAATCATCTCCAGGTAGGCTTCAGTATTTTCAACTAGCAATTCTTGACTAACAAATGCCACGGAAATTGCAGACCTCAGTGCATCCTATACTCTCATTGCACCATTTTTTTAGCTCTCATCATTCTATTCTCCTTGTTAAGATCTTAAGAAATATATGGAGAAGATAAGTACTGATGTTAGGGTTAATGGGTTGTGGAAAACTATCAAGGAAGCCAGACAAAATGCTGGGGGAGGGGGGGGGGGCAACCTGAAATGGACTGGCATTCCATCCAGGAGGGAGTAGAAGTATTTCCTTGTCACTTCATGCGGTGGAAACTAAGGGCGGCCACACACCTAGTGATTTTGTGTGCCTATAGGGAATAAAATTGCCAGGTGTGTTGCTGGCTTAACATAGGCTCCCATGGTATTGGGCACTTGGATGGATTGCTGACTTTGACTGTCTTACACTTTTTTCACTTGTTTCTGTAGCAAGTCCAAGTTAGTAACACCGGTACAATGTACACAATACCTGCAGCACAACAGCAGTACATCCGTGGACAGTTGCCTCCAGGTGTTGTTCTTAATTCACCTGGAATTGGTGGAAACGGCCAACAAATCGCTGAAGATGCTTCACGGAAACGAGAAATGAGACTGATGAAAAATAGGTGATTACCCTTTGTTTGATAAGAGTGGTTTTGTTGAAACTTTTTTGGGATTTTTTTTCAGCCAAAAGTCCACCAAATCAGCAACCCCAATGGACTAACTTGTACTCAAATGTCCTTGACGTGTGACTTTCAAACAAATCACTTCAGCTCAAGTATTTGCAATAATTGTGCATGCCACTTGTTAGCAAGCTCAGAAACTTGTTTAAGCATGCATCACACTTATATGCTTGTCTTCTAAACATCCTCCATGGATAGAAAAACATCCTTTATTGATAGATACTTCAAACAGATGTGTTTGAAGTATAACCCTTAAAACTAGAATTAGCACTCTTTCAAGCTGATAGATATTCTTAAGTTTGTTACTATCAATGGCCTTTTCTAGCAAATTTTCTTGTTTTGGTTTGCTATGACTTGATTATACCAGTCATTTCTCTGACCTACCATCATTTACATGTGAAGTGTGAAGTATGTTTCCTAAGAAATGAAAAACAAAAAGTTAAAATTCAGTGGCCTCTTAGGTTTCTATGGTTGACATGAACCTGGCTGAAAATCCTAGTTTGGTTGTCATTTTTGTTGATACAGCAAAACTTGCATATTGTGTTCACATTTATAACTTTGCTTTCTTCGTTCTCAGAGAGGCAGCTAAAGAATGTAGACGGAAGAAGAAAGAGTATGTAAAGTGTCTTGAAAACAGAGTCGCTGTCCTTGAAAACCAAAATAAGACACTAATAGAAGAACTCAAGACACTTAAGGATCTTTACTGTCACAAGTCAGAATAGATTCTATTGCTCTCTACTGTAAAGAAGCAGAATTTAGAGAAAATTTTTTCCAGTGACTTACAAATACTCCTAGAAGTTTATATTTTGTCTCTGTGTGAGCAAAGCTTAGGTATTTGCTAAAGAATTACAGAAGCAGTTTTGAATAGAAAAAAATCTAACTCCAATTTGGTTTCTTTGGCAAATAAGTCAGTTCCATTTTGTTTTTGTGTTAGTTGTGATGGTTGCCTGTATCAACCTTCATTGTTGAAATTGCATTTCACGAGTCATTGGAAAAGTTAATATTTATACATGTAAGTAAATAGCTAACCTTCAGTCCAAAAAAACAGCAGCGTTAAGGTTGCATGACATTGTAAATAGCTCTTGATATTTTAATCATTTGTAATAATGCAATGCATTCATGATTTTCTACAAAAGGAGAAAGTTTTATGCTGGTAGAAGTTTTTTTTTTACCATGGCTAAGTTTTTTTGTGTGTTTATTAAGACTGTGGTTATTATTATTATTCACATACTGGTAGATGAAAATGATGTTGTTATCATTACTCTTTCTCTGTCAATGTCATTAAGACATGGTGTAAATTATAGATTAAGACATAACAAGAATAACACAAGCTTTGTAAAACTCTAAAAATGTGTGTTTTACTCCAAGTAGTTCACACAAAATTTATTCCTATGGTTGAATTAAAACTAAATGTTAATACATTGTTCTATGTTACTTTGGTCTCTTACTTAGCCTGAAAAAACAAGGAATTGACTTATAAAGGGAATGCAAAGGGCAAGTCACACGAGGGAGGAGAAACATGAAAAATTGCTCTGACTCTTAGTCACCCCTCACTTACCTTCACCCTCTGAAAGATGTAAAAAAAAAAATGGTGTATGAGAGGAATTTGGGTGTTAATGAAAAAACAAAGGAAAACAGAACATAACCTAAACCAAAAGAAAAATTATTGGTGTTAAGAAAGAAACCTAAGGAGATATTTCACAAAATGAACCTTTGAGTGATTGCCAGTGGCCCTATGAGATAAACTCAAATTGCTAGACTAGCCTCAAGTCATTTTTCAATAAATGTACCAGGTAAAGAGGTACAATGGCCTTTAGCTCATGAATGAACACAGCAACCTACATTCTTTTTTTGTCCTCTTTAAATTAGAGAAATTTTTAAAAGAATTCATTGAAGGGAAAAAATATATGGCTAAAAGTGTACACAGAGTCCCCTACCTGAGGGTGCAAATTATGATCTTGAAGCAATGACTTGACAAATGTTTTGATTCAATTCCCATTAAAATTGTATGATTTTTTTTACAAATTATATAACTAATTGTTCCATACACTTGAGACTTTCAACCAATCAAGTATTTTTTAAATACCACTTAAACAACCCTTGATTCCTGCTACCTCAAAATGTACCATGAACTGCTGAAATGAAGCTCATGATTGGTGCCAGAACAGGTATAGGTGGGGTAAGTTTGGCTCATTGCATCTCTTAACCCTTCAACTCCCATGAGTGACCAAGGCAGAATTTCTCCTTACAATATCACTACAATATCAAGCAGACAAGTGATGAGAATAAAGAAAAATGTTCAAATTAACATCACTAGAACTGAATGACAGACAGTAAGGAGAAGTACTAATGAGATCTTGAGAGTTGGAGGGTTAAACAAGCATGGTGAACTATCTTTTAAATTGTACTTTTCGAAACAGACATTGGTGGGGAATATTTATGGAACCTTAAGAAGAAATTTGATACATTTTTTGTTAGTGGAATCACCTTAATTTGGTTTCTTTTCTCATACTGGTATCAAGGACTGATAAGATCTGATTATTGTAGAATCTTTAACCCTTTAACTCCCAAATCAAATTTTTCATTCTCCATACTGTTGACCTAACAATTCTTATAATGTTAGTTCAGAGAATTTAGTATTGCATCAACTAATCCCTAGATTGCTATTTGTCTTTATTCTCATCACTTATCTGGTTGATATTGTATTGGTATTGTAAGGAGAAATTCTGTCTTGGTTACTCATGGGATTTGATGGGTTAAAGTATCATGAGATTTAAAATTTTCCATCACACTATTTAGTAATGTTTATTGGAAGCTATGCAAGGATCTTACACATTTCATAAATTTACAGGTTCAGAATAATTTGCCACTTAAGGTGCGTTACTCAAAGATCTGATATATGAAAGATCAAATCAGTGAGCCTACTTATAAACTTGTTTGCGAAAAGTTCAGTTCATTTTGACTGCTTCCCTTATTTATCCTACTACATTGCTTTATGCATTCAGGCTCCAGGAAGCCCCACAGACTTTAATTGATTAAGTTCTGGTTTTACAAAAGCATGCCCTTTGCCTCATAGACATGTTGCACCTTATAGGTCACTTGTCAGATGATTCCTCTTTTCCTCTCCTCCAATACTATATCAAAGTGAATATGCTTATTTTGAATCTTTTTCAGTTGAAATGCACGATGTTACTTATGAATATTACTAATCTTTCTAATTGCTCAAAAGAGACACCTAATCACAATTATATATTAAGATTCTCTTCAGCCTGCAATTATCAAGTAAAACATTTACGACCTAACTTACAATCTAAATCTTTCTCAAGACAAATCATGGGATACCATCCCCCAAGAACCACAAAAAGTCCTGATGCATGTGTTGAAGGCAAAAAATATCTCTTGTGGTATTTATATTTTGTTTATTTATTTATTTATTTTTTTGGTGAAGTTGTTTTTATTTGCTAATTGCATAGTGAAAAATTGCATCCATAATACTTTATTCTAAATATTTCTAAACAACAGTTTGACCATACCACTTTCACAAGCAAAGTCAACCTTGAATTAAAATTTATGCCCATTGTTTGAGGCCAAATACTTCTAGCTCACTAGCAGTAAAATTCTTGTTACCAGTCAGAAATGTAGAAGGAGTGATGTGAGGTGGGCATTCATAAGTATTTCCCAAGGAACTGTAACTGTTGGTGGTTGAATTTGCTTCATTGCAGATGGTTAAGTCATGTGAGCTTCCAAAGGTTGGGCCATATCCACCGTTGCAGTATATTCCATACTTCGTTTGATCAGGCTTTAGGGGCAGTTTGGTTGGTCCAGTACCAGATGGGTTGACAAAGCTAAATATGAATGACCCATTGCAGTATTTGTAGTTACCAGAAACTGAAATAGAGAGAATTGTATTTAAGATTCACTGTTGCTGTGCGTCTGTTCAGCAATGGATCAAAAATGATGATAAAATGTGGTATAAAACAAAAAAGTGGCAACTGAGGTGCAGGTGGGTGTACCACTGATATTCTTACCAAAGTTTCTTCATTGATCTATTACAGTACTGAACATACCTACTACAACATGGAATGTGTTTGTTTTATATGATAAAAAGGCAAAATGTTCTCAACGGTGACTTGATCTATACGTCTGTACTCCAATAGATCAGACGTAAGAACCCACCAAAAGGGTGTTTTGACTTAGTTTAAAATGTAAGGAATTCACTGAACAGCACTTGCGATGAGATATAACTTAAGCACCACTTAGAAAACCTCACAGCAGGAACGTGCACAAATTACTTACTATCCCATGACTGCTCTGTGAAACCTCCAAACAAACAGTCCACACTTTTTACCACTACCACAGTTGGCCCTCTCTCGTCACAACGCGCGTGGAAAGTAGTTGATGACCATCCATCGCGGGAAGCACGATAGAGCAGCACGAAAGTTGAGTGAGGAGACTTCAGTTGATCTGTTAGCCACCTGTTCACCAGTATGTCCTTATGTTCATCGGATAGGATGTTGGACTCTAAAAATGGTCGAGGACATAATTCATCGATAATTCCACGAATCTGATAGAACTCAGCTTCTTCTAGCAGTTCTTTTTGCACCAATTGATCCTCTGGCACAAGGAGCCGCCCCGTTCGTAGGTAGTTTAGAATATACCGGAAGTGTGTTCCATCGCGGTCAATGAAGTAAGTTCCATCCTCAGCTGGTTTTGTGTCAAATCTTCCTGAAAACATGGCGTGTAACATTGAGCCTGGATCCTTTTTCAGCGTTTGTAGGCTTGTACTGAAAAGCTGACCGCCGACATTTAACTTGACAGTAGAGGCAAAGTTGACATGTTCCAGTTTCTTTGCGACAGAATCAAAGGCTTCCTTCTCTTTTTGAACTTCCAACGCCTCCCCTTTCATGATTTCGTAAGCTTTCTTCATACAGTTCAGGGCTTCCTCCAAGGCCTTATAACTTGGTCTATCGATCTCTTCTCCGTCCGCGGACATTATTCTTAACGAGTGAGACAACGTGCAGGAAGTGATCTAATGTAATTGAAAATGTCAATCAGAGTATGAGTGTAAGAAGTCTGGGAACTACACCTCGGTCCCAGTGCTCTTTTTGCATGCGGTTGTAAATAAGCGGTGGCACAGCTACACAACATGGCGGACGTTTGACAGCTTCTAAATATTTTGTTAGATATCTTTTTGTTAATTTGGGACTATGGATGAGGAGGCACGAGCTGATTCTTCTGGAGCGACTGTAACAATGCGTCTCATAAGGTCGTTTGAATACAGGAATATCAAATATGTCGTATTTAAAGATGTGTCATTGGAACAAACAGCCAAAGATTTCATGGACTTTGTCGTTTCGGGTAAGTCTTTATCCTCAAAAACATCTGATAAGGCCGGTATAAATGAAGGGTTTTCGTCTCAGAATATACTCCAGGGTCTCATTTTACAAACAAGCCCACACAAGATAGCATAATGCGTAAGCTCTCTCCTTAGAGTACACACGAATATGTAAAAAAAAATTAAAATGCTACCTTACTACTTTCTTGGAAAATGTGGTGTGGTAATAACTTTTGCAAAGACAAGAGCAGGTACCTTCCTATGCGATAGAAGATTTGTACATGAGATTTGCAAAGCGATGCAGGAGAGTGCCTTCTGTTTTTTTTTTGCTACTTAATTCAGACACATGCAACTAAGAGTCAGGGAATTGGAAGAATAATTGCAAGTTTGCTGAATTTGACCTGAAATCTTGCTCCAAAATATTTAACTCTTTAACTCCCAAGATCTCATTTAGTAATTTTCCTTACTGTCTGCCAAACAGTTCTTGTAATGTTAGTTTGGAGAATTTGGTATTGGATCAACTTACAATCCCCTGACTGATATTTTTCTTTATTCTCATCACTTGTCTGCTTGTTATTGTATTGATATTGAAAGGAGAAATTCTGTCTTGGTCACTTGTGGGAGTTAAAGGGTTAAGAATAACTTTACTAAGTGGACATTCTGATCTCAAGGAGGAATTGTGTCCCTAAAATTGTTGTGACACATATAGGAATCAAGGGGCAAACCTAAGAAAGAAATTCCTTGTGTTTTTAGTCTTTGCTTTATGTTCTCAGAATTGCCTGTAGTAATTAGAAATCATGCTTGTTCCAACAGATATAAAGAAAAGATCTGATGTACCCCTTCCATTCAGGACCTTTGCATATGGTCTGTTGCTCAGATAATTGTTCTTTTAATGGGACAGGTCATTGATTCACTGGGTAAAATAACATCTTGTGACCTTCAGTAAAGAAGTTCTCATTTATCTTCAGTTGAGACTTAGAAAACCATGAACACAGTCACTTTGATTTTATTCCTAACCCTTAAACTTCCAGATCAAATTTGTCACTCTCAACCATACAATCCTTACAGTGTTGGTTCAGAGAATTTAGTATTGGATCCACTAATTATCCCCAAATTGAGATTTTTCGTTATTCTCATCACTTATCTGGTTGATATTGTATTGATATTGTAAAGAGAAATTCTGTCTTGGTCACTCATGGGAGTTAAATGGTGAAAGGCCAATTGTGTATAACCCAATTACAATAAAGTTCATTACATGGGACCAAACCTCAAAACAGAAAGACCAATAGTTTCTATGTACAAAGATGTAATTCACTGAAAATTCACCTCTAAGCCTCCATTGCACTAAAATGTTCATGAAACTTTGACACTTCCTCATTGTTCTCATCAGGATTTGGTCTTGGTGTTATGTCTGCTCCTTGAAAGCAAAGCTGGAAGGCAAGTTTTTTTATTCCAATATAAACATGCACAAGACCTAATACCGTTACTGATGCATTTTAGTTTTTTTTTATGTCTGATAGGTTTTTTGCTTTAAACCTTTAACTCCTATGAGTGACCAAGACAGAATTTCTCCTTACCATATTAATAAAATATCAACCAGATAAATAATGAGAATAAAGAAAAATATCAATTTGGGGATAATTAGTTGAAACAATTCTAAATTTTCTGAGCTAACATTATAAGAATTGTATGGTTGACAGTAAGGAGAATTACAAATTTGATCTGGGAATTAAAGGGTTAACACAATAACCTTGATAATTTTGTTATTCTTATTTTTCACAGTTTTCTGAGTTTCAATGTAATTTTACAACATCCAAACTTGCATCTTTGTCACCCAAATAATATGCTGGTATCCAAAAACATTTTCAGTCTGGAAACATTTATGTTTTTGGCTCTGCCCATCTCAAGGATAGAGAGGTTTTGATGAATTGTTTGGTAATTGTTGTCTTCAAAGAAACCAACACAATTTGGAATCATCACACACACTTTTCAAAGATACTCTCACAAAATCTACCCTTTGGACTTTATTTTGAAGTGGAGGGTTCAGACTCTACCCTAACCTTAACCTGGGAAGTGAGGGGAGTGGGGGAGGGGAGGGTAAAATGAAACATCTTAACAAGAAAGAAAAAATTAAATTTCCAATTGTTCAACTGATTATTTTGACCATTCTATCAGTGTCAATGAAATATCTAATTACTTATACCAAGTTGTTTTTAATCCTCTTTCAACAATGTTAACAGACACAATGAAAATTCAGCATAAAGCACATGGTGCCAAAGTAAGTCAACTCTTGTGATGTGTGTCCCAATTAGACAATAGTTAAGTGGATAACTACATATGTAAAGAGCAAAGATGAGTTTATCAACCCCTTTTAATCAACAAGTTATTTCTCCCTATAAATAGAGGATATTACATGGCCACACAGGGATACAAATTTTATCTTCGAGTGCTGAAAGTATCTCATGTTAGTAACCATGGCGACTCCAATATCCTCACATGTTAAAGATAAAAATAGTATCTTCACTGTGTGCAATGAAGATATGATTTTTTAGTAAAAGGAAAAATCCTGGTATTTCATCAGTATCTATTTAACAAATAGATTCCAAGTTGCCGTGTGTCTATTCAGTAATAGATCACAAATGACGTCAAAATGTGGTAAGAACACCGAGTGTGTCACTGAATAAAGAATTAAAAAAAGTTTTAATGATGACGTCATCTATACGTCTGTCCTCCAATAGATCATAAGTGAGAACCAATCAGAATGCATGCATAACTGAGCTTATTATATAAATAATAATATCCATTCATTACCCAGCAAACAGGTAATGAGAATTCTCAAATGTTTCAAGTAGAAGTTGTCAACTTGATCTGACACCAAATTCTGGTAACTAATTTACAAGGAAATGTGCAGCAGCTAGATGGGAGAATTAACAATCAGATCTTGGGAGTTAAGTGGTGATTAACACAAATTTATTTTAATAGACAAGTGATCCAGTGATAAACACAGAAAATGATGAGATGCTTATGCTTAGACAGGACTGCAGTCTTTCCAAGAATGGAATTGGTAAGTTCCCCACAATATTTTAGCTAAACCTGGTTTCCATAGCATCAGCAATGTTGGGTAACAAGTTGAGTGAAGTCTCCCTGGACTCCCCTCCCAGTAAAAAATTGGTGAAACTGCTGCACTGACTTAGTTCTGAGCATTAACCCCTTTACACCCTAACATCAGTATGCATATTCTCCATACTGTTGTCTATACATTTCCTTAGGTGCTGATAAGGAGAATTTGTTAAACAATCAAGAGGTCCTTTAGCTGATGATCATTCTCTCTATTCTTGTGACCTAACTGTTTGATTCAGGGGTGATAATGTAAGGAGAAACTGTATGCTGGTCACTCTTAGGGGTCAAAGGCCTGGATTAAGAAACCATAAACCTGTTGTGAAATAATTAAATGTTCAACATAACCTTAGCAGAAATTTTTTTTTTTTCGGTTAATTGTATCCATTTAAAAATGAACATCCTCTATTTACTTTCACCTTGTTCACAACCATAAAATCTTCTTATTTCCTAACAGGACATGAAACAGAAATATCTTTCTTCAAGAAAGAAGATTATGATAGATACAAAGCTAACCCAGTGCTGAAATGGTAGAGAATGTAAATAAATTTAGTTGATGACTAATAATTCTTCTCTTTAGGATATTTATCTGATGTTATGCTCACCTAGAGTGACATTTTGACATTAGGGAGGGAGAGAGGGGGGAGGGGTTGATGAAAAACTTACAGAGGGCTCTGATATAAAAAAAAAAAGTACTGTTTTTTTCTGGATTGTTACTCAGAATTAGTGAATACCTGACATAGTTTGCATATCTTTGTTTTGAAAACCTATGGCGACTAAAACAGAAGCTAAGACAGGCTTTTTAATGGAAAGTGTATGTGCTTTTCCCAAAAGGTTTTAAGTCTTTGCCCCCTTAATTAGTACCACCTTTAATGAATTTCGGGCAAAAGGTTCGAATATTAAGTGTACTGGAAAGCTTGCAAAATAAGAATTGGCAAGCAGATAGATATCGCCATCAAAACCGGAAGTCCCTGCATGTTTACTTCCGCTTGACCAGCGGTTGGTGGGTCTGGGGCTGGTGGGTCTGTGGTTGGTGGGTCTGTGGTTTCTTGCAGAAGAAGAGGCATGACATTTTCCAGTGAGCCATTGTTCGGTTGAGGCACAATTCCAAGAAGTTGACACATCAGAGGGTAGAGATCGAGTGTCTTGAACGGCGCAATTTCGAAATCCTTTTTAAATGCGGGACCACGGGCAAAGAAAATTGGGTAGCTGCGACTCTCCTGAGGCGGCCAGGCGTGTGTCCCGTGAACCCAAGACACGCTCGTGTTCCCGCGGGATTGCTCGATAACCCAACCCACTTCGGGATTGATGAATATAGGAGGGATGCGGCGATTGTGTTTCCAGTGGTACTTACCTGGGATGTCTTCCTTCTTGTAAACTGTCATGTGCGGGTTTTTGGCTTTAGTGAGGTTGTCATAAATTTCGTCTAGTCTACCATCTTTCGGCCAAATGTGTACGAGTGCCCCAGATTCCGTCAGCATGTACGCAGACTGTTCGATGTAATCGTCGAGAATTATGAGTCGCCTTGAAGAGACGTTGTTAAAACTGTGATCGCTGACGAACATCAAGTTGACTGTGTCTATAAGCTCTTCGTCACGCAATCGATCAATGAAATAACCCACAACATCGCGATCGACTTTTTCAATGGCTCGTTTGTATTCATTTGAATAACTGCCATATTCGTGCCCCTCCCAGTCCGGGTGATCGATGTACAGCGCCACAAACTGCGGTGGTTCGTCCGATTTGAGCCAGTTTATGATTTTATCGATTCGGCTCTGAGAAGGTTCCGTGTAATTGAAGACACAATGAATGTATTTGTAACCTAACCACGACGGATACGTTTTGTTACGGTATTTCGGAAGATCTTTTGGGTCAATCGCGCTGCAATCGACTTTGCAAAAGGGCTTCTCGTAGAAAATGGGTTTTTCTGGATAGCCGCGGCTTCCCGGCCAGAAGTAAATCCCGCTACGTCCACCCTGCTTTTGTAGTGTCAACCAGATTGGTTCGGAAGCGTTGTAGAACTTCGGGTCGCTGTCTGAACAATCATAATCGTAAATAAATTTTTCTTGATAAACAGGATCCCAGAACTTATTTGAGACAATCCCGTGGCTCTCTGGGTAAAGTCCCGTCATATAGGAATGGTGATTCGGCCAAGTTTTGGTTGGGACCACATTGAAGAGGTGCCTTGCACGGACGCCTTCCCTGCCGACCTCGTCGAGATGGGGAGTGTCTGCAAACTGGCCGCTGATAAATTGCCAGCCTAATCCATCCATGGAAACCAAAATGACCGTTTCTTTTGCTTGGAAGGTTCTTTTTGTTTCGACGAGGTGAGGTTTGGAGATGAGAACGAGGCAAGTTGCCTGTAGGAGAACATGAATGGCATCCGTTTTCCTCATGTTGGATTTGGGTTTCGGCTGATAAACACACCGTGGTCGCTGAGAATTTGTTCGAGAAAAAAAAACAATAGTTAAATTATTCGTGGTAAAGAAAACAATAACCTTAAGAGCCCTTGTCATAAGTCTGACCTTTTTCATCCGCGTAACTTAACAAGAAATCACGAAAGTCAAAAATCAACTCGAACTTCTTCAAAGTAAGCTAAATATTACAAAATAACTGTATTAAGAGCAGTTTTAAGGAATTGTAGTGCGAGTGTAAACTTTTAAGCCATATTTCATATTAGAAATGTATAGATAACAATAAGATTATAACTCGAGATCTCTATCGAGTGTGTCACCGTATTTCGACGTCCTCTGTGATCTGTTACTGAACAGACCTACGGCAAAATATTTGGGAAATAGACAACGAGAAGCGTGGTGAATTACATTACAGAAAAATAACCTGTTACAAATCCTGAGGCATCGTCTTAGGTACACAATTACATTGATCTTACGGTCATTATTTACTAAAAACTCTCAGACATGTCTAATGCAGTTATGAATTTTTTTTTTACAACCAACAGTGCCAGCCACTTCTTGGGGAGTAAAAGCGTGAAAAAGAGCTTCTTCCGCGCGTGTCGCCCCACTCGCGTGCAATGTTCAAATTCACTCTTGCGTTTTCGCAGTGAATCTCACGCATGTGGATTGAAAACCCTGATTTCGCGCTAGCTCAAATCTGCTTAACAATTATTTTCCACGCCCACCGCTATCTCAGCCTTACCTGACAAATTTTTGGAGAGATGAGTGGCGTAAGATAAACTCGAATGACCAGAAGAGACGAAAAGTCCTCGCGAATCGTAGGCCGAACCGTTCGGTTGAGAGCGGCAGAGCGCTGAAGTCGCTTCTGTGTTTACCACTCTGGGTAAGAACAGAACGTTTTCCAAATATTTCATGTCCTTTGAAAAAAAAGTATTTAATTTCCTTTGAAAACAAAATATTTCATTTCCTTTGAAAACAAGTGTTGAATTGCGATTTCAAACCCGTTGGTTTTAACACGTGGGTCATCATAGGTCATCTAGAACCAAGAGAGACAGCGGTATGCATTCACAATTGATTTGGATCCAAGCTCTTTCCTTCAACATCACGCCATTCGTTTCTAGTTTAGACCACGTTTCCTCCTCAAATCAAGTTAGTTTTTGCACGTGTCCAATTAATTTTTTATATAAACTAGGTAATATCACATTATCGCGATCTTTGCGTGCGAAGTGCAAATAAATAAATGATATAACGTAACATCTTTTGAAACGTTTTTGTCTCTTTGCTTTCTTATAACGTTTCGAAGTGTTCAGCTTAGAACATGACATAAACCATTTTATATAGTTTTTTTCCACAGTTTTAAATCATGCAAAGCCGTGAGATCGAAACAATCGCTAAACTCAATAAAAATAACAAAGTTCAAATGACCTCTCAATCAAGGAAGCCGAAATCCAATAAAGAATTTTGTTTTGAAGGTATGATGTCAACGTTTTTTAAAAGCCGCCATCTAATCTCCTAAAAAATCAGCTCTCGGGTGTGTCGCTTGACCGCAGAAACAGACAAGACGAAAAAAAACAAAAATGGCTTCGTTTTGGGCTAAAAAGGCCCTCCTAACTAACTAAATTTACTTCTAAAATTTATGCTCATTTTTACATTTCAAAATCTCTGCAAACAACATGTACAAGAACAGCTCTGAAATAAAACAGGACAAAGGGAACAGTAAATTGAATAGTCAACTAATGTTCATCCACTTTTTTAAATTTCGTTTGAATCTGTTCTGTTGATGTCGGTATCGTTTCCAAAAAGGTGGTTAGGTAACTTGTTCCATTCCTTGACGATCCTCACAAAGGAGTCTTTTAAGGGGTTCATTTTAGCAGATTTCTTACGAAATCTTGGATGGTTTTCGAGATCTATAATTTTTTGGTACTTTTCTTGTAATTGTCGTGAAAGTTATTCCCATTTAACTGTCTTAAAACATTCTACGAAAGGGAAGTCGGCGCTCTATTAGTTCTAATTGTTCTGGTGTTATCGCCATGGCAACTTTACTGACATATGTATGACATCTAATGGAAGCCCTCTATATGCCCCATCAAAAGGTGGTGTTGTTCTCCAGTGTCTGATTGTTTTTCAAATCCACTTCTGCCGTTATCCTCGCTTCGTTTTTAGCTGAACAACACCCCGTGAGGCTAAAAGATCGCGTGGTAGCCACTCGGGTTTTATCCAAGTACGCTACAATCGAGTCGATCAAACTGGACATGAAACACAACCCGGGTAGAACAGTTATAATGAAAACATACAAGTGATCCTCAAACGGAATAATATCTCCAAATCCGACAGTAGTTAAGGTCACAAAAATGGAATAAGAGTTCGTGATAAAACTTTGTTTTGATTCTAAATGCGTGTTCAGTGCACAAGCAATGATCCAGGTTACAATGCAAGACACTAAATTGATGCAGGTATTTCCAGTTTCCATAAAATCGCAGGCACGTTCTTGGCAGTTTTTACTGTGAAATTTCCTATGCAGTGGTCGGGTCACCGATTTTAAGGCTTTGTTTACAAGTTCCCCGATTGATTTAAGAGCCAAAACTGTGAATGGAATTCCTACCAGCGCATAAATAACAGTTAAAATTTGACCGCTTTCTGTCGTGGGCGTTATGTTTCCATATCCTGTCGAAAAAAGGGGAAATGATACAAATGAATTAGTAAAAGAAAATGAAGAAAATATTTAATGAATAAATAAATTAATAATGGGGCAGTCTGTCTCAGTGTTTTGGGTATCGTATGAAAGAATTAAGCTGAGCGCCACGGCAACAATAAAAATTTGGCTCTTCGATGTTCATAATGGAAAGGTGGTGATATCTAGTGATAAAAAATGATAATAAAGATGTAAATAATGACGATAACAGTAGGGGTGTCAATCATTTTTTCCATGAGCGGCTGCTGATAAAGTCGCAGCCATCTATGCCCGAAAAAGGAACCGTATTAAAGGCGAAAACCAAATAACGACAGTCTGATAAAACAGTCTATAATATCTATCATTTTCAATTATTCGATATTTACAGCCGTGAAGCTGACACTGCGGTGAACAACTTTTTTAGTTTATACCACACAGATACAAACAAATTGGTATTAGTTTATTTCTTTCAATATACAAAAAAATGGTCGGAAATAAGCCCTTGACACACGAATATGTCTCATCGGCTGCTCGGAGGCGGATAGTACTTGTTATTCACATCCGAACAAGCCGATCAGCGCGCGCGAAAAGTACTATTTACCAGTGTGGTCTATACTAATACTAACGATAATGACAGAACGGTAATTATAATATTGATAATTTTGAGTGTAATGATAATAGAAATAATGATAAACCCATACATGCAAATTTCTTTAAAATGTTTAAGTGCGTGTGACAATTTTGAAAAGGAAAAGATTCCTATCGATGAAGAAGCTAGGACTCTAATGGAAAAATGACAAATATACAGTACAAATCTGTGGTTGTCATGCCGGACGTAAAAGGTGACATTTTACTCTTCAATTGGAATTAGCGATGGTATTCACGCTCTTTGTTGATTGTAATAGCGCGTTCTAAAGTTTCGGTGCAGCACAGGTTGAAGACTGGTCATTTAGGGTGGCTTAAAGGTTGTGAGTTTATCAGGAATATGTTGTTCCACTGGTCCAATATCTGTGTTTTGGATGGGAACTTTCATATCGAAAGAAAATGTTTAAAATGGATTTAATTTGCATCGCACCTCGATGAAATAACTCATTCTTGTTAAAAATATTTCTGCACCTGCAGTGCCTAAGCTGATCAGAAAAGGTAGACGATTTTGGTGTAAATTCACAACTATTTCTCTCTTACCAATTGTAGTGACAAGCTGTAAAACGTAGAAAACAGAATTTAAGAATGTCCATGTTGGCTTCGCTCCATTCTCCCTCGTGTCGTCGTAATCTTTAAGCAGATTGGTGATATTTTCTTGGGACAGATTATACGTGTTACTCCACCGACGTAGGAAGTCCTCTAATGTTTGACTCTTAGAGTTTCTGCCTGTTTCCTTCTCGATCTGCATAAATATGGCTCCTCCGATGAGGACATAAACAAGAAGCCCAACCACTCGGAATGCAGACCTTGTGCTGCTGTTAGTCGCCATGGTTTGCCAACAGGCTTTCTGTGTCGAGTAGACGAAGTTCCTCGACCGATTGCTGTGTCACCCTTTGAACAGTGCGGTTAAAGTTCTCGATTAATTTGTCGTTCAACTTCACAGTTGAAGCCAGATCTTTTCCACTGATTATAACCTATCGCTTGATAGCGACCTGGAATAATAGTTGAAGTACCGAAAAATTCATTGGCTGATTACGAAGGTTTGCGAGTGTCTGTCAGTTATCTGATGCAAAAACTCATCCGTTTGCAAATTGCTTATCATAACAAGTCGTCCTCATCCATTATTGAGGTTTTTTTTTGTTTCGGCTCGGTAGGCAGCTGCATAAACAGCACCAGATAGCCATCATTTACTAAAACTTTATCTTCGAAATTTTCATCATTTCACCAGGGAAACGTCAAAACATTGAAAATGTGCTTAGATACCTGTGCAATTTTATCTGAATGCCTTGAAAATAAAACGTAACCATCTTAATTAAAACTGCGCTGAAAAAATTAGCGCTATAGGAGCTGCATCTTTTAAATAAGTCTCGGATTTTAATTTTGCAAGAAAAATTTTGTTTTTGACTCATGTCGAGAATCGGAAGAACGCAATATTGGCGTTTAGAGCAGTGACAGTTAGCACCTGGTTTTTCAAGGAAACCCTTAATGAAACCGCAAACTTCTGGCGCTGAAGACCATGTGATCTTGTTCCCAGGTCCCGTCTGAGATAATAACCCCGGTTTTCATGATAGAGATTCTCTGAAGGCTTTAATCTTTTATTTTTCTTTTAATGACATACAAATGTGACAGATTTTTAAATCTAAGCTACTCCAAGAAAGCCGGGTACTTGTCAAGGTTATACTTTTAAAAGAGCTTTTAGTTTTGCCTGAAGAAGTGCTCTGCTAATTATAGCAAAATTCAAACGTGGTTTCCTTTTCAAGTATAGTTGGAAAGAATTCCATGGTTAATATTGATTTGCAATATTCTTCCCACAAGGGCACCTTAGCATTCGACATTGTTCGATTTATTACTCCATCATACTACACAGCAATGTTTCTGAGCGCTTGAAATCTCCAAGACACGACTTGCATGGCTCATATATTCATTTTCATTTTAAAAAAGTAGCCATTCTAAATCGTTTGTTAAGCAGTCACTTCGGTATCAGTACAAGGTTCTTCGACTATCTCGCGCTGTCTGAGTTTGAACCGTCGCTTGTATGCCTCGTCGGCCAGAATATCAAACAGATATCGCTTGGGTCTCCCTGTTAAGAAACAATTCGGTTGAAGTTAATCAGAGGCGAATTTTATCTTCAAGGTAAACCTAAGGGTGTAGTTGCCATTATGCCTTGCCCAGCATATTGGTGTTTCCTTACCCTGACTAGTAATAACCCTTGTCTCGTCAGGGTAAGTAATCATCGATATGCTGCGGCAGTTAGAGGCAACTACGCCCTAGGGCTTTTATAAGACGAGACATGGGTAACTAGTCAGGATGGGTAACTAGTCAATTAAGACTCTATTAGATACCCAGAACTCAAGATCCAGCGAGCCACAGGCCGCCACTTCTGCCCTTTTCCTTAATGATTTTATTTAAATACAACGCAAAACGTGAGGTTTCGTTGCTTTAAAATAAATTTCATTTTTACCTTTCGGTATCGTGTTGTTGTTTATTTCCGCTGTGTCTTCTGCAAAGTAACGAAAAGCCACAATCACGATTCTGTGAACAATAACTCACTTTTCGACAAACATTGTATCAAATAACAGCAAGGTATCAATCACAAAACACTGAAAACCAAACTTATGTTACCTGAAGGTTTGAAGTTGTTTAGACTGAAAAACAACGAAGAAAGATAAGTCATGACGCTTTGTTCATCCGGGACATCCATAGACACCAGATCTCTCGCGTCCAATAAAGCGGGGACACCGAGCTGTTCCTCTGCTACCTTAAAAGCCTGTTAACGAGACAAAATTTGTGTGTTAAGAGGACGTATTAATTTTTGAGACGGTTTTTTTCCACAAAAAAAAACGATATAATTGACTGATCTACAATAGTGGCAGACCGCAGGAAAAAATTTTTAGCCCATCTTTTGTAGTAATTTATTTTCAGTATAGCCATCTCTATTCGATGTAAAAACACAACTTTTTTCGACTATAGGAGGTCTTCCTTCCCGGCATGCCTCGCATTCATTTCATTGACATCATTTCAACCCCAGCATTTCATCGCCCAGTCTAAAGAACGCTTAGGACTCCACTCGTTTTGCAATCAAAGTTACTTTTTTAAGCAAAGAGAGCAAGATTAGTCTAAATTTTTACACATTTATCTACCAGGGATTGCCTTTATCTTCAGGTGGGTGTGGCCCACCTAGCATTGTTGCTGATAAAACATCATTCTCATTATCATGGTCATACGCTGACATCGAGCCAAACTTCGTGTTCTTTTGATTGATTTTGTTTTGACCAAACTCTGATAGTTGCCAAAAATTGGCATTATTACAATATCAGACAGGAAGAACTTATCAACATTTATGCTGACAGGCTTTCATTTTCTGTCACAATTTCAGTAATAATGAGAGAAAGAGAAATGTTTAATATTCTTCATGCCGAAGACTGTTTCAAAAACATGCAATGAAAATGCATTATAAATATTAAAAATAGTTCAGCTTACCAGTTCGTTATTTTTCAACATGTCTTCCTTCGATAGATTCTGAAAATCTCTGAAATAAAAGAATGATCGGTAGTACAGCTTGTGAGTGAAGACTGAACACCGACACGGAAATTAAGTTAATACTCGATTGCGACTTAAAGCGAGAACGATCATAATTGATTAGAATACTACCGCCGAAAAACGAAGGAGATGAATCCAGCTTGCCCGTCCTATGACCTTTGATCTACTTTGCAAATCTCCTTTCCAGCTACGGTACACTAAGTTATAAACTGATTTGGAGAATTTCGTGGTCTATATTGTAAGGAAAATTTACACGTTCATCGCTTGTAGGATGTAAAGAGCTAAGTGAAATATCTACATCCGATAGTGGACATGTGGGTATTCCGGAAATCTTCCGCAAACGTGACGCATTTTAGCAATCACGAGTCTTTTGATTGCGCTTTCTTCTTTTTCATTTTCTTAATTTTGTATTTCCTCCGATGATGCTATGTTCTGAAATATTCTGAAACCCAAACCTTCTTGAAATCTGCAATTTAGGGCCGGACCTGCACACGTTCGGCTTATCTGTAGTTTGGTTTCATTGTAGGCAGCTCAAATTTCTCCGACATTCAAAGATATGTTAATAAAAACAAAGCTTACATCACTTGTTATGTTTTGATTGCGTCTGAAGTATGAGTATTCAGACGCAAACACCAATTATTGTTTTTGCAATATCGTACATCAAGTGTAGACATAAACAGCGCTTAGGAAAAACGTATTTTGGCATAGGATTATTTTCCAATATTGTCAGAAACAGAACAAGTTTGCATTCTACGATTACGAATTTTGTGAAATTTAGCCCATGATGATTTTGTTATATGCAGATTGCTTCATGGAGGTTTGAAACGTTTGCGATCGAGAGCTGGTAGTCAATTGAAATACATCTTAAGACACCCAATATTAAATGGGAGATTATAATACTGTTTCGAAATTTGTATTTCTTGCAAATTTGTATCAAGTGCTCGATTCAAACGCAACTCGTTTATGCTACAAAACCAGCTTAGATCGAGAGTTCAGATTAAATTTAACCTTTTTCACATTTAAATTAACATACGATTTAATCTGAAAAAACTCAGGGAAGTCAAGAATTTTTGTTTCCTATCTCAATGTGAAGTGAAAACATGATTGTTCTTACATGAGGTCCGGCTTGTAGCGGTGTATTATGGCACAAAAGGCTAATCCATCTCTCCATGAGGTTGTCATGTTAGACACACGAACGTTCTTGTATCCCACTGTTTGTCGCTTGCACCACTCGAGTAACGCTTCTTTCCCGCGCAACGTGCCAGCTGCGAGATTTTTTTGTTTTTTGGACATTTTTGTTGGATCCAGCGACGAGCACTTAAAATATTTCCCGATCTAGGCATTCACATTTGTTCAGCGAAGGTTTATCACACCGTATGGCGGAACTACTGGCTTTTCAGCGCAAAAAGAGCGATTTGTTTTTCAGTTTCGTCGTCTGTCGATCGATCTCACGTTTGCAAATGACGTTGTCATAATAAACGTACCAGCAATGAACTATTTCCGAAATACTCGTGACCAGAATGAATGTAAACATTAATGAAATCTCTCATTGATGTACTTATAAATTAAAATACATGTTAAAAAACTGTAAAAAAATATTGCACTCGAAGTATAAACAAAAACGATGAAACGTAACTTGCACAATATGCAAGGATAACTTGCGGAGATAATCAGTGAACAGTTGCGTAATCGAGGCAGAAAATGTTTGATTTTTTTTGATGAAAGGAAAAGCTTCAGGAAAAAAAAAAGTGACGCTGAAAGGGTTTATTTTGAGCTTATTAGATAAGCGTGTTTTCCTCTCGCAGTTTTTTTTATTAGAATTCCTTACTTCTCTCTAAAATAGGACTTTTTTTAAAGCACCTCAAATACAGAAGTTTGCTATGAATTTCAAACATTCTCCAGCGAAACATCTGCACTGTGCCCGTAAGTGATTCTCTGACAAGAAAACTAATGACATGCCACAAAAATTCACACTGATGTCATGATTGGTTTTCACCACAAAGAAGCCGCCGTCAACGGGAAGGATTCGAAAATTGAAAGAGGTGTCGAGCGTTGTAATCAATTCTACAACGAAATGAAATTCTGGCAAATTCAATCACTTTACATATGGAGAAAAAGTCACTGTTGACCTTCAATGAATGCGATTCGCATTCTAAAGCTGTTTTCAAGTAGTTTTAGTCGTGTACGTGCGAAATTTAGTTGTCAAAGGTAACTTCATCTCCACTAATGAATAATTATTATTTTTCTTTAATTTCTGGTCTACACTTCGTTTTGAACTCTAGGCTCTCCGTGAAAAAAACATCAGGAGAGTGCTTTTGTTTTTGTACCGTCGTTAAATCAAAAAAGCTTCAGGTTTTATTTGAAAACAGTCGAAAATTTTAGTAATAAATGCACGGAAGCTAGCACTGCGGCGCTTTCAGAATAATTTATCCTAAGAGATTTTTAATTTAAACGTTTTTATAGCCAATTGAACAGCAGTCGACCACACGCATTGCAATTTCGTTTTTGCGGCTTTATCTGTATTCTCCGTCATTCAAACAGTCATGCGCAAAATTTCCCACATTCCATGTGTCTCAATGAAAGTCAGGGGAACCACAACGCGAGAACGAGGGTAAGGAGTGACTTTGGGGAATAATAATGTGAATAAAACTCTTCCCTTTAAACTGCTGTTTTGACGAATTTTTTACGGGAAAACTCTTAAGTAAAGGAAGAACCAAGACGAAAAAGAAACCAAAGCACGATTGAAATTTTTATACTTTTAGACTTCCAAGGAAGTCTTTTAGTTGACTGCAATGTGTCAAATTCAAACCAGTTTCAACTCTGGATTCACGTTCAAATGTTTATAGAACGCGCGTGAGCTATAAAAACATCATATTTAGAGTGGGGGTTATTGCTAGATCAAGATAATATAACTGAACTTTATAATCTCTTGTGCTAAATCAAATGCTTCAAAATAAATTGGTGCAGGGCATCATCTGGGGCCCAAATAATTCAATAATCTTCCCGGATGTAATTCTATTCTGCCGTATTTTGGAACCCTCTTTTCCACCTGAAACCTTGATTCCATCGTTGCATCAAATCCGCCCCGTCCCACTCCCCATTAAAATAGCGGCTTTTTCGAAAATAAACGAAGTGTGGTAATGTAGTTTGTTTGACCCGGTTTATTTTTTCCAGCGACGATGCAGAAAGTGTAATGCTACAAAAAACACTCATACAACAATACTGAAGCAATTTTTTAGCCACTTCTGTCATGTAAAGAAGAGTTAAATTCAGGCGATTTTGATTACAATATCGCACTTATTCAGTTTCTATCCGAGAAACAAAGTTCCCGTTCTGTCTTAACCCAGTCAGGCTATGTTTTCTTATCTCTTCTGGGGCTAGCTCTTAGACGCCGAATAGAATGTTTCAAGCTTGTAAATACTGAAGTGTTTTAAAAATCTTCACGGGTGAAACTTATTGAAAGCCTCTTGAAGTGAAACGCTGCAAATGGCAGTATACCATATGCATAGAACTGATCCTGTGAGATAAAAGAAAAAAAAGACGACAGAGACAAGTAATTAATTTTTTCTTATTCTTAATTTTTAATTCTCAAATGAATGCGGTTAAAAATTCCTTAACATTTAATATAATATCATAATAAACAGTAAAACTCTTACGACTACTCACCAAGTTATTAGAAAGTAAAAAAAACACAGGTTTGTCATGCATGCGCATCTAATATCAGTTGTTAGATTTTTGCAGCAGACTTATGGAAGATATCATTTATGGAATCTAAAAGCTGATACACCTAACACTAAAAGGTGAAAAAACGTATGAAACTAACCTACTGGTGGTCATGATTTAGTTTACATCATTTTTCACTTATTATCATTATAACTGCTATTATATCTCTAATATCATCATTAATATACTTTCGTTAATAGAGCTATTAACAAAGTCATTATCATAAATAAGAATGACTAAGATCCTTAACAAAAAGATCAGGTCGTATTTCTCGATTTTAACGTTTATGGATGCTTTTGTAGTTGACAGTTCAGCAGATTACCTGTAGGAGATGTATGAGCTGAACCTACTTGATGTCGAACACGAAATAGATTGCAATTGTTAAGTCAACATCTACACTCAACTTCACCTTTATGATTTCAAAGCCCTAATTTAATTATTAAGTCTGTGCCTTTCTTTGCACTTTATATGAATGCTCGACCCAGACCTCCACGGCTAATGTTGACCGAGGCAAGCCTAGACTTGAGCCCTCCTGTCTCTACTTGCCTTTTAATCAGCGGTTAGAGCATAATTGACCAGCCCTCTGACTAATCGAGGCTCCTTAACGATTGACGAGATTAATGTCTAGTGTAGAATGGTCATTTCAGATCTGAGGATGTGCCAACAGTAGTGCCACTCCTTCGGCCGAGACACGACAAGCGTCCATTGGGTTATTTCGAGTCCTTGAGCATCTAGCATCATCTTGTCTGCATTTGTTTGTAAGCCCGTCTCCAATCTGCTATCTCCGCTGACTTCTGATTTGCTGCTGCGCCTAAAGCTTAGTCTCTTTCCGATATCTTTCAAGGTGAAGGATGAGCTCCGCTTCATGTCGTTTGGTCCTCCTGCAGACGATTTCTTCAAAATCGTCGACTTCTGTGGTAGACTGTTTTCGCTTTCAGGATTTTCCGTTTTTATTTCCTGAGTGGGATGCTTAGAGTAATGTTTGGGCTCTTCTTTAGGAATTTCTACCGAGTTATCTGTTTTAGTATCAGTAGGATTCAACCCTTTTTTAGGAAAACTTTCTTCTTTCGTAGCGCTTCTCTCATCAGTACATTGATCTTCATTGCCTTTGTGTCCATTCGATATTTGATCGGGTTCCGTTCGGGAATTTTCGGGTTCATTTGTTGGCAGATTTTCTCTATCGGCTATATGATTTTTGATCACATTTAGCAAGTCTTCAGCTTGGTCGCTGCATCGTTGAGTTTGATCTTCGTTCAAAATGTTCTTCTCTTGGACATTCTTGCTTTTGGAATTTTTAGTTGTATCCAATGAATTCCTTCTCCAACTTTCATTTCTTGTACTCTCGTCTGCTGTTTCTACTGCGTTAGGGGTTGGATCACTAGTGTCTGCTTCTTGCGAATCATTATTTCCTTCATCAGCGCCGTTGTTGATGCTCTGAGTGGAAATCTCGGGAGATTCTTGCTTTTCAAGTTTTTCTTCAAGTCCTTTGTCTTGTTCTTCGCTGGACTCTGACTGCGTTACAGTCTGACGTGCGGCGAGTTCTAGGTGCTTGATAGATGCCATCACTGCTTCGAAAAGGCGTTGCTCAGCCAAGCGGTTTCTGGTGTTATTCGCCTTGGCCTCATCCTGAGAGGGATCTGGGACAGGGTCCGTCGCCATTACTTCTGTACTGGCAGACGATGCACTTTGCGGTCCACTTTCGATAATTTCCTGCTTTGTCTCTTCACTTTCATCTTTACTATTTGCCATGTCAGTGACAACACTTTTTTCATCCACTTTGTTTGCATTTCCTGGCGTATCTATCGTTTCTGTGCCTTCATTTCTCTCCTCTTCTGTTGCCTGTCCTGTGTCATCCGCCACAGGTTTCCTACCACTTGCTCTCTTCCATTTACCAAAGCTCGAGTTCACATCACCACTCATCGCTTCCTTTCCTTTTAGAAACCGCAGCACCTGATTAACTTGCTTGGTTTGCGCAGCCACGACTGCCTTGTAACCGAGACTGAGCCGAACACCCCCGAAAAGCTTTTCCTTTTTTCCGCTGGAAAAATGACCGTCGGCGATGCATACTTCGAGCGCTCTTCGCTTTATGTCATGATAATTGACGCCAACGATTAAGAACTGTTCGTTCCAAAGAGGATCTTTGCCTTTTCGTGTTTTTGTTCTGCACTTGGTTGATTTCTTAGCATCGCGCAGAAGGTAACTGTGGAAACCAATACAAGCACAAAATAAAAGGAACGTTCATTTTCTATCGCAAGGGAGGTGGAGGGGCGGGGCGGGGCGGAGGATTTTGTTTTTGTCACGATATAATTTACCTGATCTCCATAAGGCTTTGTAATATTCTTACGACCCCCTCCCCTCACTGGAAGTCAATTTTCCACAATCCCCTCCCCCCTTCGTTACCCCTTGTGGTAATGTCCTTGCGATTCATCCGGGTTAGGAAACTACCCGGGGTCATGAATAGAGGCCTTAAACCTCAACACTCTAACGTTATCTGGTGCTCAAATTTCCTTAAAAATCAGGAGCTCTCTAAATCTATGATCATTTCCTTTATTCTCATGACCTTTACATTTGATCTAAGGGTGGTAGTTTAAGGAGAAATTAGAAGCTGGTCATTCTTAAGGGTTAAAGGATTAAAAATATCTTACCATTTCGAGAATGTTTCTTGAGGACTCTTTTTCCCTGCTGGCAAATCCATTCCTCGGAGGAGATGAACATGGAGAAATCCCTGACCAGTGTTGGTTGTATTCTGTTTGTAATGTCGTGAATCGACCTCGATCTCTTGCGAGCTGCTGTATAAAAGCCCGATAAGAATTCTGGGTTTCCCCAAAGACTCCATTGGTTGCTAAAGAGAAGAAACAATGAAATGTATCGTAAACCTTCCAAATCCTAAGGTCTAAACGTCTTTTCGACCAATTAAATACAAAACTAAAACCATTTTTGACTTGGTCACGCGCATTTTCTCACGCTTTGGGTGCTCACTCGCGTTTTCCCGCGCTTTTGGCATTCTAGGTGTTATTTTTAGCTCGCGTTGAGATTATCTCCCGTGTCCATTGGTTAATGTGATCAATCGTGGTTGTGGTTTTACGTTCTCAGAGCAAGATTTTCTGGGATTGCCTTAGTAACCAGGCCTATCACTACGGCTGAGTGGCTTAGCCAGTTCATTTAACTGAGAGACCTGGCCAATACACACCTTTAGAATAACTTTTAAGTCCAGTGGGTATCCCATGCCCCTCAAGATACTCTGTGGAAATAGCCGAGTGACCTGGCCTGGCTCCCCGACGAAATGAATGGTCAGTGTCAACTCCGTTGAATTCTGCAACTCGGTAAATGTGACGTAATCACTACCTGAAATGACACTTGAATGTGAGTAACAAACGTAAAAATAAAAAGGACGTCATTGTTACGATGATTATCATGATTATCGTGAAGTTGTTTGAGTGTGTGTGTTCGATGGAGTTTCACCTGAAACGTCATGCGCTGTTAAAATCCTGCGAATTAATGGTTTGTGAGGTTGTTTTTAACTCCTGAGGGACAACTTGGTTCTGAAAACCTAAAAGCACTTGTTAGACTGCCTCTTAATTGCTTCAACGTTTTCATAAGCGCAGCTGTATTCACACTGCTTAAGACTTTCAGTAGAAAGACGTCCTGTTCAAGAAATTCCTTTTATTAAGACCCAAGACCACAAGTACCACACTCTGTACGGAGGCACATACCCGGCCGGGTCCAAATAATGGAGTGCCCCCCCCTTAAAAATAAGGTTATAAGTTTCCATCTTATTACGATGAGTGACGGCTAGATGCTATTCGTGTACTACAGTTTGATGAGATTTGATTAAAAACTAAAAAACGTGAATTGATATTAGATGACTGGTTCCACAGAGTCTTTTCGCCCACCTTTGTCCAAAACAATGTTTGAAATCCACCTTAATTGTTAAATTACCCAATTAATATCGAAAGTCTATCCGAAAAGCACGTGACTAAGTTCCAGTCTCCATTCGCGGCCCGTGTATAACTAATCACTTACCTATAGGATATCGAACTCGTTTTTCTCCCGGATGACCAGTTAGTGTAACAACAATCTCTCCGCCATAGTCTTCTAAGCATAACAAGCGCAAGGTGACCTCATCCACCTGGAGTCCGCTGCAGCCGAAGTTGATTCGCCAATTGATGTAACCTGTATTGGAGCCAGGTATTTTCTCCAAATACACCTAAAGCGATGGAGGAGGGAATATTTTAGCCTTGGCGTTCAAAAATACCGAAATTATTTGGCTTTTCGATATTCCTTTAGTTTATCATTATGTGAAACACTTTGACCCCCCTTCCCCTTTGAAAAACCTCTGCTTCTCTCCTTGAACCATCCTATATCTTCAAATCAACTGAGAAAATAATAATAAAAAAAAAAAGACTCAGGAGAGCCAAATGACCTGTCCAATTTCTTCATTGACTGTTCGGCGAACGGAGTCCACTGAATACAACACTTTGTCCCATCCCGAGATGACCCCCTGTGCGGATGGGTCAATGGCATCAGACCAGTCCCTATAGTAACTGTTACATGTGGTACTGTAACGGAGCCTGAATCTGGCGGGAAAATAACGAACTGCGATTGGTTTGATTTGAATGAATGTGTGAGTGGTGGATGAAAGGATGGATGAATGAACGAATAAAGAAATGAATCGATGAATGAATGAATGAATGAAGGAATGAATGGATGGATTAATGAATGAATGAATTAAGGAATGAATAAATTATCGAATTAATTAACTAATTACTTAATGAAAGAATGAATTAACGAATGAATGAAGGAATGATGAATGAATGAAATAATAAATGAATGAATGATTTGTATCTTAGTATACGGGAGAAATTATTCAAAATTAAGGCATATCAGTTCCATTATGCCTATCAGTTGACCACTGATATAATCCCGTACCCAGAGCCTACCGTGTAACTGTATCTGCCCCTTGGCCGTGAAAGGCTTGGGTACGACACTACCACTGATATTACATGATCTTCTTCTGGATAATTACAGAAATTTTCGTAAAAAATTGTATCCGTCGCAATTTTCCATGAGCAATTTTGTTTTATTTTGTGAACAAAATGATAAAATATCTACTTAATTGTTTTCCTTTTGCTACTCAGGTTGCCGTGTTTTTTCAGCCGTTGAAAACCTAGCACTTATTAATTAATGTAACTTCATGTGGCTTGAAGATCTTAGCATGAAAAAAGCCTTTTGTCCTCTTTGCTTCCGATAAATACGCTTGTTAGACATCGAGTGGCAATATTTATAATCATCGAAAAAATTGGTATTGAACTAGAGCCAGACTTCACTTCTCGTGATAAGAAATGTTTCGCAAATAAATCTTGAAAGTGAAAATAATCTGGTTCACTGTTGTAAACATCTTTGCATGTCACTTTAATTTTTGACTCGATGAATGGACAATTATTTAGCCCTATTTCTTTCATGCATTTTCTTCTCCACATCACGGCGGGAGAGAATTCATTGGGACAAACACAGAGAAATGACACCATTGCAGTCCTTTCAGGTTTAGGGTACGAAGTAATATATCCTGTTACGCTTTGCAAATGAACAATTTGCATTTGAAATAGCGTTTATTTTGTCGAAGTTTTCCCCTGCCGATCTCGATTTCTTTCTGGGATAGGTGAAATATAAAGACAAAGTTTCAGGAGTAAAATTGCAAATCGAAAAGATCTTTTAACTGAATCAAAGGAAAAAGCAAATGACAAAGTTACCCACCTTGAATCGATGACTTCCTCTTTGTTTGGGGTGAACGTGTAACTCGAAGGTTGCTAAAAACAAGTAAATTGGTAAATCTTTTAAGCATAACATTAGAATTCTGTTTAAAACGACAGTTTTGTCATTTCTCTTTATTTTACAGAAATCAGCTCCTTGTGGAAGAAAGCGTCTCACCATGGGTATCATACTTTTTCGACAAATGAGTATTTTTCCAAAGAGCTCTACATTAGTCCGTTATTGTACAACACTACTGCAAATGGTCTCCTCGTCAAGAGTTCCTCATTTGATGGCCAAATGCAAACGCGAAAAGCGCAACTTGAAATATAAATATTCGTATAAAAATTCAGCAAAAATTGCAGTATTTTTGCCGCAAAACGCCGAAAACGGCTCCGTACTTCAAAATAAATTAGATTCAGAATGAATTTTCGATGTCTTCCAGACCTAATTTTTTTAAATGATCGATAATTCGACGCATGTATGAACGCTTTCATTGAAAAAGTCTATTCAATATGGAAATTATTTCCGGGCCTCGCTTCCTAGCAAAATAATAGCTGGTTCATTTACACTTGCCATCATAGAAGATTGATTTTTTACCTAAAATATTTATGACATTTTACTATCGACAAAACCATCTCGAGATAACATTAACACGTCTCGAGAACTTAAGGACACTTTACAAAATGGGTTTTCTTTTCTTATATCATCATCGTGTTCGATAATAACTAAAATGTGTTCCTCTGTGGTTACAGCGTATTTTAATTGAGAAAATTTAAATAGCTTTAAACCTCTTTCTCAATTATTTTTCACGTCTCAATATGGGTGACAACTGTGAGGTGCATAGAGCTCGAGCGTAAAATAAATGTCGAGGATTTGTTTTCTTTTAAAAAGAAACGATATTTTCTCAAAATGGCCCAGCAAGGTGTTTTATATTTGTGATTTGTTTGCGCCATGAAAGCGCTCAAAGGCATTTGTTCTTATTGAGCTTTTAAATGCCACGTTTATATTTCCTTAAGGAAAACTAAAAAAAAGGGTTGTGAAGCGTTTTTTACTTGCGATAAATGAAATTGCAGAAGGAATAGAAGCTAGAGTGAAAAAAATAGCGTTTCTAGTGTTAAATGCTTGCTTTTATCTTGGCAGCAATAAAATAGAAATCCTGAAATACTACCCCGGACTTTGCACTCAATTTGACAAATGAATTGAAAATGATAAAACCTGTGAAATGTTTGTCTGAGAGAAAAGAGGAATCTAATCTTCTGGATAAAAACGATGAGCGATAGAAAAGTAAAAACTAGTTTTCGAATTCTACTTATCTCAGATAATTTATTGAGACAAAGGGTCCAAAGTCCGAAGTCTATGAACATGGCACGGTGTGAAAGAAAGAGGACAAAACAAAACTAGGCAACTCTACATAATACTTCGAAAGTATTTATAAACGCCTCGGGTGACGGAGAAAAAAAACACGAAATACTATTGATAAAAACAAAAGGAAACAGCAGTTTCAGCTATTTGATTTCCAACAGAATTTGACACTGTTAGAGGAAAATAAGAAACATTATTTTCCAAGGTCATGGTGAACAATGGCGAAAGAGATGTAATTTTTAACCACGTCTTGTGGGTGTAACATGTCTTGATACAAGCGGTGGCAACAAAAGTGCGAAAATAGTTCATTTTTCAATAGATCTCTTAATGAAGAAACGATTTACCATGCAATATGAAGACCTTTGAAAGTTAAGGTATGATGGTGTGAACGTTAAGGCATGATGGTGTGTTTGAATGTTTGAGAGCATAATGGGTTCTGGAAGAAGTTTTAAAATACTCACCACAGATGGGGCCAGTGCTTTAGAGCGAACAAGAGAAGACACCTGTTTCCATCTTGACATCATGGTTGAAACAATTCTTCTTCAAGTGGGTTATCACCGACCACAACAGTAAAAGAATGTGTTCTCAACCGGGACAGAAAAGAACTTTTTATCAGCTTCACATCGTCGTGTGAGAGAGTAGGAGAGAGAAAAAACATGAATGAAATAGAATAATGAAAAATATAACAAAGTGATGGGAAATAATCACGTGAAATTGGTGTCCGCATTGAGAGAACCGAGGACAAAGATAAGAGAGGTAATATTCTATTCTATGCTTGAACCAGTTCGCCCACACTTGCAATGGCGCAACAAATCTCAGTTTAAGCGACAAGTGGTGTTGCTGTACCCAACAAGATGGGATGATAGTCCTTTCCCACTCAATATATCGTCAGGTTTCCTTGGCAATTCATCGAGAACTCATTTATACTCCTGAGAGGAGAGAGAGAGGCATGCATGCCAAGAGATAAGTGTCTTACCGAAGACTCGAAGCCAGGCCTTCCAATCCTAAGTCTAAGGACGCGATCTATTAGGCTGTCCGCTTGAGTTATCCGTCAAGCACGCGATAAGACTGAAAAGAAAACTCTCAGTATGGGTTGGGATCAGGAAAGTGTAAAAGTGTCAACGCCCCTGCCCCTCCCTGTAATGAGCATAATTTTGTCCTCTCTCAAGATTTCCCGTCATGCAACACCACAGAGGACACCTGAAGACTGGCGTTAGCGTAATAGGCCTGAACATAATAAGAAGGAAGCTGAAGAGACAGAAAAGCGGAGTTTATATCAAACATGGAATACAAACCCAGCGCTGGCCAAAGATAGGCCCTTGAAAGACCTTAAAGAGTGCGCTAGTCGAGTTAACAGAAGGCCAATGGGATGAATGAAAAATCCATCGAAAGAATTTAGATGAAAGTTTAGCAGCGTCATAACATTTATGAAAATTTTGAGAACATATGAATTCAAAACTATCGCACACAGGAAGAGAACTATCACCGCATATAATGCGTACCCATAAAATTGAACCTACACTTAAGTGGTAATTACATGACGAGAAAACCATCCTTCACAATAACTGAATTTCACGTGCATTTTGTACGCAAATCTCCGTGCGGTTAGTTTGAAAAGAAAACAAGCTTTGTGGTACGACAAAATATTCTGTTAAAAGGAGTTAAGTGGGGATTAAGGTGGTTTTAGCCTGCCAAAACATTTCAAACGTAGCGTTTTAAAAGCAATTTACGAGAAAAACACGATTGAAAACATAACTGAAAAAGCACATGTATAAATCAAATGCACTTTAAGAAATCGATCTTCTTGATTTTGAACAGAACTGTACAAGCGCATTTGTTGTCGTCTTAAGATAAGAAGAACCGTTTTATTTCTTATAAAGTTTCCAAAAATCTTGGGAATAATTCGCTCTGCGAGAATGGCTGAACTTTATGGGTAAATAGTTCAAGAATTCTCTCTCTTAAGAAATTTTATACATCGGAGACCCATGTAATATCCATGAGGATACAGGCTACCCAAGCACGAATCGCTAGCTCTTTTTTTCAACAACTGTTTACTCCATCTTGCATTTGGCTGTGCGCTTTTAATTGTCGTGAAAATTGTTGATTTTGTTCAAAGCGCAAAATGGCGATCATACACCGCAGAACATACTCCGTCTGTTGGGTAGAAATAGAATAATTTGTCATAGACTTAATTCTATGGGCTATTTGAAGGAGGTTTTCGCTCACTGCTACAACATCGTCAGCCTCTTGGGAGCTGTAATTTTATGTTTGGTGCCTCTAAGTAGTTTAAATGAATTTAATTTGTTTTACAAAGCAAAAGAGAATTGTTACCCTTTTTTCTCATATTAAACGTATCTCTCGTGGACGAATTTAAAATCTAAGCGCATACTGATATTATGTTACTTAATTCGATTTAAACCAAAGATTTCATTTTCAAAACATTTCCTTTCAAAAAACAATGTTATCTTTAACAAATTATCTGGATTGATTCCACAAAACGCATTAACTGGGCAATAGAGCAGGAATCATGCCATATGGTTGAAATTGTTTGCGAGTAGCTGCATTATTCTAGAAAGTTTCCTTAAATTGTCAGGTTTTTACTCAATGAATAATCTTTAAGAAAAAACCCGAACAACCTCTGACTAATTAACTCGGAAAATGGGTCAATTAAATTTGTCTTCCGAAATGCTCGAAATCCTAAATATTATTGTGAGAAAATAATTCGCTGTCAAGCTTGAATACAAACGATTTGCTGTATCTTTGCCATGCTGATGACTGTCGATTAGAACATTTCTTACACTGCACGGCAGAAAAAGAAAACACGAAAATATAGTGTAAAAAAACATCCTGTAGGCGGATATCTTAAAACTACATCTCACCATAGTTTGAGTGCTTTGGCGGCTAGTTTCCCTGGGATCTCGGAAACTTGAAATGGTGCCGCTGATATTGACAGTTTTCGCTGGAAGTCCGTTCAAATGGCCTCACAGAACATGAAGTTGCAACTTAATGCAGTGTGGCAAAAGTTATGTTGTGGTTTTTAATTGCTTGTAATATGGTTTGCCACCTGCTGCGGGGATAAACTCAGGTGGTCAAATGTCAACAAATTATATGCAGAAAGCTGTTGCTTAAAAACATCCACAATATACTGCGGTTCAGTTCGTTTTATCGTCAGGCGCAGTCAAACGTTGACTAAAGATTTAATTTATCTGGCCTGGATACTTGTTAAAATGTACAATTTAGAGCAGTATTTTATGTTCAAATCGTTTGAGGGATAAATATTTGGAATATATTCTTAAGCCATGGTTTTTTGGTTATAAAAACATACACAATTCTATCGTTGTCTGTAATAAAAGGCTCTCTTTTGGAAACGGCTTTATAAACTTCGATTAGAATTCACATTCATTTTTTGTCTGAGCTTTTGATGTCATCGTTACAAAGAAAAGAGCAGATCTATGGTATCTTTAAATAGTGTCGCAGTTTTACGTACAAAATTTACCTTTTTTCGAGAGGAATTTCTCTTCGACCACAAGATGTTAGATGGTTAGATCACCGGCTCAAACAAATACCAAAATAGGCATAAAAAAAATTCATAAAAGAACAGAGAATGTTAATGACATTATAACAGGTTGCAAATGAAGATTTGAAAAATTATAGATCAATATTTGGCAAGCGCAAACCGCTCAATTTGGAATTTGGTATGCGACGCATTAAACTGTTAACTGTAGTTTCGTAAAACAACGTTCATATTTTTATCGAAACCAATAAACACGAAGAAAAAAAACATTCGCGCTGTTGAATTAACGCGTTTCTTTGTCTAATTAACACGATTGCTTGACTAGTCTTCACCTAAGTTCATCTGAGGGACACATTTCGGGACTAATTATGTCGTATTTTAGCTAATTATGAAAGAAAATATCTTTTTGGTGACTAGTGCAACACAGTGGTCAAACGTGGGGGCATGTGCGATGGTTGTGTGCTTTCAGGCGGTAATAATCACGTTGTCTTACAGAAGTTACCAACAACCTCACAGGCCAGAAATTCAAGGTGTTCTAAAAGCGTATTAACTTTTTGATCAAGTTCAGAACTGAGTAGTAAACCAATAGGATACCTGTACTTGATTACGCTTGAACTTTGATTAAGCTTGAACTTACACTTTCCCCTTTCGCTTATTTAACGAGACAGCCATTTTTTACTAATAATCATGTAAAAATTTCAGCATGCTCATTAACCAAGAACACGTCAATTTATCCCATGCAGTGCAGAGAGTTAAAATTAAGTGTAAATTGGACACGCCCTACAACCTCGTGCAATTCGGTTAGCCTTTGAAAAATTTATGAGTGCCGAGTTATTCCAAATTTCACATCAAAGATTATTTCCCAGAATTTTTGTCAGGCTCAAGATTGGAACCCAGGCCTTTCTCCGGAGTTTAATGTGCTAAACTTCAGGCATGGGGGCCTTCTACTCATTCTTCAAATCGTAGTAGTTTAGGAAAAAAATTTAGTAAGTTTAATTTACATTATACTTAATCCATTGTCCAACGTGCGAACTCGTAAGACTTGAAGTCGCAAAACGGCTTCAACAACCAGCTTTAGCAAAAACTTCTCTATATTCAATATCGGTTTTTTCATTTCTGATTCTCACCATATCTAAACAAATCCATTTAAACTCTAGTTCACTTTAGATTCGGCGCTTGATTTATCAAAGGCTATCTTTTTCATTAAATTTTCCCTGAAGAAATGGCTGTCTTAAAGATGAAAATTCATTGTCAAAGAATAATCTAAATTCAAAGCACGTTTCCTGATTTTAAATATTCAATGACGTCTGTACAACAGCTCTACCGACACTTTCAGCTACTAGCAAAGTATCATTTGTCTTCATGAAAAACGTTTCCGATGAAATAAATTGGAATTTGTTGTTATTAAGGTTTCTAGATCATTCTTAATCGAGTAATTTATCAGTTCTAAATATCATCTTTAACGATATCTATTTCAGGTCACTTATTTCAGGCTTGTTATTAAAATTAGGAAATAGCATCAATTGATCCTAATACAACCATGGAGCCAAAGCCTCTTTTTCTTTAAGTTGATTCAGTCGTTTTTTATTTTCTTTTATCTTTTTATCCTAAATTCCAAAAAAGCAACTCGTGAAATAATTAGATTTTTCAAAACCTTTTTCAGTCAGGCCAAAACCCCGTAATTCATTTTTTTTTTCAATATGTTCCTCAAAGAACTTGAGTCAGTATTAAAATTTCGGGGTTGATATTATGCGAAATATGAAATAAATTCCAATTCATCTTTAAAATATATCAGCAATTGGAGGATAACTTTCTGGGAATTTACGGGAAGAAACTCACGTAATAAAATTGGATTAATACTTTTTGAGTTCTCATTACTTTATCCTGATTAACGTTCACAGCTCATTTCATAATCCGAACATTTGCTTATAAATTGTCTTAATATTAAGATATCTTTTTTAAATTTTACCTAGCCACCTCGATTCCTTCATTTTACATCGTTTTGTTTTCGCATTATTACCTTTTTTCCCCAGATTATCTTGTTACAAAAATAAACTCATGGAAATCATTGAATTAATCATCTTTCTGCTGGTTTCATAAAATGTCACTAGAATGATCGTATGTTTATCGTAAACAAAGGTAAAATGTTTGTTCAGAGATAAATTCGCGAGGTTATTCGAGGTCTCCTTAAAGTTCGCAATTCTTTTCTAGAATAATCGAGGGTTGTGACTTGACTGACACCCACTTCCTCTTGAATTCAATTATTTCAAATATCAGATACATATCATTTCACCCCGAGGCATTAAGTTTCCTACTGACGTCGGCGCCTTAGCGACAAACGACTTAGGTTTTGAAAATAAGAGTTATTGTAGTTAATTTACCTCGCGGCGCGGTCAGTACGATCTTTTGTGAGCTGTGCTCACAATCCTTAATAAATTGACAAAGTCTTCCCAACCGTGAGGAAATGAATTTTTTTAATACTTCTGGCAAAAAAAAAAACCCTTCGTGGTCAAACAAAATTTACAATCGATGTCTTTGTTGAAAATACATCCATTCAGTTGATTATGATGAGGTATGTTCTATGCCTAGAACATTTTCGATGCTTAAAACGCTGATATCTTAAAGTTGACGCATTGGACAAGACAAGAAAAAAAAAATGTTGTAATCATTTTAAGATGCGTCGAAGTTTTGTGAAAGCTATGAAACCGCCAACACACAGATCAAGAAACGAAGGAGGAATGCTTTGTATAACAAAAGTAAAACAGTTCAACTGCAAAACTTTGGATTCTTCATTTACCCACTGGCCGGTGCGCTCGCGAATTCAGGCATACTAAGGATTAAGAGCCCCCACAATGTGTTACGTTTAACTATGTTATATTTTCCTCCG